TCAAATCTGAGATTGCATTTGGTCGCATATCCAGCAATGCTTCATTCTCCAATTAAGAGGCTCCAAAACAATTATGACCGGCGAAGGAGCCTTCAACTTTAGAATGATCTATGATCTATGATCTACTACTTCAGGTCGGACATCGTGCTGCACTACAGTTACTAACGCCGAGGTTTGCTCCATGGGTGTTCGTGTCGACTAAAAGGGTAAGATGGTACATAACCAATGGCTGCTTTTACAACCAAAAGCTATTGCGGCATGACGTTACTTCGATCGTTAAGTATCTTCTACTACTCCACAGCCGCATCGTCGGCAATGCGCCGCAGGGACTATACCTAGGCTGCGAATGATCTTGCGATCTTCTAAGGATTATCTAGGCTAGGTATATATGAAATCATATATGGTATATACATATGGCATATGGCATATGGCATATGGCATACCTATATGGGAGGACTAGCCGACTCTCGACTGCAACGGCCCATGGTGGGTGTTGAGCCTTGCATGAAGCCGAAGGAAATAGCTGCACAGACGCCTCGCAGACTTGTACTGTAACACAAATCTCGGCCTTGTGGCAACGAAATGTGCTTTTCATAAAGACGCTAAGCTCGAATAAGCCCCTTGCTTTCTAGGATTCAAGCCTCCTCATAAGGTTAGGCATGGATGGTCCAGGATATAGATAGAGCTGACCAACTGGAAGATAGCCCGGCGCACGGAAAAGAATACTGTATTCGCTTGGACCTCCTGACCATTCATGCCCAATCGCCCAACGGACCTCGGTGAAGGCCTCGCGTCTGACCCGGAAATTATGTCCAATGACAATTCTAGGTTAGGCTATTCATCGCAACGTGCTGTTGGTTGCTTTGCTTAGAGAACCAAAGTGGTGGAATATTGAGGATTGGTCAACCCTTGGGCTAATTTTTACTTGCTCTGTTGGTTTGGTAACGAGTAACAGCAGCAGCTCGACGCCGAGCCGCTGAAGAACGGAAACAGGTACAGGTACAAGAGCGAGAACGCATTCATACATACATATGTACACTACCTAACGTTTACCGCGGCGAAGGATGTGTAAATGCGCGGCGGTTCCCTTCTTTCTTCAGTCATGGTAGCGGTAGCGGTAGTAGTAAACTCAACTCAACTCAACTAACTCACCAACGTCGTTGAGTGTACACGAAACCTCACCGAACGATGGGTATCGGGGAGGGTTCATGTTGGTCCCAGATATGCTCCCGACGGTTTGGGGTCCAGATGCGACACAAGACACAAGCTTGCTTGTCGCGACGGCTTGATAGAACAACCCTCACCCGACAAGTGCTACAGGAGCATCTGGGAGCATTCGGGAGCATTTCTAGACGAGCATTTCTAGACGAGCATTTCTAGACGAAGGCTACCTCTAGGCTGGGTACTTCAACTGCGTAAGATTGAAGTGTCCTGTCGCATTACTAGCAATTTGCCATGGGGGGTTATAGAACAATTTAACCTAGAGAGCTTGCCAGATGTAATGCTAGAAGTAATGCGTTATCTCCTGCTCGGATCGCGTAGGTACATTGTAGCATTTTATATTTATATTCATCTATTGTGTAATAGCTTCCAAGAAGAGTATTTCGTACGTCAAACGTGGCATGAGACCATTGAGGCTTAGAGATCTAAACTCGGGTTTGCATGACATCGATCTCCTGTGACCTGCCATGATCTTCTTCTGTGCGAACTTAAGGACTTCCGCTTCTGGCATTGAAACGGATGTCAACCGAGGAAATATAGGTGTGGAAACTGGGGGAGGGAATAAAGCTCCCTGACCTCGCCAGTAGGCTAGTAGGGTAGCAGGGTCGAGAGACTCACAGACTTTGGGGGCGCCCCCCCGTGCTGCCCGTGCAATCGGCCTTTGTGGAAGGCATGGGAGACAAGGGAAGACAAGGGACCCCCCCGTATGCTGCTCATCTCAATTTGACCTGGTCGACGTTGTCTCACAAACGGAGATAATGGGAATTACGCACTATGGCGGGTATGGTAGGTATGTAGTAAGAGTCGCAAGATGGCCTTTGCTCGGCTCGGCGACTACATACTATATACTATGATATATGCCTAACCTAAGGTATAATGCATATGATACAGGATACAGGATACAACGAAGCATGTCCAATACCCCTCCTTTGTCATCATACATACATTCTACATTCTACATCCTACATTCTACCATAGATAGCTACCATCGTACCCATTAGTACATCATATGTGATCCGATTATGGCCCAATTAGCAAATCCAAACGAGATACCTTGCCGAAGTCTTTACGGTTGCCGCTCCTTCGAAGGGCCAACCGCTACTGTTTATGGTATTATATGGGTGGATACTAGACGGAGGAGCGCCAGGTGAGCTCGAGCAAGAAGGTTCTAGTGGTCTAAAGAGTGAAGGAATAGCAGTGGAGGAATATAAACCGAGAAACCGTCATCAAAGGAATACGCGTCTCCTGGTTGATTACTGGGTATGTTTCTAAGCTAGATTTCATAAGTGAGGGGCTCATAGGAAGCTTGTTAAGGCTTTGAGAGATCTGGCTCGCTAGCGGCCGTCAAATAAAATCGCACGAGTCCATTATGACGATCCGTCGCGAGCGGAAACGGTGGCAGAGAGTGGCCCATGTTTGCCCTATGAGAAGGCGATACGGTCCGTTTCTGACATGGGGGAGGTGGACCATGGGTACCCTGCCAGCCTGCTGAAAAGTCACAGTCCCTGGCTGGTCAGCCCGTCAATAATTAATAATTCCGCTAAGACCAAAAGACTCAGTGGAGAAAGGAAGAAAAAAGAGAGAGAACGGAGCCAAGCTCTATGAAATACCTCATTATCATTGAACGTCTCTTATTCGACTTGCTCTAAGTGTGCAATCCTTCCCGTCGAAGCTACCTGTGTAGGCGTCGCGATGGCTCACCTGGTCTGATCCCTAATATTGCGAACCCGGTTTTTGTAGACCATTCATCTCAACTATCGTGAGCCTAAATAAGTTGGCCCGTGGTAAGGGGGTGGAATCTATTCGTTTTATTCGCTGTCGTTGCTTCTATTTTCTATTACACACGGATTGCATAGTACACACATTGGCTATTCCCTTTCCCATGGCGCGAGATACTATTGATATATTGGTATAATTAAAATAACTACCTCATAATATATACTACATACTACATACTACATACTTGGTTGATACTAACTAATAATATGTAGTAACTTAATAGCTTACAAGCGAAGCTGACAAAGAGTTAGGTTAGGTTAGTGAAAAGGAAGACAAGCATTTACGAGCGTTCCTTGGTCCAACTCTAGGTGGGGTTTATTCACCTCTCATAACCACCCTAATAAGAAACAGGGCAGGATTTGGCTATCGTCCCTCTTGTATGTATACGGAGGTATTCATAACTCATCGTCTTTTCATTTTGATGATCCCCATGTCCTAGTTCCACCTCGGGAGCATCCAGTTACCCGCACTCTAGTCAGATTCGGTTGACCTGGACCAGCCAGATCGGCTTGTCCCTCGTCCGTCGTTGCTTGCTCGCCTTCTCTCTCTCTCTCTCTCTCTCTCCCCTCTCTCGCTAATACCAAAACGAACCTCGTGGAGAAAAAGAGAGACATGGCGGGCAGCCACTCGAACGGGAGGACTGGGGATATGTTATCTAAATGTCTAAGCTAGAGAGAGCCACATGTTTCGTGTCTTGGGGGAAAAAAAAAGACTAAGACCATTAGATAAACTGTTAAAGAAGTCTTCTCTCGATTTTCTCGCATTTCATTCGGCTTGTCTCATAACACTGCTACGCTCTGCGTGTACGGCTTGCCGAGTCCGCCGGGGTGTGGCGCTTTCGGTTACTTTTTGCGGTCCTTGTCAATCCCGTCCGATGGCCATGGCTGTATTCATTCCAGGATATAGCTCTCCAGTTTGTGGTTTCTCTGACAAGTAAAAAAAAAAGCACGGTAACATCGTGGTCTCTCCACACACAATGAAGATTCAACCCCGGCTAGCCAGCTCTCTTTAGACGCACATCCACGGGCCTAACTACATTAATTCATCTGTACCTTGAGTAGGGACCCTCGTCCTGTCAGACCTGTCATACCACATCTTATCCCTCGAGGGTTACCACGCACACCCCCCCCCCCCCCCTTCTTAGGTATCTCTTGTTATTCAGGGCCCCCGGACCTCGAAGGGCATTCACATCCCTGCTGCTGCATAGACTTACATATGTATCTATGTACGGTCTCCTCCACATGTTCTGTCTAAGCATCTAGCCCTACCTTTCCGTGCGTCTGATATTCCTATCTAGAAAAGCCTAGCTATGAGACTACATTGAGGCGTCTTATACCGGGAAGCTAGACCTTTAATCGATGGTCAACCTGGTGGAAGCCAGCTTCTTAGTCCTAAGTTGATTCTGTTTGCTACGCCGTCCACCCTACTACGTAACCCTTCGGCCGTTTCCATTTACACCAACGGCACAGGCCATCTTCCCGCTGCTCCTCGATGCACCAAAAGAAAGGAAAAGAGAGAAACCAAACGGAAAGAAGATAACCAGAAAACTAGAATAGCTCAGGAGAAGTGGCCTCGTTGCCTAAAGGTGTAAAAGAGTTGGGCCAACTTGATAGCAACGGTAGGCCCCCAGGTGTGTGTTGGTTGGCCTTTTACACGTCGACTTGTCCGTTGTTGCGCATGGGATACAACACCACCATACAACCAAGCTACCTACGTTGAGAGACTTGCACGTCTCCTCACCCACTCTCTTTATTTTCGGGAGACTTGCCGGACAGCCCTTTCCAAGACGCCAACCTTTTTGCTGCAGCTTACAACAACGCACGAGGGACCGTGAGTTCCGCATACAACAAAATACGGCAACCATTGCCCCCTTTTAAAGAACCAATTGGTTGACTGGATCTGAATATGCATGCCGTCTTCCGCCCGTAAAAGTCGAGTTGCCAAAAACCGTCCCGGCGGATCTCCACAGTCACCAGCGCCAATCCCACCTCTGTTATAGACTGTTCCTGCGGCTTATTACAGAATCTACGTCACAGAATATACCGGCAGCTAGCCTATATCGTGACAGCCGGACTGTGTCGGCTTATAGCCTACAAATTCTACCATCTAGCATAGGCGGCTCACTTAGACGATAGCCATGCACAATACAATGATCGGCTCAACTGGCATAGACCAGGATAACCACATGGCTCATGACAACTCATATTCCAACGAACAATGGGTCGACATGAGCGCCTATACCCATATGGCCATGACGACTTATCCCGGCGACTACTATATTCCACCGGCGACTCATGGATTGCCATCCGAGTCTATCGGCATGGCTCCTCCACCTATTCCGCACCATATGCATAATCAACCGCACAACAACTTTGCAAGTCATCTTCCGCATCCGTTGATAATACCAACACAGCAGCCTTCCCAGGTTCCATGGCCAAGTCTCCGGACGAACCCCTCTCAGAGCTACTCAGCACCTCCTGTACCAATCCCTCCGGCATCGGCTCCTGTGAGACAGCCACCGAGATTGCCAACGATCAATACGTCGCAGCCAAGGAAGACCTTGACGGACGAGGATCGTCGTAATATGTGCCTCTTCCACGAGGACAATCCCCATGCTAAGCAGACAGAGATTGGTCAAAAATTTGGTGTTGAGCGAAGGTAAGGTTGATAGGCGTTAAACCAAGTCACAGTCGCTAACGTTATCCTGGCAGCACGGTGTCGAAGGTATTACGAAGGAAGGAACTTTACCTGAATCTAGACAGTTCGGGTGGCTCTCCCGTGAAAAAGACTAAGGGAAAGTCGCCGCCAGATATTGAGCGGGCTCTGGCGAACTGGGTCAGGGGTCAACAGAAGAAGGGGGTTGTAGTCAGCGACACTCAGATGGAGGAAAAGGCGAGGGTCTTTTGTACCGGCTCGGACAGCCCCCTCAAAACCATCACAGCCTCCTGGATCGAAAAGTTCAAGCAGAAGCATAATATTGGACCGGGAAAGTTGATCCGTAGAGCTTCGGAGACAGCGATTCCAGATAATGCTCGACTAGATACCGGCTCGCCCTTACTATCTGCTACACATACACCAGGAGGCATTTCGCCGGCTTCACCAACAAACCAAACGGCGTCACCGCAAATGTCGTCGGTAAGCGAGAAATCCGAAGTGAAGGAATCTATCTCAAATAGCTTCATGGACTTCGAGACCAATGGATACAGACACCCACATTCTCAGAGCTCAACATCGCTCTCCAGTGCCGTCACAGACCCGCCGAGCTCAACCTTCTCAGCGGGTGCTTTCAGCCCATCATCACAGTTCAACTTTTCTCCAGACCCGAACACAGGCATGTTCAGCGACCGGAATCAAATGCCGCCAGGGGCCGCTGGTTTCCAGCGTCCCCGAAGTCAGACGGTTCCAGACCTTGGGCATCTCGAGTACATCAACCAATCGCAACCTTCGGAGCCGCTGACACCTAAATATAGCCAGGCTGGGACGGCACCCTCTTCTGCTCTGGAATCCCCGACCCACGAGATGTCAGGTTCGTCCTATAGCGGGCTAGACTCGGCCATCTCCCCACCAACACAGTTACATCATGTAAGCAGCAATAGCAGTTTAACCGGCAGGTCGAACTGCTCAGGGACAGCTGGAGTTTCCGGAACTTCGATGGGCTCTTCGCCTAGTTCACCCACTCAGGAGGATGCCAGACGAGCCGCGGACACGCTCCTTAGTTTTATGCAACAAATCAAATCGACTGGTTTGGTCGACCAGAACGACTTTTTAATAGTCTTGGGTCTTACCGAGAAGCTGAGGTTACAACCACAGCAACAGCATGGGGGACCCCAGGCGAACTCGGCAACCCAAGGTCTTGGTGGTCTATCGAGGATACCGGAAGGAGACACCGAGATGACAACAATCCCTTCACCCTTGGTGAAGAACGAGACAGCGATGAGTGTGTGACTGCACTGGTGTCCTATTTTTCTAAAGGAAGCAGTTTCGAAGACTACGTGTGGCATCATAGCGTGAAATTTCATGGCTTTTTGTTTTTTTGCTGAATAGTGCGAGGCCTATACCTCTTACCACTGGGACGGCAATGAAATAAACTTGATAACCCCCCGAATAGCACGGCGAGTCAACGAATAATCTGGAAGGCTTTACGGACTCTCAAGAGTAGCAAGCCATTCTACACGATGCGACGAAACGGGAGCTACGAAGCCACTGCATTCCACGTCTCTATATCTGCTTCTATATATATAATACCTACAACTCCGGAATAATCGAAAAAAAAAAATCCATAACACATCCAACCGACGGTGGGCGCAAGGGGCGACAGCAGTGTGTCACAAATACTCGTACTTCAGCATAGGGAATGGGCGAATCGACAGGACCAAGGAATAGGAACAGGAACAGGAAACCACCAGGCTTTCCCCGGACAGGCGGATCTCGGCTGAGGGAACGGAGTAACAGGAAAAGGACAAAAAAATTTAATCATATCATCATCATCATCATCATCAACAACAAACACCAAACATCACCGAGCGTAATTGTATACACTACATTCTCACGAAGCATCATCATATCATATACATACATATACCCCCGTCGCCCCACCGCGCGTCCAGCGAATATACCCCGAAATCGAGCAATCGACGAGAAGACGAGAGAGAAAGGAGCAGGGAAGAGAAGGGAAGAGGAGGAGAAACTTATTATTATTATTATTATTATTCGGAGCTATCGCTACCAACTCTTCTTTCGAAGGCAATATTGACATATACACCTCACTACGATACCATCATTAACAAACCAACTTCTTCTTCATCATCATTATCATCATCATCATCATCATCATCTGGCCGGCAACAAGACTACGACCCGCTCACGCGAATACCACAAGGAAATCTCCATATCGCGCGTCTCGAGAAAACACACACACACACACACACACACACACACACATATATATATATCCAGGTGTTAATTGTTCTACTTTTCTTCCTCTCCGTCTTACTTCTCGCTTATTTTGAAATTTCCAAATCTGGTTGTTTTTTTTTCTTTCCCTACAAGATTCCCCCGGTATATATATATATACGCATGGTTTGTTTATGTACAGTTCTGCCTGCCTCGAGCCGTTCGGTTTGAAGAGAGAGAGAGAGAGAGAGAGAGAGAGGGAAAGGGAGGGGGCATGGAGGAGGAGGAGGAGGGACGAGGACGAAGACGAAGATGAGGGCGTTCGTTTGCATCGAATAGTATCTTGATGGGGGGACAGAACCAGGTTTCTATTACGAAAACTATGTTATCTGTGCAAGATAAAGGGGGGAAACGTTGGAGCGAGGAAGGAGAAGGCGTGAAGGTGTTCTGGTGACCGGTGTCGGTGTCGGTGTCGGTGTTGGTACGTGTCTTGGTGGAAAGGGAGTTTATTGATTTCGGTTCACTGTTTCTCTACATAGCAGCACTATCGGGCGTTCATCTGGGTTGATTTCTCTAAGTCGCTGACACTAATCGAATTTACACTACTCTGACTCTACTTACCTATTTTCCCCCCGGCTTCCAACCTCTACATTCCATGTGCTTTTTTCTCATCGTCCCATCTCGTACTGCCAAGCCATGTGCCGATGATGAGGCGACCGGAACAAACCACATCACCCTGTATAAGTCTACGCTTACTACTACTTCCGTACTTCCCGTATACTATTCCCTGGTGAGTTACAGATGAGAGACAGGCAGACAGGCGGACAGGCATGTTACTCGCAACCAGTGACCTTTGGGATGGGTTGGGATGGGTTAGGTTACACCCCGCAACGAGAAAGGGATTTGGTTTCGTAGCCCGACTGCTCCAATTGATGACCGAACGTTTATTTTTGGAGTGCCGAACCCAGATGCTACCAACCTAGGCTCTTTCACAAGCCAGACGACGAAACAGGAAGAGGCGATGTAAACATCGGTACCTACAGGCAATCTGGGGCGGCTCTGTAACTACTTTCCGGAACTACTCCTGCTTCGGTCCCGTTAGGTCTGTCTGCTGCTTATGTCGTAGAAGCATGTTGCATTGCATGAAGGGGTGCACTCGATCTGGACAGGGCGGTGCATTATAACTTTGAAACTCTCCTAAATTTCTTTCTGTCTGTTCTAACCACGCGTCGGTTGGTCGGGTATCAATCAATCATTACCTTAACTTATTTCATTTACGAGAAACCGAACGTCCGGCCTTCCTCAACTTAGTCGATCTTCCCATAGTTCGATGACCCCCTTTTCGGTTAGTTCGGGCATGAGGCGCACCAGAATGAGTTCTAGAATTCCGTACAATAAGTGCTTGTTACAGTAGGGATCCGAGAAGACGTCGAGAACGCCCGTCTCGATTTCGGATAGAATTCTGTTCTCATCTTCGTCCTCGTCCTCGTCTCCGTTACACATGTCAGCCCGTTTGTCGCCACCGGCCTCGGTCGGTCGCACACCGGTGTCTCCAATTTGCCGCTTTGATTTGTCTGGGGTCAACGTTGCATGGTTGTCTCTAACAGATTTGCCATCATCGGTAAGCCGCACGCGTGCAACTTCCTCTCCAGTACGGTTGGCATTATGCGTCGTGTTATAGCTGTCGGCCTTAAACGGTCCGGACCGCGAACTCGCACTCGAAAGAGTGCTAGTAGATCTGGTAGACCAAGGCCAGATACTGCTACCGTAATAAAGCCTGCCCACCCTCTTCGGAACAAGCGCCAAAAGCGCGCTAGCGCATCTGCGGCGTAAGGCGCCCAGCTGCTCGTCAGACGAAGGAGGGATTAGGCTGGATGAACCTGGAGCATTATTGGGGAAGACAGCGCCGCGCACGGCTCGAAGGAGTGGGGGAAGACGGACAGGATCGAGGATATAGACGTGGATGTAGTGCGAAAAAAGTCTGTGCGAGATCAGTATGTACAATGCAAACCATGTACAAGGAGAACATTAATAGAAGCTTCTAAGGAAAAGTCTTGTAGGGGGCGTGGGGGGTAGAGTGGTACAAGTGTGACTATATGCGGAATGTTTCGAGGTAGAATGGGGTACGCGATGTTGCATGGATTGCTGAGACGCGAACTCAAAGGCGAGCCAGATTTCCTAGGGCAGATAATCTTGATCCGTTCTGTAAAACCATACTGCAACCATGGCTTCATGGCCAAGGTCCAGTCGACAAATTGTAGCCAAGCTTGATAATGATTGATAATGCGAAGTCGGTCACGCCTGCTAGTATCAAAACGACAAGCGATGTGAGGCTTCAAGACATCGTGGAGCCTTTGCATGGGGTAGAGAAAGCTTGTACGGGGGAGCTAAGAGCTGCATGAGCCCGGGTTACCCCTGGCCTTATCCGATCGGGGGAAGAGGCGCGACGATGACGGGATCTCCTGGCACAAATATGTGAGGCCGAAGCCCAACAAGCTCAGATCGATTGAATATTGATCAGAACGGCCATGATGGCGTACGATGCTTGCCTGGCACCAGGGTGTTCGACCGCCACATTTTCTTGCTCTCGGAAAGTATTCGGAGCATCCCGGTCCAAGCTAGTGACCATCCCTTGGATGATCACGTCCGACTATATCCAGAGCTGAATATGCTAACCTAAGTCGTGCTTGTTCCATCCATCGAACTGATGGTCGGATACATTACATTATGGCGGGTGAATACGGAAAGCACCAGCATCTAAGTAGGATAGCAGACATTGCTAAAACATCTACTAGACTTGAGAGTATCCGTTATAAAATCCATAACCTAACGCCGTGAGCCGGAGACACGCCCGTGCATGTTAGGACGGTACCTGCGGGGCCGGCGGCACGAAGCGAATGGGAAAAGTGTTCGTGGTGTCGTACCAAGGATTGATGGAATGTCTAATGCGATCCTTGGTTGAGGGTAAGAAATCCCTGCAAGCCCCAAAGTTGGGCGCGTAAATAAGGCTCGCGGATGGCCAGGCAGGCCTGGTAGATTCAGCCCCGCGCCGTTTATCGTGCAATCGGATGAAGGACATCGAGGTTTACCCGGTCATTGGTCATGATAAAAAAAGGACCCTGGAATAATAGAATGCTTCATGCTGGGTCCCTGGTGAGTACCGGACTTTGGATGGCTACCTGTTTATCCGGCCATGAAACTGGAGCATTGGAACGTCGCACAGCATCTGCCTCGACTTGAGGTGGCCTTTGCTGAAAATGGTCTGGGCAGTGTATACTGTACTTTGTCTGGCCGATCTGCCAAGTCGATATCCGACGGTACGAAATTAAAGTAGTGACGGGGGAGGAGATGCCCGTCATGCGCACTTGTGAGAGATATCGTTTCTAAGAGATGAATGGACAAACTAAGATCCTGTGACCTGAAGCGTATGCGAGGTGACGAGATATGTGCTTCTGTGATGAGTGATAGAGGAAGGAAGAAGACTGATTCGCCTACCTATCGATCATCCCGTTAAACCCTGCCAAGTTGCCCGGACCTCTCAGGGCTCCCCATTGTGCCATGGACAAAGTTCCGCTCATCCAGGGCATGCGAGCGTCTATTTCGAGTAAATTCCCAACGCAAGCCCAGAGCTTGAAGTCTGCGATGGGAACGTTGACTGGTTGTAAACCAACTTCAGAGGTTGGAGGATGGTAGGATTTCTCTCCATAATCATGCGACGTTGGATCTACCTGGCGGATGGTAGGGATGGACCTAGGAGGGAGTGTTCGGGATAGCATGATGGTACTGATCATCAGTCGTATCGAGTTTACTATAACGAACCCCCACTGAATTACGGTCCAAAAAAACTGCTGAATGTACAAGCTCCGTTTTCTCGTAATCGGCGGGACTATGCCGCGGATTGTCTTTAGATTCGCGTCTGGTTCCATGTCTCCAGGCCCAGATGCCTCTATTGTGCTTCTTGCACGCACTATTCTCGTTAGTATAATCAGACCTTCCCATATAAGCCATGGCTCCGAGAGCTTGTTAATGATGAGATTGCCTATGACAAGTTCCGAGAACAGTTGCTCAACCAGCGTCGTCAAGCACTCGTTCTCGAGATCCTCGGTTGGAAGCAAGAGGGCTAGGACGCCCTGTACTAACAGTTGGCGGTATGCACTTTCGTTATCTTCCTGAGTCTGTATGCTACTGTGTCCAGATTTAGGAACCGGGGACAGGGCAGGCAGCGGCCAGAGCGAATGGTAGATCTCGCGTGGATTGGCCTCGACTGGTGGCCGAGCTACCGTGTTCCTCGCTACTCGATATGCTGCATGATATTGTCAGTAATAAAATGATATTAGACTAAAAACTAAATATGCCGGCCAACCTCGGATATGTGCGTCTAGCAATTCTGGAAGCTCATCGAATAATAAACTCTCGAGATCTACGTTCCGCAGCCTCTGCTCCAACGCGCGGGTACAATGCGCAATAATCTGCACGATCTCGGCGACGAATGTCTCGTCGGGCGTAATCTTGGTATACCAATTTTGGACGAACTCCTTAATAATGATAGCTATTAGGGCATATAGCTGAAGATCTACATCGTTTCGGCTCGTAAGAGGCGGCAGTAGATCTTGGATGGGCGCAGGCGTGCTCCTCCCCCTATCTGCCAGGTGCTGAGCGCAAAGCACACGGCGTATGAATGTAGCGGTAGCCTTATCGGACAAGAAGTCTGACGATACGGGACGAGGGGATCGGCGAGGCACCGAGGTGGGTGGAGTTGTATGAGGCGAGCTAGAAGGCTTGCTGCCAGTGGAGGTAACGGACTCGGGATTGGTGCTCGAAGTCGCTGGTGCTTTTAAGCTGGTCGGAACCGGGCCACCACCTTTAGGCGGGACGGTGCCCGATGGTGCTGCCGTCATCGCCCGGTATGAGGAGTACGGTATGTTCACCGGGATATCGTCATGCTAGTTAAATTCAGCGGAGAGCTACCTCGTTCAATATGTACACAGTATGCTCAGTGGTACATATGTAGAGCTCAGTGGTATGTAGAAGATAAAACGGCCGTAGAGTGGGTTGCAAGCGGTTCGGAAGTGGTTTGGGTGGTTATAGGTAGTTATCGCGCTAGTTGCTGCCCGTTGGTTTGCTGCCCGTTTGCTGCCCGTTTGCTGCTGCAGGAACGATAATATTCTTCGCTATCAGTTTCCTTGTCCCATTTTTTCTTTCTTTAGGGGATGCTGCATCCTGCAACTGTGCGGCAGCCTGTGCCACCTGCAATGACGTTAGCGGATTAGGTACCTAGATTAAGCTACCTTAGGTAGGTACCTAATGTACAGCGGCAGAGCGGCGCGCTCCGGAGCCTGCATAGGCCTCTTCGCAAGAAGCACAGGCCTTCAGGGTACATCGCTTCCTGACTTGCATCTACTATATCGGCGCAAGGATAGCCATGCTACTTTTCCTAGTTGTTGAGCCTCATTTATACATACTAACGTACGTACATGTTGATAATTGATAATACTTACCAAGTTATTAAGCTCGTATCTATTACGAAATATCTGACTCTCCAGAATTCAATTATATTTTTCATTGTTTACTTGTATATTTCACTTCATTATGGTGGTTTGTTATACCTACCTAAATTTAATACAACCCGATTTATTTGCACGGAGTGATGTGGTTCCTTATAAACATGGCCGCAGTCCTCTAGTACCGCACTTCTATGGTCATATACATTAATGATTGTACAAGGCCACACCTCATTCGGCGCTTTTCGTTGTTGCTTCGTATCTGCCAAAATCGTTAGAAGCAGGAATCTGAACAAGCTCGAGAATCTCTTATTGTAAAGCACGTACCTCTTTCCTCGGAACGCCCACACCCCCCAGTTACCACAGCTGATATCTTGTGGATCAAGGTCATTGAGATCCCATCGCAAACTCCTGAAGATGTTCTCGCCAGGTTCCATGAGCATGTCAAACTCGCCACCGCAAGTTTTCTTTACCCATTCAATATCTCTGTCCATGTCATACTGCGTGTAGCCGGTTACTATAACAGGGGCCTTTGTCTCAAGGAGTAGAGGTACCGTTTCTGTCCACTCGTGAGAGCTGGCTGGGTGTCCTAATCCTGGATGGAACATGACAAAACAGTCAAAATACGGATCATAGGGGTAAAACTGGCCAGTCCTATGGAGAGTATGATAGTAATCCACAATGGTGCTAATTTTCATTGTCGGCCACACCCGGTCTTCTACTATGGCACCGAAGGGATTGGATGGAGTTCGGGGTGGCAATGGAAATTCATCGTCTCTGTTGGTCATGCTCTCGGGTCCAATGAAGATAAGGTGAAACTTCCCTCGAGGGAATAGGTGAGCCAACTGTACCCAGACATTCCGAGGTAGAGATGATTCCGCACGAGCCCCGAGAATAAATATTCTTACTGGAGGTGCTTCGGGTCGCAAGCCCTTGATTGTTTCTCCGCCGCCCGTCCGGGGTGGATGTAAAGTATATCGTAGAGCGCTTAAGCTTTTCAAGCCTTCCACCGTGAGCCTGCCACCTTTCCTAATATTATATGGGCTAAGTTCGTGTAAGATGCTACCTATCGTTATCGGGTAGGTAAGTAGCCTCGTAACCTGCCGCATGTTCCGGTCATCGTTGATAGCTTCGAATTGCCTCGTATAGAGAAAGGTGTCCCAATTGATCATATTTACAGCGGCTTCTTCCATCTGAGGGCCTGCGTACTCGAATTCGGGGAAGAATCTCCCCGAGCGAAGATCGTGGTCATCTTCATTGATCTGTCGTAACGTGTCGCAAATTTGAAGATGAGCCTCATAATCCTCGGCCCAGTGCTTCTCACTACAATAAACGGGGATTCCACAGTCCGGACATTCAAAGTCGACGAGGGCTGGTGCTTGCGCACCGGAACCTGTAACGCTAGGCGGGGTATTGGTACTGGCTGGATCTCGCGTGGGTTGATGGTCGGGGTGAGGACAATGGGCGTGTTGCCTTATAAAAGCAGCACGGTGGCGTATTTCGGGAATGGGCGAGTTGGTGAAAGAATGGAAAAGGTCGTCAGGGCGGAGGACCGGAGGCTTCGATTGGTTCTCGTACGTTGTGGCTGGTCCTAGAGCAACTGCATCGTCCTCGACTGTTTTTGACTGCCGGCCAAATAGAGATACAGGTCTTGAGAGACATTTCCTAGCCTCAGCAGACGGGACAGGACGCCGCGAATGTATAATCGGACTAGGAGAGCAAGCCTGTTGTAGTGACCGTGAAGATGTAGCTTTACAGAATGACCTTGTCATAGGCGGACGGGTTGTATTGGCTGCGGAGAGCCTTATACATGTCCGGCAAGTATTAGAGGCTGCCAGGCGCATTGAAGGCTCCATTGTTAAAGCTTCCTTGGTGATGGTCCATACAACGGTGGTTATAAATTTGCGACTGAATACCTAGGTAGCTTTAAGCTCAAGAAATGTATGGCATGAAAGATGCATCTATTTTCATGTACCCTTGTACCTATAGTGGGATGGATTGATGACCCCAAACTCCTGTACCTATGTACCATCATCCATCCAGTGAGCAGTGTGGATAAAGATTAATCCGGTTAATCCGTCCCAAGACCCACAAGAGCAAGAGCTTTAACAAACGGGTCAACTTATTGGCGAACTGAATACTTAGTGCCTCCAATCAAGTTCTTCAGTTCGATTGAAGCTCCATCAACTTGAAAGAAAAACTTTGGAGCTTCCTTTACAGGAGGTAACTCAGTTGTCTAAACCAGCTTCATATTATAACGGAGAGGAGATAGATAGATTAGAAGAGTCGCGCAGGCTTTCTGCGCATCTCCTGCGACGATGGCGACTACTTCTAATATGTTTCTTTACTCTTTAACTATCCAGCCACCCACCACAATCACTCAAGCTATTCTCGGTCAATTCTCTGGCACCAAAGAACAGCAAATCATCACAGCCTCAGGCTCGCGACTCACGCTACTGCGTCCCGAACCATCGCAAGGAAAGGTTATTACCCTTCTGTCTCACGATGTTTTTGGCATCATCAGGTCCATTGCTGCCTTTCGCCTGGCGGGAAGTAATAAGGGTAAGTCTTATATCCGCCCCTTACTTGTGAGGCTTCACTTAGTGATTTTTGAAGCTGGGTCGATAGAAACATTCGAACTGCCGCCTCGACATATGGTGCGGTATCTCGACCCTCGAGGAATTATTGTTCGGCTAGAGCTCTGCTAACCCTTCTCCTCACAGACTACATAATACTTGCTACTGATTCGGGACGCATTGCAATAATCGAGTATATTCCTCAGCAGAATCGGTTCAAGCAACAGAAGCTCGAAACTTTTGGAAAGTCTGGGGTGCGTCGGGTCGTTCCTGGACAATATCTAGCCTGTGATCCCAAAGGTCGTGCCTGTCTTATCGCGTCGATCGAAAAGAACAAGTTGGTCTATGTCCTGAACCGAAATGCTCAGGCAGAGCTTACTATTTCTTCGCCCCTAGAGGCGCACAAACCGGGAACGATTGTGCTATCCATGGTCGCTTTAGATGTCGGTTACGCCAACCCAGTATTTGCAGCGTTAGAGGTCGATTACTCCGAAGCAGACCAAGACCCTTCAGGCCAAGCTCTTACTGAGGTCGAGACGCAGTTAGTCTACTACGAACTGGACCTTGGGTTAAATCATGTTGTCAGAAAATGGCATGAACCAGTTGATCCAACTGCGTCTATACTGTTCCAAGTCCCCGGCGGTAATGACGGACCTAGCGGTGTTCTGGTCTGTGGAGAAGAGAATGTCACATATAGACACTCTAACCAAGAAGCATTCCGTGTGCCAATTCCCAGAAGAAAAGGCGCAACAGAAGATCCTCAAAGAAAGCGTTCAATCGTCTCCGGTGTCATGCACAAACTAAAAGGAAATGCAGGCGCATTCTTTTTTCTCCTACAAACGGAGGATGGTGACCTTTTTAAGGTTACTATTGACATGGCGGAAGATGATGATGGTAATGCAACTGGAGAAGTACGAAGGCTCAAAATTAAGTATTTCGACACCGTCCCGGTCTCTACAAACCTCTGCATTCTGAAGAGCGGTTTCTTGTTTGTTGCCAGCGAATTCGGGAACCATCACTTCTACCAATTCGAGAAGCTAGGCGATGATGACGATGAATTGGAGTTCACCAGCGACGCCTTCCCGACAGACCCACAGGCATCATACAATCCCGCCTATTTCTACCCTAGGCCGGCTGAAAATCTAAGCCTAGTTGAGAGTATCGATTCAATGAATCCCCTTGTTGATTGCAAGGTAGCCAATTTGACTGGTGATGATGCACCACAAATTTACTCTATCTGCGGGAATGGTGCGCGGAGCACGTTTAGGACTCTGAAGCATGGTCTAGAGGTCAATGAAATCGTAGCCTCGGAGCTTCCAGGTGTCCCATCTGCTGTTTGGACCACCAAGCTTAACAGAGACGATCAATACGATGCTTATATTGTCCTCTCGTTTAGCAACGGTACTTTGGTGCTCAGCATTGGCGAGACTGTAGAGGAAGTAACTGATACCGGTTTCCTCTCAACGGTTTCAACGTTGGCCGTTCAGCAACTTGGCGATGACGGCCTCATTCAGGTACATCCCAAAGGTATCCGGCATATCGTTCGAGGGCGGGTGAATGAATGGGAAGCGCCGCAACATCGATCAATTGTTGCCGCTTCCACTAATGAACGACAAGTTGCTGTTGCGTTAAGCTCGGGTGAAATTGTCTATTTCGAGATGGCCGATGATGGGTCCTTGGCTGAATATGACGAAAAGAAAGAGATGTTCGGGACTGTTACCTGCCTAAGTTTGGGTGAGGTTCCCGAAGGTCGTTTGCGAAGTTCATTCCTTGCTGTTGGGTGTGATGACTGCACCGTCCGAATCCTTAGTCTGGACCTGGAGTCCACCCTCGAGAGCAAATCTGTACAAGCGCTGACTGCTGCCCCTTCTTCGCTTTCTATAATGTCTATGGAGGACTCGGCATCAGGTGGTTCAACCTTATACCTGCACATTGGCTTGCATTCAGGCGTCTATTTGCGGACTGTTCTAGACGAGGTGACTGGAGAATTGACTGATACCCGTCAAAAATTCCTTGGGCCTAAAGCTGTACGACTCTTCCAGACCTCAGTCCAAGGTCGTACCTGCGTCCTGGCTCTCAGCTCGAGAACTTGGTTGGGCTACTCGGACCCAATCACGAAGGGTTTTATGATGACTCCTCTAGATTACAGCGATCTGGAATGGGGATGGAATTTCAGTAGCGAGCAGTGCGAGGAAGGTATGGTGGGCATTCAAGGCCAAAATCTTAAGTAAGTGAATTTTCTTATTCTACGTTCAAGCCGAAGAATGATGAGAAACTGGATCCGATGCCTCGGCTATGAGGTCTTTACGCATACCAATTGTTCCTACTGAACTTCACACATTTCCTACCTAAATATGAGATTCGGGAAAATGACAGAATGCTAACGGTAGCAGAATCTTCTCTATCGACAGGTTGGGGGACACTCTGCTACAACAATCGATACCACTCACCTATACCCCAAGACGTCTCGCTAAACACCCCGACCAGCCCTATTTCTATACTATCGAATCTGACAATAACACATTGCCACCTGAGCTGCGTGCTCAACTCCTGGCTGACCCTGGCGTCGTTAATGGCGATGCCGCCGTGCTGCCGCCCGAGGAGTTCGGATATCCCAGAGGCCGTGGCAGATGGGCGTCTTGCATCAGTGTCGTGGATCCATTAACAGAGAAGAGAGTTCTGCAAACACTAGATTTGACCGATAACGAAGCTGCCGTTAGTATGGCAACGGTCTCATTTGCGAGCCAGGACAACGAGACGTTTCTCGTGGTTGGTACTGGGAAGGACTTAATTGTCAGTCCCCGCCAGTTTAGCGCAGGATATATACATGTCTACAGATTCCGTGACAACGGCAAAGAGATCGAATTTATTCATAAGACCAAGGTAGAAGAACCACCCATGGCGCTGGTGCAATTCCAGGGTCGACTGCTGGCAGGAATTGGCAAAACCCTTCGCGCCTACGATCTTGGACTTCGCCAACTTCTACGGAAGGCGCAAGCTGAGGTCGCACCGCAGCTCATTGTCTCCTTACAAACTCAAGGCAGTCGTATTATCGTTGGTGACGTTCAGCAAGGAGTGACGTACGTCGTATATAAATACGAGAGTAACAAACTGATACCGTTCGCTGACGACACAATACCACGCTGGACAAACTGCACAACTATGGTAGATTATGAGTCAGTTGCTGGTGGAGATAAATTCGGAAATATCTGGATTGTACGATGTCCACAAAAAGCAAGTGAAGAGGCCGACGAAGACGGAACCGGTGCGCATCTTCAGCACGCCAGGGAATATTTGCATGGCGTGAACCACCGCTTGAGTCTCATGGCCCACTTCTACACGCAGGATGTACCCACCAGTATAAGCAAGACCAACCTGGTGGTAGGTGGACAAGATGTACTTCTCTGGAGCGGGATACAAGGGACTATTGGCGTATTTATCCCTTTTGTTAGTCGAGAAGATGCGGATTTCTTCCAGAGCCTTGAATCGCACATGCGAAGTGAGGATCCGCCCCTTGCTGGAAGAGATCACCTTATATACAGGGGTTACTATGCTCCTGTCAAAGGGGTTATTGATGGCGACCTATGTGAAAGATTCACATTGCTCCCTAATGATAAGAAGCAAATGATTGCAGGAGAGCTAGATCGCTCGGTCCGAGAGATCGAGAGGAAGTTATCCGTAAGTGAAATCCACTAAACTCTTCTACCCAATATCCAAGCTTACATTTAACTAGGACGTACGAACTCGGTCGGCATTTTGATAAGGGAAGGCTGGACAATGCAATGGCGCCTGGAGTAACAAGGAGCACACTGTATTTACGAAATGAATTTCTCGAATCCGGATAGCGGAACACTCAATCGAATGGTTAGTATGTCCACTTAACCCTACGGATTTTCTCGTACTATCAGTGCTCTAAAGGGCACGGAATTATGTATAAAACTTATCCCTATATAATCCAGAAGCGCCAAAAATTTTAAAACACAAGCTAAATTTATCTTTATTTCTCTATCCTCTACGCCCCCTCCAATACGAGCTCCTATTGGCTGGCCTCGCAATCCCTTTACCTCTTCCCGCTGCCTCAACTGGGTGTGTCCGTTCCCACTCTTCATCGGCGAAGAAGGCTTCTGTTGCCATTTCGAGATCATAACCGGCCTGTTCCAAGTAAAGGACGGCAACGTCGTATTCATGGACCTTACACGTCACCATCCATCGCCGGATCTTAGATTTTCGCGCCTCTTCTTCTTCACCCTCGATGGGTCGTGGTGACAGGCTCACGCCACCCTTATAGTACTCTCCAGGTATGAGTATAGTCCGTCGCCCTAGAATTAGGTGATCACTTGTGATATTATTGGCGCGCCTAAGAACCGATGCGGGGACACCGTATCGGAGGGAAAGAGAGGAAATAGTATCATGCTCATGATTTAAGAAGTGTAGGGTATCCTCTGGCGGCTTGTCGAGAGAATCAAAAGAGACGGACTTTTCGTCTAATTGGTTTGGGATTTTGTGTGCTGCGGACGGCGTATACGGCGGTGGTGCAGCTAATATGTTTTTTGAACTAGTTGCGACCGAAGATTCATATGAAGGGGGGTCTTTTAGACCTGGCGGGAGTTTCGTGTCTATTAACGAGATTTGACAATAGGGACAATAAGTATTAAAGCGAGGATTGTTCTACTCGCGACGGTCAGTTCGTCTGGAAATATCGGACCTACGAGGTAGAGAGACAGGTATCAACGCACACTGCGACAGTTACCACATATTACCCTTTGGCAACACTCTAACAGACGATCTTTTGGTAGAGGCTTTTCCGAGTCGCTATATCGTGGAACGTGGCAAAGGAGAGTTGCGCAGGTGCAACAAGACTCGACAGGCGTTGTGATAGGTTTCGTGAAGGTCATGATGCCTAAATTGAGTAATAATAATAATAATATATAATACTATACAATCGTAACTTAGGGGATGCTAGATGTAATACTGGATGTAATAGTAATGGCCTTTGGTGTGTGTATAAAATACATGTATAAATGGAAGGTTACCTATGCTTCACTACCCGTGCCGAGATCTAAGATGCGAAGGTGGCGTGCCAGTGATAGCAGCAGGTGCCTTTCCACGCATGACGTTTCTGCTTATCGATAAAAATAAATAAGTCGGAGATTAAAAGGCTTTAGCTCGGGTGGGTTTAACGCTGATCCACCTTGACGTTTCTGATGTCAGCGGTAAGAAGTACCTAACCTATCATCCTAACCTACCCTTAGTCTGTGACCCAAGAACTGTTCTTGAATGGTCATAATCAATGTTGCCTACCAAATTGATGCATGTCACCCCTTAAAGCTAATATGGCATTGTCTACAAAGTAAATGTTCTCGAAATCGAAAGGATAAATAGCCACGAGGGCCATCCTAAGCCCATTATATGAAAATTGAGTGGCAAACGTCGGTTAAGCGACAAGCGCGCATCCGCATCCGCATCCCCTATGCAGCTTTAGAGCAACGAGGAGTCGAGGACCTGAAACTATCGATTAGCCTCCCTTCCCTTACGAATCGTCCGAAGTTGTACACAACATAACGATAAACGGTATTTAAGCCATACATCGATAGCTTCAAATGCAATAGTAGTACACAAGCCTTAACCTTCGCTCGGAGCTTTAGTCAAAATGGCCACCGCTGCCACCACGGCGCCATCATCTGTGGCTCCTCCTCCTCCTCCCAAACCTCCAAGCCCATCGGTCCCCGTTATTCTCCACGAAGCCGGACTCGATTCACCCTCATTCCGGGCTTCCGCTCTATATTTTTCCGAACAAGTAGATGCGATCGAACGATGGTTAGAAGGCTACGTTAGGACGACAGCTAAATTATCCCACGAGTTGCTTGGCGTGGAGGAAACCATAAATAACTATCTGAGCAAGATCATTCCGCCCCCGAATATCAATGTGGTTGATAACGACTATGCCGCACTGGCACTTAAAAGGTTCAGTGAGGGGTCAAGGGAGTGGTGGACGCAGGTCTTGAATGCTGCTAGGAAAATGGACACAATGTCGGTCGAGCCGATTCGAATATTTCTCCAAGGCGATCTACGAAATTTTAAGGAGGCCAGAAGAGCATTAGAACAAACACAGAAGGTCTTTGATACTACTTTGGCTCGGTACGTAAGTCAGTCTAAGACGAAGGAACCCTCCTCGCTGCGAGAGGACGCCTTTTCCGTATACGAGACTCGTAAGGCTTATCTGAAGGCATCCATGGACTTTTGCTTCTTCGCGCCTCAATTCCGCATCAATCTTGACAAGCTACTCGTGCGAATATCTTGCGACCTCTGGCGCGATATGAAGAGGTCTCGGGACGCTGCAGGAAGCTTTGGGAAATATGGTCACGAGATGGATCGCGTGAGAGGATGGTCAAAAGAGATGGAACTATCCGAGCCCGTTTTCAGACGCGAGTTACAGATATCGCGTCGCGATATCGGAGAGACTACTCTGGCAGCATTTAAACCGTCACGAGAGATTGACGACTATAGCGCATCAACTGTGCCATTCCTAGGATCTAGGGGGCCCATGAATGTCTCTACGGCCGATCAGTCTGCTGCGATAATGGAGAAACAAGGTTGGCTGTTCCTACGGACTATAACAGGCAAGCCATCTCGAACAAACTGGATTCGAAGATGGTATTACTGCCGAGAAGGTATCTTTGGCTGGCTCGTAAACAGTCCTCAGGGTGTCTTGCAAGGCGACGAGATTGGTGTCCTCCTATGCAATGCGAAGCCCGCCGTAGGAGAGGAACGTCGGTTCTGCTTTGAGGTGAAAACCAAGAACCAGACATTACTACTCCAAGCCGAGACGCAAGCTCAATTAATAGAGTGGCTCGAGGTTTTCGAAGTCGCAAAGAAGAGGGCTTTCGAAGCAAGCGTTACTAGGGACAGCTCTTCTCTTCCAGGTGGTGTTGATCCAGCCTTCTCTATTACACCACCTTCGCTTCCGGAATTCTCGGCCAAATCTTTAGATGCCCAGATTGATGATGGGGCAGGTGCCGAGCGATCTGGAACTCTACCAACTCCTGAGGTTGGACTAGTACCCCGGCCAAGCTTTGATATCACAACAGCTCCCCCGAAGCGATCAGTGACGTCGCTAGCCCGTGAGGAAGGGGAGAGTGGTCGAGAGCACGCAGCCAGGATCATGCAGAAGCTCGATCTTCATCGGAAAGCTACTTTCACCTCAAGCATGGATACAGGGCCATTGTCATCACCAGCGCCGACGGGTGGTATAGCTAGTCTGATATCCGCCAGTCACGGTCTACTACCAGGTTATCCTCCCACTGCCTCCAAACAACAGCTACCAGGACTTGTCTTACCGGGTCCCGAATCGCAACCTGGTAGTCTTGCACCTCCGACACTAGCGAAGCCACCGGCAACGACCCATCTTAGCAAGACGGCTGTTGTGTATAGCGGCGACAGAGTGCTGAATACGAATGCATGGCATACCTTGCCGACGGCGATAGTAGCTAATTATTGGGGAAGCAATACCTGGGGTCACGAGTACTCGCCAAAGATCCCCCGAACCGACAAAGATGTTGACGATCCATTTGGACCAAACTCGCCCTCGATTAAGATGACTACACTCAACGAGGGTGAAGAGTTCAGAAGCCCGGTTTCATCGCATAAGAAGGCTATCAGCATGGATGCTAAGATAAACCATCCAAAAATCGTCCTGCCCACTCCAGAAAAATCACTGCCGGAGACTTTCTCTCCTGATTATCCCATAGAATTAAAGACCAACTCAGCACAGTTCAGGTTACTTTTCCCGAGCGTACCATTAGATGAAAAGCTAGTTCTAGTCTTCAGAGCTTCTTGGACCAGCACCTCGGAAGCCGAGCGTGACGTGCCCCAGATGGCTGGCAACGGGCGAATCTACGTTACTCCAGATAATATGTACTTCTACGGCCATCAAATGGGCTTCGTCATAACGTATACCATTAACCTCGATACCATTACAGAAGTAACAGCTGCTCCCGGCAGAGATTGCGATTTCATATTTCTCCATTTGAATCAGGGTACTGACGACATTGGATATACCCGAATAACAATAAAAACATTCCTCGAAGATCTTGATCTCCTACACGCACGTCTGAACCTTCTCGTTGACGACCTTCAAGCTGAAGAGCCCATGGACCTCCCTGAGCTCATCAGGGCGCTCATCAGTTTGGAGAAGGAAGAAATGGACAGAAGAAGTCCCAGCGTGGATAGTTGGGAAGAAATTTCAGAGCATACTCCTATCGATGACGGTACTGCCGGCGGTAGGGCCATCAGTCCCCGGTATCACGACTCCGCTTACAACTCTCGACGCAGAGGCGCGAGAAAGCCTCTTCCTAAGTTCCAACTCCCAACCCATCCAGTAATCTACGAGCCCGAAGATATGCAGAAGATGGTTGCCGAGCGGAACTTCGAAATTAGCGCTAAAGCATGTTTCCACGTCTTGTTCGGAGATAAGAGCTTCGTCTTTCCCAAGCTCTATTTTGAGCGAAGGGCCCAGCATATCGCTCAAGGTCCTTGGAAATTAAACGAGGCGGGAAAGATGCACAGACAATTTCGTTTTAGCGTCAACTATACTACGAGGCTAGGTCGGTCAAGGGCCGAAGAAGTCACTGATGAGCAAACAATCGACTTGTTCAGCGACCACGTCACATATGTGGTTACGCATGTTAAAAGCCCTTGGCATCTACCTCACGCACATAGTTTTAAGCTGGTCACCAAGATTGTCATCACTCATGTCGCCAAGTCAAAATGTAAGCTCGCCATCTTCACGAAGGTGGTGTGGTCAAAACCACCAGCTCTTGCCAAGAATCTAGTCGAACGACAAGCGCTTGACGACGCCAGTCACGATGCCGAAGATATTGCTGAAGTTGCGACGGATCAAGTGCGAAAACTTGGGCATCGCAGTCGCACAAAGAGGGCTATCCAGGTCTACGGTCATATAGGCCTACAAACTCAGGTTGTAGTCTTCACGCCCGGAGACAACGGCACGTCGAGAAAGCCACAAATCAACCCTCGGACACTGGGTTCGATGCTAGTAGAAACTGTCAGGTCCTTCACCGAAAGTGTTGCATCGTCGTTGATGATGTGGACATTTGCAGCTATAAAGAAGTTATGGGATGTGATAACAGCAGAGCGGCTTATTCTAGCCCTGCTCGGGTTCAGCATACTTACGAACGTAGTAATTTCATCCCAAAGCACGTCAACATGGTGGTCCGAACGGCGCGCGGCCAACTTCATGAACCGAGTCGGCGTGAGCCCGAACATTGTGATGAGCAAAGCAATCTACATAGCGGACCTAGACGAAGCGGCGAGAAGCACCAAGGCCCTCCCCGCGTGGCCACAGGACAGCTACTGCTATTCGACGTTCCAGTCCATCGCTAACAGCAGCGACGCAGACGCGCCGTACGAGTACGCAGGGTCGTCGTTATCATGGAGCTCGAGCCGCGCGACGGCGCGCCGCCTGCGCCAGACAAGACAGAAGCTTGGCGCGTACCGGCACGACTTACTGGTTGCGATGCGCACGGTCAACAGCGTGGAGCGCGAGATGATGCACGCCGAGTGGGAGAACTGGCTACTGGACGAAAACCACCGCTGCGAGCAGGTGGAAATCGTACTTGCAGCGTGGAAAGACTCGGCGGATGGGGGGAATCTCAAGGGAGACATGGCGCAAAAGGTTCTGCATAGTAATATCGGAGATCCCAAGGACAAAGATAAAGACGAAGCGAAAAGAAGGAATTTGCAGAGATGGCATGAGGAGTATTGCGGTAGCTGCAGGGCGGATCGCAGGGCGCTGCTCGAGGAGAGGGAGAGTCTAAGCTTGGCTGCGGCGGTGTTGTAGATAAAGAAGCAGGGAAATAAATTGGAAGTAGACGAGATGGTGAGGTGAAGCAGGTTGTGGATAGAGGCTTCTCACGGAGCAAGGCGAGCCAGCATATAAATAAGTAATTGGGGATAAGAGTGGCATGTACCATATTGTATGGAGGCATATTGTATGGAGGCATATTGTATGGAGGGAGCATTACTGGGTATCATCACTTGGGATTGTTTAGTAGAAGTCTAGGTTGGAAATACGAAATACCCGTAAGCGTAATATATTAATATGTGCTGTTAGACTTGAATAGACTACGAACGATTTTGGGTGTTTGATAAAAATAAGCTTAGAATATTATTATATTTCTTCGTGCGGCGGTACACGTCTATCTGTACGAGGAATAAGAAAAAAGAAGATACAGCAAAAAAAAAAAAATTTCTACAATTGTATAAATAGTTGAGCATTTAAATAAGATGCAAAAAAAGATGAGTGCTCAGTATGAGGGTTGAACTCATGACCTTCGCATTTACTTGATATTTCCAATGATGGAGATATTAGTACGACGCTCTAACCGACTGAGCTAACCGAGCGTTAAAGGGTACACTTGCAAAATAGTTTATATTCCAACGGTTCTTTGGGGGGAAACTTTCAGGGATTAATTCGTACGCTACCCAGAATCTCCATTCCAGCTCCATTTTAACATACCTATGATGATTCTCATTTCAATCTCCCCGCAGCGGCCGATTAAAGCGCTATTCGCAGTTGATATTACTAGGTTACTGGTTTAGTACAGAGCAAAGACTTCAAAGGATGGTTTAGGGGATTTACTAGACTCGATAATGGGATTGAAAATCGAAAATACATAGCAAATTTCCTTACATTTGATTATTTGGGACCTCCATTCCAATTGCAACATAGGTAGGTACCAATCTGGACATCCCCATACCTCGTCGGCGACTAGAACCTCCCATGAGATAAAAAGTTGGAGTTTTTAGGGAGATATTTCCTTATTTCAAAAAGTAGGGATCTATTCTACGTCATGATGGTCGGAGTTGCGTAGTGAATCACGGGGCTGTTACTTTATAGTCGTTGGCTAACAGCTAAGGTCTGCCAAGGAGCATTTATAAAAGTTATAAGTTACAACTTGGCCTTTTATTTACATTCTTAATGTCTATTGGCATTAGGTATGTTTACATTGAGTATATTTATTAGGCTATCCTTACTATTAACCTACCTAACATATTCACGTAGACCTTACTATTTTAAAGGTATTAGATGGTATAAGCACATTACACAGTAAGCTAACTGTCCTAGAATCTTATGTCTAGTATTCCAAGCAAGTCTGGATATTCTTATTAGAGTTACTAATTAAAAGAGCCCCCCGAAAGCTAAGTTGAAGTAATATACATTAATATACACAATACTGAGACTAAGAGAACAACAGCATGTTTATAGAACAAACCTTAATGATCCATTTCCTCCATGTCTTTGGTACATCTTTAACGGTGTGATAATGGGGCAATATCGATTTACGACGTATGTAATTGGTACAATTGGTACAATTGGTCATTTCCTTATATCGCTCCTTCTTGCCTTGAGAGCCGTAAATCGGCTTAGAGGCTTCTTAATGCAATATCGACCTAACCTAGCGTAGTCTAATACAGTACCTCAGCTAAACTGGGCTAATTCCAGGGCCTACCTCATAACTGGGGTAACACTACTGCATCCTTATGTAATAATAGATGATACATACTACATAGTACATAGTTACGTGTAATGCTAAAGATAATTCAAGTTAAATATAATTCAGGGGTCGAGGCTGTACGGGCACACGTGTGACGTCAAGGATATTGCCATATTGCCATGTTGCCATGTTGGAGCTCAGCCTCTCCATACACTTTTCATCTTTCATCTTTCATCTTTCATCTTTTACATACCTCAGTCCTCGCATTCGCTTTTCACCTAACCCCTAATTCAAGCCAATTCCTTTTAATAATTCCTATGAATTAACATTGTTTCTTCTTGTAATTCTTGAGCTTAGCGACTGTTATCCTTGGGCACAGAATGGAATCAATAGCTTTACAATAGCCACCATTGCTTTTGAGTCCAAGTACTTCCTTTACAGTTCGCTTAAAGGTATAAGCAATTATGTCGAGCGCCCACGAGGCCTTCAAGGCTCTCGGTCCTATCAATTGGGACGACGTTCCCCAGGATCGGCTTGATACTTTCTTCAAAGACGCATGCGCCGACGCACAATGCATAATCGATTCTATCCCGGTATCCTCCTCGTCCCTGCAACATATGGGCTTGCCACGGTCAGCCACTGACACGAATCTTACCTCATTACCCAACAGAGACTCCAACTTATCAGACCGTGCGGCGCAACTAAGAAAAGAATGGAAAGAATGCAAGATTAACCCGCGTGAAAATCCACTAGGATTAGATGTTTATAAACTGGCTGCTAAGGATGGAAAGGGTGCTTGGTTTGCTAGACGCAGCGTCCACGATGGTTTCACCTTTGAGAAATGGAAATTGGGATTGGAAAAGGAATTTGATGAGAGTTTAAAAGTAGAAGGGGGACCTGGCGCGGGGAGCATTAGAGGGATCGGTGCTGATAGAAAGATCGTCAGCCAGACTGTTGAAGGCATCGGCAAGATGCGGGGTACGTCGACTATCGCCTTCAAGACTTGATAGAGCTAACAAATTACTTTAGTCTATCAACTATCAGCTCAATTTCCGGGACCAACAGCACCTCGAGACTTTATAGGTCTTCTGCTGAGCTCCGAGTCGGTCACCGATGCTCCTGGTACGCCTAGACACTTCATGCTCGTCTCGAAACCGTGCGTTCACCCAGAATGTCCGCCACGGCAGGGCTATATTCGAGGTCAATATGAGTCTGTCGAGTTTATCCGTGAAATTCGAGTGGAAAAGCCTCTACGGAAAACCCGATCATCAATAGACCTACCCAACGACGAGGTTGTGGCAATGATGCGGAAAACCACCGAAAGCCTTAGCAGAGAAGCCACTGTCCGTTCAGCCCGCCAAGCAGCCGAGCCTACTAACAGCGAGGGTGGAAGGAAACGAGGTAAAACTATTGGGAGTGCCGACGTTGGAGACGATCGAGAGGAGGACGACCACTACGAGACCATGATCGAATGGTTAATGGTTACTCGAAGTGACCCGGGTGGTAGCGTCCCGCGATTCATGATTGAAAGGGGGACACCGCCAGGTATTGCCGGCGATGCCAACAAATTAGTCAAATGGATCTCGTCTAAGTCTATTGACTACTTTGCCGACTCCGAATCCGAATCAAACAGTGAAGACGCGAAACCTAAATGTGAGATATCTAATGCTGAGCGAGTAGACTCTGAGAAAACGGTCACGGCGAATTTTACATCAAATACCACCCACCACTCAAAGGCTCCGCGACCATCAGCTACCAGACAGATGGAAGAGGTTGAGGAACAGCCCGGCTCTGTAGGGGTTTACGGCATGATAGCAAATGCCTTAAATGCTGCAGCTTCTGCAGCAGCCTCACGCATCCCTAATCCCTTCGGTCCAGTTAACAGCGAAGATGCAGACACGTCGGACCTCACATCTGAAAATCGGGAGGACGATTCGTCGTCCATTCACAGCTTCCACAGTCTAGAGGGCGAGGGAATAGCCGAAAATGACGATGCATCACAAAAGCCGGGAGAAAGTTCAACCCAGCTTACACCTTCGGTCACTAATGGTGGTGCGGAATCTACAGTCTCAAGTGAATCGCTCACGACCCGCTCGATAGCGCTGTCGCACCACGAGAAAGAGCTTAGGAAACTTGAGGAGCGCAAGCGAAAGACGGAGGAGAAGCTGCAGCGGGCTCAAGAGCGGGCGCTCGCTAAGCGCGGCAATGGAGACACGGAATCCCAACGTGAAGAAGCCGCGATGCAAAAGCTGCGCGAAAAGCATGAGCGCGAGATAGCAAAACAGCAAGAGAAGTACCAGCGAGAAATAACGAAGCTAGAAGCAAAGCGCGCGAGCGAGCAGAAGAAGGCCGAGGAACGCCGACGTAAGGCGCTCGAGCGCGAGGAAAAGACCACCCTAGCTATGGAGCTGGATAAGATGCGAGCCGAGCGTGATATCGCGCACAAGCAGATGGAGATCCTAAAGGAACAGATCGGCGAACTCCAGGCCCAGAACACGAAGCTGGTCGCGCGCCTAGGCCGCGAGGGCATCAACGTGGATGATAGCGACGGCTCGAGCTCCTTTGGCGGGATCAAGAGGTCCATGACGGACCAGATGTCGGATCGAGATTCCAGGCGCGAGAGTACACTGCGCTTGTAGGCCGGGCGGAATGTCGCCCGCGCGAGCTGTCACTATATTTCGGGCGAGGAGAGTTGCGTTGTCCACAAGAGTTGATTAAGCTATACATGGCATAACATACCTGTGATTGTGGAGGATGATAGAATGTGCATATAATACTTAACCTACGTACAACACAAGCGGAGGCAAACCGCACATAATACCAACAAGGCGAGTTTGAATATCGGCGGTCAGGATGGCGATCGGGCTATTTGTAATTCTCGGGCCGGCTACCTTGGTTACTACTACTGACCTGCTTGGGGATCTTACGACATAAGACGAGTTCACGAGTACATGAGGGAGTCATTCGGGCGTTGGTATCGCATTGTAGTGTGTTGCATATTTAGAGTAGCGACTAGCAAGCAAGCAAGCAAACAAACAAAGTTTGGTTAGACATCGAGAATAGCAGAATAGTTGTCGCGGCGAATAGATGGTGAGAATTTAGGTTGAATTTGCATGAATGCGTGTATACTCTACGTTAGGTACCTTAGGTAGGCATACACATATCATACCCCTTTTCCAATAGTTATTTATAGCTTAGGTACCCAAAGTATCACTCATCCAACCCGGCACACATACCAAGCAATAGCCCACTTACCTCCGTCCGCCAACCCTCGTCCCTAAAACGCCTTACCGCATCCCCAATCTGTTCATCTCCAGCTGCCGCAAGCGCAGTGCCACCAACCAGGATCCGCGCGCAAATAGCAAAGACCTCAGGCTTCGAAGTCCAGCCTAGCGGGCCGCCTGTGCTGCTCTCTGCAGCCGCGATGCGCAATAGCGTTTCCAAGCCGGAGAGACACCATTGCGACAGCGCTGCCGTTGCTTCAGAGGAAGACTGCCGAGGAAGAGACGAGAAGACGTCGATCCACCGACGGGCTTCCCGCACCTCGTCCACGTACAGGTTCTGCTCCTCGACGACGAACAGCGAGTCGTCGAAGCGCATGGCTTCTGTGAGTCGGGCCTCGGCTGAGATCCAGCCTTCCAGGAGCCGTTTGGCGGCCGAGGGGCTAGTGCCGGCATGGCCTTGTTCTAGTGCTACGTGGGAAGATGAGGGTGAAGAGGGAAGGTTCCCAGTCAAGCGACAGGCGACGTGAGCTCTGAACTCGTCGACGTCTGCGTAATGCGCTAGTAGCCAAAGTAACAGCCGCCGTCCAGCTTCGACGGAGATGAGGCGCTGGTTCGATAGTAGGGGTGTTGCTACCGCGGCGGCAGCGGCACGGACTTCGTCGTCGTCGTCGTTGAGGGCGTCATAGAGGGCTATGAGCCACGGCAGGTGTGCCGAATCGGAGTTCTTCTCAGTCGAGGTTAATTTGAAGGCCACACTTGTCGAAAACGAGTGCATGGCACCGACGGCCGCCATGCGAGTGTCAAATGTCTAGCAAAGATGTAGCTATTAGCTTCGTGTATGATATAGATAGATAGACATTCTGGTAGAAGTTGTGCTTACCCTATCCGCCATACCGGCGTCGCTTATCATTGCACCCCAATACCTAAGCCACGGTTCTAGGTAGTTATTGGCTGTCTCCTCAGATCGCAAGACTATAACTGCTAACAACGGCCCGCTTATGCGAACGATAGCATTGGATAAGCTTGGATTCATGGGCTTTCCGTAGAGATCTGCCCAGAGTTTTGCTATGGCCTCGTCGTCTGGAAGATGCTTTAGCCCCTCTGACGCATCGCAGAGGATGCTGTCCATGAGAGCTGCGGTGTTTTCTAGGGCTATCGTTCGCGGTTCTGGTGCGTCGGTATCGAAACATACTTGTATATATGTATCGATGAGGTTGCCTCGTGTTTCGATAGACTCCGACGAATCAATAGAAGACATACTTTCCAACATGGAACACGCAACATTAACGTCTCCCTTTAATGCTGCCACCAGAAGCTGTCTCAAGGTATCGTCTGTCTTTTTGCTAGATTGCCTCAAAGCTTGTAACAGAGCTGCTTGTCCAAGCCTAATATCCAGTAAAGCTGACGGTGCCGTTTTTATACCGGGCTGGTTGTTAAGCTCGAACATCCAGGGGGGCAAAATATCCCGAGATTCAACGGCAAGACCTGTCTCCGGTGTGTTTTCCGTCCTCTTTAACCCGGCTATGAAGTTGGCAACTTCAATATAGACCGCTCTTGTTTCCGAGCATGCACTAATACTCTCGTTTCTTGAAACGAATTCTACAAGTATGCCGTGCATTTTACTGACGTTGTAATCTGTAAAATATCAATTTGGAATGTAAACTAGCATATATGAATAATACACTTACCTGAAAGCTGCTCAGGCATCACCTCAGAAAGCCTCTCAAGCAAGAACTTAATTGTTAGTAGGGCCCCGTGTAGCTTATTCGAGGTCTCGGAACTGGCTAGAAGGTCTGGGATGGAATTAAGCCATCCCGGCTTAAGAAGAAAGGAACACAAGGTCCGGGCAGCAATTTCTCGGACGTGCCAGATGTGGCTTCCCAAGTACCACGCGATGATGTCGTAGAGCTTGTCACGGAATTCCTCTGGTGACCCAGCGCGACGTATGATATCCAACGACGGGAAAACGGACTCTGCCGTCTGCGTCCCTATCAGGACCCCGCTTGATTGCTGACCCGTCTCCAGGAGGTTCACCAGGAGTGCTGGGAGAGCTTTGAATTTACTATATGGTATCTTGATGGTCCGCCCATCCCAACCTGCTTCGATTGATGTTTTACTCTCGCTGGTGCCGAAGAGGCAATCGATGAGACTTCTCAGGAGCAGAAGACCACAGTTTCGAATCGCCCATCTATAAATATGAGTATAAGTAGGCGTGAATTAGTGACGGCCTGGGACTTACATTTCAGATTTAAGACTGCTTGCCGCTAATTCAAGGCAGTCGGTGAGATTTGGCTCTGCTCTCTTGCTCAAATACGAGCTCTTGAAGATATCTTTGATGCAGTTCAAGGCGTGTACTTGTGGTAAGTTTGATCCATCAGTCTCGGATGCGAGTGCTGGTCGACGGCCGATATCTTGCAGGTTACGAACAACATCTTCAAAAGATGGACGGTTCGCATTAGAAGAGAGTATGCCGACGATAAGAGCTGGGATACCGGCAGATCTTCGAGTAGTAGAACCTTGCGTGTGAATGCAAGTCAGCGCTCCCTATATAAGTCTTAGTATGTATCCGCGGTCTCAAGGTGTTGGGATCTACTAACCTCATACCATTGGTCTAAGAGCCCGGATTTGTCACTTGAAGGATGTGGGAACCATTTTACGAGCTGGCAGCAACTAGTAAATGTCTGTGATACTGTTGTGAATGCTCCTCGATGTCGCAGATTCGATAGTTCATCAAATGTGAGCATCCCAATCGCCTCGAAGTTAGCTCTTGAAGGAGCCAGAAGCCCAGGACCCTGATGGCTAGCGTTGCTTGCAATAGCACGCATCAAATTACTTGAAATAATTAGTAGCTACTTTGATAAATGTTTACCGAGGCCTTACCTTGACTCGTGGATTGCCCGGAAGCTGTAACTAAGCAAGTCCTTAGTGTCGAGTCCCTCAACCTCCTCGAGCTCTTCCGGTAGATGGCCTTCCGGAGAGTCATCGCAAAGAACATGTCGCACAGCCCTCCATATTCTCTGACAGCATGCAATGGCACGGTCCTGTATTTTAGCTAAGGCCTCGATATCTTCCCTGGAGAATTTCATAGTTGAGAATGAGTTCCATATATACCTATGTCCCTAGGTGAGTATTCGTTTTCCGAAAATAGCTTATGTGATCTGAACATACCTCAGGGATGCGAAACCACCGTGTACTGGCGCGTGTAACACCGCATTGGCGAGGTCTTGTTCGGCGGCAGAGAGTTTAGCTTCGAGGCTTGACAAAATTGTAAATGGAATTTGCATTCGTTCCTCTGATTTTATACTCCAGCGGCATAGAAGCTCAAATGAGCGAGCAGCACCATCAGAGTGGTCAGCGCGGGCGGTTCGCCGAGCAAGCTCATCAGCCTTGTTGCAAAAGCTCCGCAACTCCTCGATAGTTGTTTTGCCTAGTTCTTTTATCTGTTTTTGTAGCCCCTGGTGCCCAATTTCGGGCGAGAGCGCCATCACTAAGGAGGCAGCAGTCTCTCGCACATCATCAAATGGGTCCATAATAAGATCCAGGATAGAGCGAAACCACGTTACATCAATGAGCAAAGTACTCAACTCATAAGAATTGAGTATAACACTCCCATGGGATGGAGCCGGCTTGACGATAAATACCATGGCCTTCAATGCTGTTATATGTCGCTGATAGGATGTAGTAGGAGCAAGCTCGTTCTTAAGAAATCCTACATACCAGGAAGCAAAGTCCTCGTGTTGGCGCAATACGGCGTTTAGCTTTGCTACTGTGTCATTTTGATGTCTCTCTAATTGACTATCCTTATCCTCTTCTGTAGGCAATCTAGAACCGTGTTTGTTCAATTTCGCCTTATTAATCTTCTTAGAAATGCGGTCAGCTTCTCGCCGTAACGACTCGATGGTATTTTGAATACGTTTGATCATATTTCTCGAATGTCCAAGAACATCATAACGCATTTTTGGATCAGAATCTTCATAAAACGACGGCAAATACTGCTTGAGTAGCTCGATGGCTTCTGTTGTGTATGGTTTTGTTGTGGATGGAGATGCTATGAGAAGTGAGACAGCGGATGTACGTGCTTCTTGAGAGTCGTGGCATAGAACGCTTTCGAGCACGTCTGCTCGAAGCTGGAAACCTGATTGAGAACCTTGTTCTGGTTCTTTGCAGCGTTTAGCAAAATCTCTAACAATTTTGGGTATCAGGTGGCGATAGCTTACCACGACCTGGTTCATCCACTACCCCAGCCTTCTTTCCTGCTTCGAGCATGGCAAGCCAAAGCATTGAATTGAGGTCCCAACCATTACTGTCCTTGCTAGTAAGTCTTTGGAGCGACGATAAATGGCGAAGGTACACTAGAGAGCCTGCTCGATTAATATTGAATAACTGAACAAAAATGTAAAATTTAATTGGCTCGAGATAATCGAGGTTCATCTGCAACCCCCTATATATGAACCTATGCCATGTGCTAGGTTCATGCCTGACATCTTTATCCTCATACCAAGAGCTAGTGAAGATTGTAACGAGAAGGCTTCCAACTACATGACCCAGATAATGTAGTTCCATCCAAGCGAAGATGCCGGCGACGAAAGCACCCCAGACATCTTCATTTAGAGGTAGACCGTGGATCTCGTTATAAAGCTCTAAGATGCTGCATAAATATACTATTTTTTTCTGAATGAAGCAGTCTAAGACGACCATGGCAGATTTTACTGATGGCCGAGATGATTGTTGTGTGATTGTGGATACGGTGGCATTCAGTATAGTTGCCTTGACGGAAGCACCAACATCTGGTCTAGGATTGTTGGATATTAGATATGCAAGATAATCCAGGATGAGCCTCATAGATCGGTGGGAATCTTTTTCATTCCATTCCATAAAGAAGTCGAAAAGTCTCATGGCAGTACCCTCCGCAAATGCAAAATTTTGCAGTGTGGATTTAGAAGACTTTGAACATTGCTCAACAAAGCCGTGAAGTTTCACGCAAGCGTTCCCGGAATACTGCCTTGGCTTTGCGGCACATATAATAAGCTCCTCGAACATAACTTGCCTAAGGAGTCTATGTAAACGCAGGACCAGCTTTATAGTGTTAATTCATACTCACCATAGTTGTAGCTCGTCAGGCTGTTCTTCAAGCCAAGAGACAGCATGTTTCGGGTTGAAGTTAGTCTCACTGACTTGAGTGGCTATTGCGGACTTCATCACGTATTTGAGCGGTAATGGTCTCCCCTTTCGATATATACCGGCTTTAAGAAACTTATTCTCTTCTAGATTTGGATATTCCGTCGATATTATTGGGTAGGAATTGGGAGAAGAGAACATGGGTGGTTTTGCAACCGGGTCACCATATTTAGAGACTTATATAGTCTATAGGTTTTCATAGAAGTAAGTATATTTTACTCTTATGAAATAGAGTATAAAATCTTGTAATCTATTATTATTGTGTCTTGTGAGGTTTGATACACTCATCTGTGATCTTGTTATGCAGTTAATGAGGCCTAGAAAAAACCCTGTAAATTTTGAGTCTAGGTTCAAGGTACGTACCTGGTATCTAGTAGGTACATACCTGATAATCGATATGGATCCATGTGGCGCACGAGCGATAATTCAATAACCTGGTATCCACTTATGCCACCCTTCTACGCAAGGAAACTTTTTTTCAATGGGCGAAAGCTTCAGTCACTTTCCATCTGCCCTGGACCTGCGATTTCGCATACTGCGAGAAGAGACACGGCGGCGACATACCCCGTAGCATATAATTCTCTCTTCTTGCCTAATATTATAGGATTATAATTGCACCCGGCAGCATGTCCATTTGGGATGCGCTCACCGGACGAAAGTCCTCATCCTCACAATCGTCATCTTCCACCTCCGCTTCTGCGCCCGCACCGACCGAAAACCTCACCCCAGCTCCCTTCAACCCGGAAGATGCGCAAGGAGTAGACTCCTTCTTAAAGAGCTCCGCGTTTGCCGATCCCTCCTTATTACACCCCCTGGCAGGCTTAGACAAGGACAGTTTAGAATACCTAAGCTTAGAGGATTCCGCTCTGACAGATCTTCCCGGCGCACACTCTGCGATCCCATCCCGAGGTTTTAGCGACGATTTGTGTTATGGAACCGGCATCACATACCTCACAGCACTATCAATAGGGGGGGTGTGGGGACTCCAAGAGGGATTGAGAAGATCTTCGGGTCAACCGCCGAAGCTACGTTTAAACTCGGTCCTGAATGCCGTTACGCGGAGAGGACCGTTCCTTGGCAATTCTGCGGGTGTCGTCGCCATCACATACAATTGCTTCAACTCGGGTATCGGCTATCTCAGAGGGAAGCATGACTCGGCAAACACCATAGCAGCAGGTACTTTAAGCGGCATGTTATTCAAAAGTACGAGGGGGCTCCGGCCAATGTTGATCTCGGGTGGTATTGTGGGCTCGATAGCAGGAGTGTGGGCGGTATGAACCCTGAGTGACCCCGAGTGTTTGGCTAATGATTATAACTAATTCTCCTACTAGATCACGAAGAAAGTTGTGCTATCTCCGGGGACTCAAGGGCACGAACAACACCTTTAGGTCTAATGATATAGGTATGCTAAGTACTAGATACGTTGATTCTCAGCTCGGGAATGCGGCCAGGGATATGGCCATGTATGATATTGAGCCCGAGAACCAGGCCTTGAGCCGTACGATATCGCGATTTAATTGGGTGAATAAGTTTACGAGTTGGTTGTGGAACGATGGATGATCTCTCCTCCGGCTTTGGAATGTGTATAAAATAGGTGGTTACGAGCATTAGAAAGCATCCACGGTCGTGGATAGGTAGGCGTTCAAGTCGGCAACGGGACCGAATCGAATTTCCAATTTTGAACGAAGCAAAACTATGCCAAAGTAGCTTAGGTAAAACGCGTGACGTCAGGAGAAAAGAGCAAAGAAACGGCAGGAAGTGACACCCTCTTCTTAGGCCCCTATCTGTACCCAGGTGTTGCTTGCCCACCTTAGACCATGTGTACGTTGTGTACCTGATCTTAGGCATTAGCAGTTGTCAATACTTTAGGTAGCCCGACGGGGAAGGTACGTACATAGGTACATGTAGCAAGCAGTGTGCCTACATGTACCTACCTAATTTGCATATACCTAAGTTAGGTAAGTATCCCAGATACGCACCTACCTTAGGTGCCAACATGTAGGTGCCAACATGTAGGTGGACACATAGCAACATCCCGCCTATTTATCTACCTTCTCCCATCATCCGACAGGGTTATCTTTTACTCTATATTTTTCAAATACTCCCATTTCTCACCAGCATCTAAGCAAATCAACCAAGAACCGGCCAGGAACTCATCTATCTACCCCTAACAATGTCTCAGTCATCCTCTGCAGCCGACTAGGAAGCGGCACAGAAGACCAAGGAGGAACTCGTCGACAATTGTATCCAAACATGGCTGTCTAATAGGGTAGGCCTTGATTCATTCGAGGAGCCAACTATCCAGCAATTCCAATTTAGCGATACCGACTTTCCGAGGCAATATCCAAGCATAAGATTAGAGCAGAAGGAGGGCTATCGCTTAGTCACTCTGGATGACAGACCTTCCAAGGACTCGAAAATCCTGGAACAACGACAGAGGCTCCGTGATTTATTAGAAAGAAATGATCCGCTTTCTAGAGCCGTCGACTATATACTGGAGCAAGAGATCGACCAACGGGGGCTGCTCGCATTCGAATCCGAATCCATCTTCGACATACCTTCGGCATCCACACTTAGTTTTCACGACAAGGTACATCGTATCATCATTCACAATTTTGTCATGTCATTAACCAGTCACGCCTAGGTCCATCTTATAGCCAGGCATGGGCTTCTAGAACGCCAACTGAAGCCTTCGCCTGAACCTCAAACTAGGGTTACCCCTAAGCATGAGCCGAACGTAGACCCTCAGGTGAAGATGGCTATGCTCCGAGTTACTTCAATGAGTAAACTTCACCTCGAGAGTTTTTTCGCGCCCTTGTCACCTGATTATTGCCTAGAGTGTTTCCATGTCCTCCTCGAGGAAGTAGCTGAGCCATATGCCAGTATTGGAATCTCGAACCGCGAAATACTTGACCATGATCTCTACGGTACATCGGACGATAGTGAGACACGTTCCTTGACTGAATCCGAAAATGACGAGTGGGATCGGTCGTGGCGATTAAGGTCAGAGCTTAGCAACGAACAGCTCGCGAGCTGGTCTTATAGACTTTCAGATGTCCCTGGTAATCATGTTGAGAAGTCGGCAAGACTCTATACAGATTGGCTCTGCGTCGACACCAAGGAGCAATATGAAAGAATGTCTTCATTAATCAAGGAACGCAATCTTTCTGCCGTGTTCATACGCGTAAGTGATTTATTATATGTCGTAATCTAAGCTAATCGAATGCTAGACTTGGAAAATCGACGAAGCGAAGCGCGTAGCTCAGGCGAATGAAGCCAAACGCAAGCCTTCACATCAAGATAACCCCCTACCAAGCAAACACTCGGCTCAGGGCAGTGGCACACGGGGAGATTCTTCAGTATCGACAGACCAATCATTGGCTCTGGATGAAGAAAAGGGGCTCCAGGATTTTGGTAATATGGAAGTAGATATCTTTTCTGAATCTAAAGTACGAAACCAGTAGGCTCTATTTGGCGAATAACACCTGAGCTAGGACAATGTATCACGGAAACCACACGAATAATTTTTTGTTTGTGGTAATACACGGCGATGTGTGAATGGAGTCAAGAAATACGGGGACAGGATATAAGCTTTGTATTCAGGTAACATTCGCCACTCCAGTTTATTTGTTACTGTTTTATCTAGGCCAGGTCATTGATTTACCGATGCCTTGATACGGATATAATTCTCAATAAAAATGTGTGAAATGCCGTTCCGCAACTAATACGAGATATCGCTTGGTAGTGCTAAATGGCTTAATCTGGCTAAGAAGTATGTTTTCTACGGTAGTTAGTAATAATAGCAAACATTTTGATGTTCTATGGTTACGATTTTAAAATTAAGATTGTTTAATGATAACAATTTAATGATAGCATCTCGTTCTTTCCTAGACCTAGGCACCGACGATATTGCTAACCTAGTATACGTCCGCCTTTACGAACAGGACAACTCCTAGCAGGAAGTTCACCTGCAAATTTGTCATGCTGAAATAAACGATACCTAAACGATCAATACTACCTATCCATTCGAGATTAAAGATCCACCTCCTCTTTACCCGTTGTAGAGAACACCATAATATCACCAACGCCAGCGCCAGCATGTGTTTTCCTTGTTGGTCAGTTAAAGATATCTATGTCGAGGAGGATCCCCCGGCGGAACAGCAGATGATCCAGTACGTATGGGATGGTACTAGATGGGTTGCCATCATAGGTGATACTGTAAGTGGCTATTTTCTTTAGTTTTGCGGTGATGTAAACAATGGCCCTCCAAAGGCAGGTATGGACTGGGGCAGCTGGACTGGAGCAGCTGGACTGGCAACAAGCAGGACTAGAGAAATTTCCAAAGCAGGGACAAAGGAAACACGAAGAGCCTCAAGAAATAATGCTACTTAGAAGTATTCCAGGGACACTTTTACTGTACAGCATAGTGCAGCGAGGCACAAAACAGTACATTTACCTTTTCCCCATTGGTTACCCAGGTACTATGTACAGTTATCACGTACAGTTTACCATTCACTCCAATATCTTCCCTTTCCCACTTTCCCACTTTCCCCTGGAGTTTTCGACTAGTGGCAACTGCCTTGAAACCTGGCTCTCTTTTTACTCCTAAGGAAGGAAGGAACATATTTAGTCGGCCCACTGTGCGGAAGGTCATTACCAATTCCTACTCTAAGGTTCCCACCCCCCTTTTTTTAACAGTTTACACTGGATAATCCGCATTGCCGGCCACCGCCTGCAGGTTGTTCACCATGGGTGCCGCCCCCAGATCCCCCAACCCAGGAGACAACAAGCACAGGAAGTCTTCTTCTACTTCTCCCTACACCACCACCACTTTCATCAATAAACCCTCCAATAAATCCTCCAACACTACCACTGCCAACCCTAAGGTTCCGGTAGATCAGCCTACATCCACCACTTCTGGTAATCAAGGCAGCAACGACGCCCATTCGGCATATCAGACTCCAGGCCCCGGATTCAACCATACCGTCGCGAACATACCTGGTATCGGATTGGTTTACGACGGCGGACACTCCAATCCCGTACACGGCTTCAACCCAGCCGTCGGTCCCCAACCTCCAGTGCATCATCAAACTCCTGGAATTGCTCCTCCTCAAGTCCTGCCGCCTGGTTTTACTCAGAGCCCTTTTCAGCCTTTCCCTCAATTTGGTGTTCCTGTAAGCAACAACCAAAACCCAGTCATGGCATACACCACCGGCTCCATGCCCAACCAGGGCCAGCACTTCCAGCCTCCCGTGCCAGATACCACCTATGGTCCCATCCCGCATACTTATCATCCCCGCTTTGATAATAAACCTGCTCCCGGCCAGTATGTGATGATTGAAGGCCAGCTCTACGTTGTCGCTGCTGGTCCTCCTGGCCCTCCTAGCGGTGCCCAAGTTCAATACGTGCCCATGCAACAGGTATATCCCATTCCCACACAAGGCTCGTCAAGCGCCTTGTCTGTATTCCAAGCTACTCCATGCTACATCATTCGAGAGGCCGAGTCCCAGCCTAGTTGTTATCCCCTCAATGCAAGTTTCATCCGAACGCCTAGGAGCGCATTAGCCGTCCGAGCGAATGCGCCCTGTTACCTGTCCTAATTCAGATAGATAGTTCTATCAGAATATAACATGATCTAATTTCCTTTCTGTTCACTAGCTGATTCATCCGAACATTGCTCTTATCTAAACATAGAAGCTAACTCTTTTATCTCTAGCAGCCGCAGTCTGGTGCTGGCGCACCTATCGTGATCCAGCAGGGTTCCCAGCAACCCATCTTCGTTCAAGGCCAGCCAGGTTTCCCTGCAGTTCCGATGACCGCTCAGCCTGCCGCATTCCCCGCTATGGTGGCCCCGCCCGGAACCCCGGTAGTCGTTGGAGGCCCCCCTGATATCATGGCCCCCGGTTCTGCCCCGGACGTGATGGGAATTGGCAAGACTGCAACCGAGATTCAGATGGAGCAGTACCACACAGCTCTAAATACCGGGGCTCTTGAAGGCCAGGACATCGCCCCTGCCGATCCTGATCCGTCCCGTATGTACTATTGTCGAGAGCTTGATGGCGCATGGACTCTCCGCAACCGCTTCTGTATCGACAATATGGGTGACTGCCGTTGGTACGTCAAGCCTGGTGGCATCTTCTATGCCGTTCGCTTGGCCGACTGAAGGGTGTTTACTGGTAAGATTCTTAAACGTCTCGAAAGCGTATACACATTAGCTGATATATCTAGGCATTTCTCGACTCTTTACGTTTTTATGCGATACTTTGGTACATTCTCCTGCGATGCGTTGTGTTTCTCGATGACTTCTGTCCAATCAGTAGGCCCTCTTTCATCCCCTGGGTGTGAGGCCAACTGATGTATATTACTAAGGTCAGATGCTTCCCTGGCCTCTCAATCGGGCCGCTAGAACACGGTTTTAATCTTCAAGATTAAGTGAGTTGAGACTGCTAACTGCCATCTAAACCAAACAAGCACTTGCTAACAAACTGATTTGTGCATAGACGTCAGACGCCGTCTTCACGATACGTTATGGAAAGACAGACCGGGGAAATGACTTGGATGGAATGACGGATGACAGCAGTCTTTGCAGTTTTTTTCCCTTAATGCATACTAGTTGCCTTTTTATGATGATACTTGACTTCAGGCCGACTATTCTTTCCTAAATAGTACTCTGGCATAGATCTTGCTCTCGTGAGATAGGTTTCGCATTGCCAACAGCACCAGCAGCTTGAGATTTGCCAGAAGCTAAGAGAAGTTGAGAGATATACGATGGGTACTTATCGGTACTTAAGGCAAGGTGCTGCGAAACCCCCTTTCTTTTCTACTGGTATCCCTTGATATCCTCAGCCCGTTTACTTTTTCGCACGGCGTCCACGGATTTCTCTAGCTCTGCATGATAGTTTCACATCAATAGGAAGCATTGTTCCTACGAGTAATTATGAGATTATGAGTATGCGATATAATTATTTTATATGTGAAGTGTTTGATTTGTGCTGCTGGAGTGTTTGTAGTAATTTATGTAGGTCTTATGCACGGATGACGAAGTTGAAGTGAAGTACATAGTTTGAGGCTGAGATGGGGCTTCGCGCTAAGCCCAAACACCTGTCAGCCCTGACAGGCGGTTGTTGACAGCTGAACTTGCCTGTGCTAACCAAAATCTCCTCTGATCACCTTCTCCTGATCACCCTCTCCTTCATCTTAAGTTACTTACACTACTTACGCTCCCTTCACCTACGACTACGACTACTCTTTTGTCGCAGGCATTATTCTGTACCATATCCTTTTCACTAGAATATGTCGCTTTAGTATTTAGAGAGCAAGGATATACGCTGTTCTATTGATCCAGTCATAGCAGTTCGTTCGTCCCCCCCCCCCCTTTCCTACTGCGATACCGCTCGGACACCGTTCCCGAGCAACGCCATCTCATCTGTCTAATCCGCGTAGGGCTAGCTGGCAGCGCTGTAACTACATGTGTTTCTAACGTCATCGTGTTTGTCTTGGGTACAACAACAACAACAATAATAATAAATAGGATTGGTTGGTTATGTTATGCCAAACAGCAACGAGCAATGCGTCCCTCTTCGCACCGAGACGCGAAGTTCGGGCTGTGACTGCGTTATATACTGCTTGCTGTCGTGTAATACAATGCACGCCTCGTGGTTTCGGACCTAGTACCTGGGTAGTCAGGTGGGTGGGTATAGGGCATCTCCTTCGATCGCCCAAATCTAGATAGCAGGTGGCAGATGGATGCATAAATCCCCGTCTTAATAGCGAGTTGCCTAACTGTACCGCGCTGCCGCCTGCCGCCTTCCGCCTGGGGTGTGCGTCACCGAGCCGTGGGGGTGCTCGCGCATGCTATGGGGTAGAGCGTGTAGAGCTTCCTGTTTGGGCTGCGGCATGGATACGCAACGCAACGCGGCAAATCCTTCCCTCGTGCGCGACATCTGGGATGGGGGCCGTTCTGGTAACGTGCAGACTTGCGCGCTGTGACCTGCGGGAACGAGGTTGTGCTCCGTCTGGAAAGCCACAGGCCGTGCTTGTTTGGAGATGGGATCGTGGCGATCACTCGGCTCCATCGCCTGAAGGCCTTGCGCGAGATTCTCCCATGTCACGAGAGGCTGACTGTGTGGGCTTATATCCTCGTATAGAGAATGGGCCTGGTCAAATAAATAGCGGGTTATCTCGGACGGCCGTGGAGAAGAAAAAGAGAAAAAAATAAGAGAAAAAATATGGCAGGTGTTTGCTACCGTAGGGCGGGCCCTTGTTTGCTTTCCTCGTTGGGCTAGGATGCCGCTGTGAGGACGGCGATGGCGACCGTTACCCCGGATTTGAGGTAGACTCACGTGGCGGTATATCTTCGCTGTGCTTCCTCGTACAAGTCTTTTTATCGATTTGTTATTTGTTATGTGATTTTAGTGAGTGGTCCTGGGCTTGCCCTCTGGGCCAATTTCTTTCTAGGCCCTATGTGTGACTTTCGTTGTATCTCTCATTTCAATATTCATATCGAGCCCGATCGTTCATAAGCCATGACGCCTGATGATCGTGGTCCCCAGCTGGCCATCATCGTAGCAGTTTTCCTCGGGCTGTCGTCCATCACGGTAGCTCTTCGCTGCTACGTCCGGGCTCACATTTTGAGGGCATTCCGGGTTGAGGACTGGCTGGCCGTTGCTACAATGGTAAATCGGCGATAACCAGGGAAGATGATGGATATATCGTAACTAACAAGCCTGCCTAGCTTTGCTTCGTATTCTATTCCACGATCGTGATGCTTGGTATCTCGCACGGGGCGGGCAAGCATATAAGCCATGTTCCTACCGAGAACATCCCTAAAATCCTCAAGGTAATTTACCCCAAGTATAAGAGATTACATACCCATAGCTAATCAACTGCGACAGATGAGATGGGTGGCAGAAATACTATACGTCGTGACGTCGCTCTTCCTGAAGTTTACCGTCGGGATCTTCCTCTTTCGCATCTGCTCGCAAGTGTGGCAGAAATCGGTGATTTGCACCGTGCTGCTCTTGTATCTCGTCTACCACATCTTTTACGCCTTCATGACCGTATTCCAATGCCAACCGGTGGCGTATTTCTGGTTTAGATACACCAGCGGCATGGAAGGTAAATGCTGGAGCAACGATCTGGTTATGGGATGTACGTACGCGGCTGCTAGCATCAACGCTGTTACGGATTGGGTCCTTGGGTTGCTACCCATTATGATTGTGCGAAGTCTTGAGCTGTCGAAGAGGTCGAAGATCTTGGTTTCTTGCACGTTAGCGCTTGGGTCGGTGTATGTTACCCCTTCCCATATCCCCCCTCGGTCGTGAGAACAGGGTTCGCTAATAAAGACGACCAGCGCATCAACCGCAACCATCGTCCGCATCCCCTATATCTGGCAGCTAACCCAACCTGGCGATTTTATACACGACTTCTCCGACCTGTCCATCTGGTCTACTATAGAAAATGGACTCGGCCTCGTCGCATCGTCGATCGCTACTCTCCGTCCACTAGTCAGGGTGGTGCTCGGGGGCACGCGAGTAGGAACGGCATCACGGGGACGTCGCTCTTTTTACTCGTGGAGGAGATCGGGGCCGGGCGCAGCGCAAAACGGCAATCAGCAGTACTATAAGATGGAGGACTACTACCGCGACAGCGCTTGCAAGGCACCGGAGCAGGTCAGAGTAAGCGATAGGAGAGTGTCTGATACCGGGTAGATGTTATGTACCTAGGGTAGAAAATGAATAAATTTGAATTAGCGTATGGAGATTGTCTCGTGTGGTTATTGAGATATTTAAAAGCAAGCAAGCAATTTTAATTATGGCGCAAGGTGTATAAAAATACGTAGATAGACATGCAAGTAGGTTACCAATACACATGAAGAAATATCAGAACAGCTCGTTGTGGATTGAAGCTCTTTTAAGTCGTCCTGGGCTATGCAGTCTTGGTAAAGTAGTCCTTAGTCCCCAATTTGATAATTGGTAGAATTATATTTATGCTAAGTTAGATATTTAAGACTTAGGATAGCTTGACATATATAGAGTTCCTGTTTTCCTTGGGGATCAATATGCATTATTACTTTTTATAGGAGTTTTTATTTGTGTGTTACCTATCGAAGGAGAATATAAGTCAGGTACCTATGTAACCTTATACCATAGGCTATACCCACATACCGAAGCTATTCCGAACTAACACCTCCCCCCCCCCCACCCCCAACCCCAACCTTCGAGATCTAACCGGCTTAGGATAGTATTACGTGACCAACGACCCTGCAATATAATAGTAAATTACCGTCCAACTTTCAACAACCAATGGGGCGTGGTGGCAGAGTGGTCTAATGCGCAAGACTAGAAATCTTGTTCCTTCGGGAGCGTCTGTTCGAATCAGGCCCACGTCGCAACATTTATCTTTTGCAAGTTCGGTATATTATTCTTTTTTGTCAGACCTGGTTCAAACGAGGTTATTTTACGTACCTTGTATGTACGCAAGGAATGCACCTAAGGTTCCGCGAAAACCAATACTTCGGTACTTACCTATGTACTTAAGCAATCGTACATGTACATATACACTTTTCTTTTACTTTTACAAAACTCCCGAGTTACCGACACCACATGACACGGCAGATCCTCGGCTTGCATCAGCTTTACGCAGGTACCCGCAAAGTAGTCTTCGATATCGAAAGCGGTAACAAGTCACATTGGAAACTTCCCCATCCAGCTCTTTCCTCCTCGGCACCGCATCCCCTATACCCCCGCGAACGATGTAATGGTGCCAGTCTCTCCCCTTCCTCTTTCCACCTCCAATCCCGCTCCTAGCCCCAACATCGACGGCAATGGCTACCAAGACGCGCTAGACAGGCTGCAGCCCCTGCAGCCCATCCTCCGGGGCTTCAACCACCGCAACCGGAACCAGCACCGCCGCGCCGCCTGGTGGGCTCCCTTCGGCATGCTGCGGCGCCACGTCGAGAGGACGGTCGACGAGCTCCTCGAGGCTGCCGATGCCGTTACTGCTGCTGCCGCCAAGTCAAAGAGCAAGAAGCGGCGGCGGCGGCGTGATGATGATGATGATGATGGCGGCGGCGGCGGCGACGCGGAGAGCAAGGTAAGGGGTCACGTGGAGTGGTTGAGGGACGTCTTAGTTCCCAAGTGCTACTTGTAAGTTCATTTTCCACCGTCGTCAAGACCGACTGATACATCATCTCAAGACCTAAAAAAAAAAAAAAAACCCACCGCTAATAAACCCCAGGGCGTTCTCGCAACTAACAGCGGACAACCAATTCGCAACGCTAGGCGTAGTGCTGCTCAGCGCCCTAGCCCAGGTCAACGCCGCCTGCGTGCATCTCGTAGGCGAGGCAGCAGAAGTAAGCCGTGACGAAACTAGCATATCCACCGCGGACGAGCCTCCAGATAGCAGTGCCGCCGTGGTGCGTCTAAAAGAACCCAGCGGCCCAGGAGCCAAGGAGCCGTCCTCCCGGCCCGTCTTGGCCGACATGTCCAGCGAGCGCGGGGGCTCGGTGATCTCGCGGGCCGAGGTCGCGCGGGCCGACAAGCTGCGGAGGAAGACCGTCCAAGTCGGGTCTTCTGATATACCCAGCAATGCGAAGCGGTGCCAAGACCACGGCGATGACGTTGGAGCTGTAAAGAAACAGCAGGATATATCTTCGAAGGCGAAGACCAAGGAGAGTGTGAAACTCGCGAAGAAAAAGAAGACCAAGAAAGGCGGCGACGAGTTTGACGATCTATTCAAGAGCCTATTTTAAGCTAGGGGTAGGACATGGCATAGCAGTAATAAAACACACGTACACACTGATCTCGCAACCTCCGTACCCCAAGAAATATGTTATTATCTTCAGTGGCCAATAATCATTAATTGCATCTATCATTTGGTTCTGCATTACTATCAAAAGCCTGTCTTGCAATACACCTGTGACAACGGACTGCCACCATTGCTGTTGCACACCTGAGATTAAAAACCCGGCCCTCTCCGCTTTCAAAGCCTTGCCCAAGCCAATAAGAGACCAACTACAACCTTTTTCTTTGCCTTATCCTCTCCAAGTTGCATAGTTGTTGTTATCCACACCTTCGCACATCGTCTACGGAAGCGTGTGGCCTTCGTTTTACCAAACAAAAGACCTCTAAGATCCTAAGACCGGCATCAACTCCAGGTCCGGCGTAATAGAGCTGTCTTCTCTCCTAAACCCCTTCATAGTAACTAAATACGTAACCCCATCTTCTCAAACATATGTACCCATCATCTCCGCTTAAATTGGCTTTTGAGCGGGGGTGAAGGCCGATGTTTAGCCGCTTCTCGGGCTATAATCATAAGCTCTTCTATTTCCCTCTCCTTCTAGGATATCGAGCGATAAGACCAGATACGCGCCCTCATATCGCCAGAGCCGGTTGCGAAGTAGCCGCCTGTAGGACTAGGAGCTACCGAGATGACAGAGTTCTTGTGACCTTGAAGCATGAGTTGAGTGAACCCAGTTCGGGGGTCCCAGAACTGTACACCTCTATCCTTGGAGCCAGACATGACCCAGTTGGCATCGGGAGTGAGCGCCACGCTGAGTACGAAGTCCTAATCTTGTGAGCATAGAAAAATACGAGAAAGTATTGTGAAAACTTACCCTGTGGCCTTCAAATGTCTTGACGCATCGACCGCCCTTGGGGCCCGGGTTCTGTACCCCTCCTCTGGGGCTCGACAACTCCCACATCTTAATAGTCCTATCTAGACTTCCGCTTACTAGGTCCTTGCCATTAGGAGAGAAGGCTACAGAGTAAACACTGTCCTTGTGACCCTCCGGCCCTTCGAGCCGCTCCAGAAGGTATCCTTGATGAATGTCCCAAACGCGGACGCTCTTATCGAGCGATCCCGCAGCAACATACTTCGCATCAGGGGAGATAGCAACCGTCGTAACACCATCTTCGATAGAGAGGGTAAGCATATTTGTACCCTGTTCAATATCCCATAGTCGAACGGTCCTATCGCCACTACCAGAAGCTATAGTTCGCCCATCTCGAGCAAAGTCCAACGAATAAATGTCTTGTTCGTGACCAGCAAAAGTGTTACGAATCGTACGAGCGGCAATGTCCCAGACCTGTCTTATTTAGTAAAGTACAAGGGAACTTTGGCGATCAACTTACGCGAATGAGCTTGTCCTCAGCACCAGTAGCTAGATACTTGCCATCGGGGCTAAAGCACACGCTACGGATGTACAAATCCCCACTGATATCAACATTCTCATCTTGGAGAACGCATACCTTCTCGCCGGTCGCAACGTCGTAAATTTGGGCGGATCTATTACAACCAGTTGCTACATATTTACCGTCGTGGCTAAATCTCACACAGCACACAACGCTCTCGTGGTTCAGTGTGTGAACCAGATCAACATCGAGCATGCGCGGGACGTGTTGGTTGAAGATCACAAACCAATCGTCTCGAGTCTTCTTTACGTGAGCCGGGAGACGTTCCACATCTAAATCACCAAGAGCGTTGTTGACCATCGGGCCAGGGTGAGGTGGCAGAGCTCTATGGTCCGGTGTCGGGTGATTTGCTACCTGCGGCGAGGCTCCGGGCCCAGCATAGGGCATCGGGGTGTTGATCTGAGGAGTGGCAGGGCCACCGGCGGGTGGTCTACCGATACCGCGCTTGCCTGGGCCGGGTGAAGCAGTGCTCTGGGGAGGCTGCCCGGGGAACCCGCCGGGGGCCGGTCCCTGGTAAGGCTGCTGAAAGGGGGGTTGTTGTGCTGGTGGGGGTGGAGGCGGAGGCGGACCTTGCAAACCCGGGGGCGGCTGTGGCATTTGATGCTGAGGCCCGGGAGGGGCCTGATCCTGCGGGTTGGGTTGGGGTGGCAGACCACCACCTTGGCCTCCCTGACCGGTCATTATTCCACTAAATAGGTTATTGCCCATGCCGATTGAAGGAGGGGGAGGACCCGCAGATGGACCGCCATGTTGAGGCGGACCAGGAATAGCAGGTTGAGGGGCACCTCCTCGCGCGGCCTCGAGTTGGCGGCGAAGTAAAACCATCTCTTCTTCGTACCTATACATAGAAGTTAGTAGGTTAGCCTCAAGATTCCAAGGCAGTAGCAATAGATACTTACTTTGCTTTTATATTAATATGTTGCTGCTCCAACTGATAGACCTTCTCCCTAATAAGTTGAGCCTCTTGAACTTGTTGTTGAACTATTAGGTAATTAGTGACAGTCCCGGTCAAATGCGAAGCAGGAAAGCGTGTTTTTTCACTTGAAAGTGTATATAATTATCAGTTGAGACCAGATTGGGCTTAACCAGTAAAATGTATACCCTCATCCAATCTCCAATGGTAGTTTGTTTCTCGACTTACTCTGTTGCTCATATCCTTCGTTGATTCGAACTTGGTTATCAAACTCGGTGCGAATCTGGTCGAGAAGCTCGTTCAAACGGCCCGCATTTTGCGGCAAGCCGCGGTGCGGATACATAGACATTGTCGGATGTGGTATCGTTGCGCGGACGACCTATATCGGGATTGGAGTAGAAATTATATCCAAACAAGGCTGCAGTATTGCTGTATTGTGATATTGCGATATCAGGATTTTTAAGTTTTAAGTGACGATGACCATAAACAATGGATAGAAAAGTCGTAGATAGTTTGATGTTATGCAGGGTCCCTCCAGCTCCTATTCAACTTTAATACAACAAAGGAACACCCTTCCACACAACCCAATTGCAACGCGGGCAAGACGAGACGAAACTTGGCAGGGTCCCGTCAGACAACAGTGGGTATAGTCGTGTGAAAAAACGCGAGGATCGATGTTGGTGGTAAAGAGCGGCAGACGCGCAACCGTGTATTGGTCGCCGTTCAGCTAGTAACAACTAGATAGATGATTGTTGTTATGGGGCGATATTGATGAGGCTGGAAATGAGGCGTTGGTGTTGAGAAAGCAGGAAAAAAAACAGTTGAAAAAAAGGGAAGGATATGTGGTAGAGAAGAGGAGACAAGACCCAAGGTTGGTAGGTAATACTCAAGATTTGTTTGACCAGGGCTCGGGGGCTAGGCACGAGCTGGATTGGAACTATGTATGACCTGTAAAGAAGTACTTCCTATGTATGATGGCTGGTGGGTTCGGGCGACGGATCCATGCTACTATGAATGTAGTATGCGTGCACGGATTGTGAGGTTGTTGCAGGGGTGCAATGCAGCAGGTTCCTTAGCGTAAAGTTTCGTGCTTACATATGTAAGTTACTAGGTACATACCTTAGGTACTTTCTTTTTTTTCGACTTAACCCACAGACGGTAAACAGAATCTTACCTATTTTGGTACAGTCCTGTTTTTTTAAGCGGGCGCCGGGTTAAGGCTGCGTGCATTTTGGGTGGGGCCACGGGGCATCCATTGGCAAGCAGGAAATGGAAAGGGAAAGCACGCCCCCTAAGTAGGTACGCGCCGATGAAGTAACTACCTACCTACGTATTTTCTGTATTACATACATGTATGTATTTGCTACTACATGTAGTGTAGGTACCTACATATCCCGGCACAAACACGCAGGCGCTCGTATGGAAGTTTGTGGAAATCGCGATTTCACGGAGTATATGTACATATGGGGCATGCAAGCAGCTAAGCTACATCCTAGGAGGTATGTATGTAAGCACGCAGATGGCACCCCCACTTGGGCCAAGAGCTGTGGGTTAGGTAGGTACACTATGTAGAAACGCCGGTAGCATATTAATACATGTAATGCGGATAATGACACAAGCTTGAAATGTTAGGTAGCCAAGGCTTACCCTACCTTTTTTTCCATGATGTGCAATGCAGATATACGAAGGCAATTTTTTCCTTCTCTTCCAAGAACAACGTGTTGCATCGTATCAACGCCTCCTTTTTTTGTGCTCACGTTAGGTATCTATGCAAGTACATAATCTGCAACCTTGCCAAACTTGCCACAATGCACATTGAGGTTGCACATAGCAAGCGCAGACTACCGTACTAGCAATAGATTCAGCTCGGGTAAGAATGTGTGGAGGCATCCTGGTGTACAAACGGCCGGCGTGAATCCAACTTACATATATTTGAACCAAGTGTCTTGACACTTTGGAAGCGTTGCGGTTGTTTAAGCGTGACTAGGTATCTGCCCCCACCCAGGCATTTCAACTTATAGGTACCTGATCTAGAGGCAGAATTGCAACGATTTTACCGATGTTACCGTGATAAGTGGCCAATGTTAAAATAGCATAGCTTGTTGAGTTCATAAACATTCATGCTTTAATTAATTTGCAAGGGAGTTAGGACTTAAGCTGTTGTTAATAGGCTGGGATTAATGGATAGCAGTTATATGCGAGGTAGAGGCCGAGATGTCAGCTTTTAGATACTTGATAGGCTTATACAAAGACTACTACCCGCCAGATGACTACCTGACTAGGTCGAAATTTCATCGTAATATCATGTAACCTAGGTTAGATACATATTATGTTAGTTTTAGGTAGGTACGTATGACATCGCCACCTATATTTAGCATATGTTAAAAACAACGTTCTAAGTTTATCATTTCAATGCACTAACCTATATATGTACTTTGTAACTAGTATAACTTGGTTTTCTTCTTTATATTAGCAACAATGCATTCCAATGATTATCGCCGTATTGTAATCAAGTATAGATTGCTAGCTAAAGAGGTTTCATTCTAGTTTGGTGCAACATTAACAATTCCTTCCATCGAGCCAATAGGCGTCGACTCAATAGATACGTATCGGGACATGTACAGATTGAGTACATTCGGACGTTGTGGCTGTCTCGGAGATGAGCTATCTCCGGTAGCACGGCAGGGGCGGGTATAGCCAGTACCCGTCTCGGCCGTCTCCAATAATAGGTAAGCTACTTAACTCCACCCTGGAACCGACCGTGAAACAAGGTTTTACCGGTTCATGACTCTTGCCTTGTCAAATGGGGGGAATTTGGTTCGGCAAAAATGATTTGTACGTAGGAAAATCTGGCTTCTTCGGGTAGAAAAAAACACGTACAGTCTTGTTGCTACGAGCGGATATGAATCAACGTGACTTTCGGAAACATCTTACATGTGTATATATTTGTGTTCTATATATCTCTATATATTTAAACAAACGATATATTAGCTTCTACATTAGAAACTGCCCCGTCGTAAGCAGTTTGTGCGTTTGTAAGAAGTTCATCATTGCGTTGTAGCTCACATCGTCTGTTCGAGCTAGTTTAGACATGTGACTCCCGCTAAAATCTACTCGATGCTGCTTGTTCACTTACATACATGATATGTATGCATAATATATCAAATCCCGATCGTAATAGCATATAGGCAAACCACTTCCTATACTCTACCAACATATAGGGCAGCCTGTCATGGTTCTAGATGTCTCATCTAGAATCCTGACACAGCCTGCAGTCTTCCTAGGCCACGTACGTGCACCTGCTACCTTCCAGTCCGATGCGTGATCTTGCGGCTATTAACATCTGCGGTGTCAACTTGGTTTGCCTATTTTTCCACCCCCAACCGACGACAAAGGTGTACCATCTAGAATCAAGAACGGGTTGATTCCTGAGTCAGCTGCCATATTAATCCCTGTACTGCATATACTGTACTGCATATACTTGATCTCGATGGCTGAGGAATGGAATAGTGCTAGCCTGAATCTCAACATTCTCAGCAACAGCCACTAGCTAGGAATTTAAACACCTATGGTAGAAACCGGGAGCTAAACTCTCGTATACTCTCGATAGGGATAGGACCTACTGAGCATCATAACCCCTTGAACTCATAGACGATCATCTGACTTTCGGTTTAGGCCTAGTAGAAAACGGCTTTTGCAGCAAGGCTCTGAATAGGCTATGTGTAGCTCGACTTGAAAATAACCCGTCTTGTGAGGCATACGGAGGACAGTATCGAATTAGCATTAGATAATATGACTCATAATGCTCTCTATTTGTCGAAATGCGAACTAGCTAAAGGATAAGCATATTTAAACTGAAACGATGATGGGCCTCAATTGGCCAAAGGATTACTCTATAGCGAGCGCACTTTTGGAGATGAGCCTTTCAATTATTATCCTAAAACTCAAATTAGTTACCTGATACCTGGAATCTGTACCTTTATATATATATATCTATATATATATTGATATATAAGAAGCCTTGCTCGCCGTAGGTTTTAAAGTGGTGTGTTATTCGCCTATCGAACATTGCGAGCACAATGGCAACGTCATTACGATGCATGTCGTAGCCTGCGCATGATCTTTCAGGTCCGACGCAAACCTATGCTTAGAAGAAGAAACTCAGTATTGAAACACTGGTATTAAACCCGTGGGAAGAGATATCGAGGTGTAGATTCCTTGGGACCTGAGGATCGAGTCAACATCTCGGGCGTGATCCCTCAGTTCTCATTCGCCCAAAGATACGAACGAAACAGTAACATGGTAATATTGCCCCCTACCTGCCTACATCGCGCTTCTTCGTAGTGTTGTTAATATGAGCGTTGTAAAGTTATATTTCGCCATTGCTTCAATCTCTCGACTGATATAACGAAGGCGTTGGTTTTCCGAGTCGAGTGTCACATGCGTGAAATTTAGTTACATAGGATAGGAATTGTTACTAAATTCCCTTGTCGTATGTTACGACAAACCATAGTGGTCAGTCGGGTCATCCTATCGTACGACTAGATAGCTATTGATATTCAGACTGGACCCATGTTGAATTCGAAGTTGTATGTGGTACATATGTACATAAATAGGGGCTTGCTAGGGGAAACGGCTTAGCTTGAATCTTGAGCCGCAAGCTATAGAACTTATAGAACTTATGTATTTGCACATATGGTCCGTGCACATTCTCCATAACCCCAGAACAAGCTTCGTGTCAGCTCATCGCGTTTCATGTCCTTGTTAGAGGACGCTACTAAGGAGATCCTCTCGTCCTGTTTGGTCAATAAAGCGCTACTATGTAACATTTTGAAGCATTCTGAGACGCCGATGCTGTAATAACTCACGATAGGTATAATATATTCCCTTCGTATTGTCAACTAAGGAAGATCCTCTGCACGTATCGAGAATCATTCAAGGGTCTCTGCTTTGGAAAGCAGCTCCTAGCGACTTGGCCCATCGTAGATCTCCCCTGACTTTTTCGACAGGGCTGTAAGATGATATCCTCTTTATTTATGATTGCCTTTCTCGTTTCAACTCCTTCTCTTCTTGTTTAACCTTTTTTGCCTTCTGTTTGATGTAAAATCATTGCCATTCGTTTCTTCGCACCAGGTGTGCCTTTTTATTACTATCATTATTATTGTTGTTGTTATTAAATCAACATGTCAAAAGCATACCAGACAGTCGCTCCGGACGAAGAGCCTTTTCTTGCTAAGGAAGAAGGGGAAGTAGATGATGAGCAATGGACGGAGAACAGACAGAGCAAATCTATACTGGACCGTCTTAAAAGATTGAGTCCACATTGGGCTTGGATTTGTCATGCTATTCTATTATCACTTTCTGTAACATTTTTCGCGTTATCATTCTGCTCGAAGGCTTCAGAGACGACCGACGCGGAGTACACAGAAAAATACTCAGCCTGGTGTATGTTGAACCAATATCACGTCGTTTTTGGATCAAATATCTAACATCGTAAATAGCACCGGCTGCTAGTGCTGTGAAGTACGAGACGCAACATTTCGACTTGCCTCCTTTTACAGAAGGACCCTTCGTCGGCATGGGCGATGATGTGGATAAGGCATGGGATGAGATTTCAGCTAGTACGTTCTAGAAATGACATCTAAAACTTAGAAGCAAACAAATATCTAACAGGAACTATAGTCGGTGACACGATGATATCCCGCGACGAGATGGTAAAACTAGGTCTGAACCCCGATACCTCCCTTGCCATCACGGACCCAAGAGATGGGAAGCCGGGCTATCGGGTCGCGATCGAGGTCTTCCATCAATTGCATTGCTTGAATTTACTGCGACAGAACATATATAAAGAGTACTATTCACCATTAGGAGGAGATACGTCCGATGCGCCCCAGGATCTGACGGGCCACCTTGACCACTGCATCGACGCACTGCGACAATTCGTCATGTGTCAGGGCGACATCGGTGTCTTCAGCTTCCACTTTCCGATGGGTGATGGAGACCCGTGGCCGAACTACAGTACGCCGCACACCTGCAGGAATTTCGACAGCATCCGACAATGGGCTGTCGACCATACAGTTCCAAGGGGACCTGACGAGCCGGAGCATTGAGATATCTTCTCCAAATAGATCTATATATATATATATATGTAATGACAAGCTATTGAATGAGCGATTTTATTCTAAATATATTATGAAGACCGAGTGTCGAAGCTGGCTTGAAATATTCGTCTTATAACGTCCTATAATGTCCTATAATGAATGTGAGACAACTGCCGTAAACCGTAATGAGCCACATTATGCAAACATGACCGTGGTTTTCGGGGTGGCAGAATCACTTGATATTTGAGGTTTAATTGAAGAGCGAGCTGTCATCAGAAAGTTCGCCCCGTACCTTGGTTGTCTCAATGGTGTATTGAATATAACTGAATATACCATGCAGATACATAGATAACATTGCAGAACCGGAGTGACGCCGGCGGTGCAATAACGAAATAGGACCTTCACGTGCGGATCAGTACGTAAATACATCGCAATGCGAATACGAGAGTGGGTCATAAGAAAAGCCGTTAGGGCAGAATGAAAAGCGGGTCGTTTGCCATTTCCGCCTTATCAGATCGAAAACGATGAGCCGATTTGCAGCTTTTTTACGCCAGGTTTGCAGCTAAAGAGGCCAACAGCCTATTACGTATGGCGAGAGAGTGGGGAAGATTAAGTTACCGCTACTCTATTCAGAACCCAGGGTTCTGGAGACCCGGAACCTTGACATTCCAGTGGTGTCATGCATTTGACGAATCAGGGGGCGAGTTGCATCGCGCTCATCGACTCCTATTTCCTCCTTTTTTGGAATATCAAATTTGCTACTTTGTATGTACTGATGACATCTTGAATTTTGGAGTCTACAGCTTATCCCAAAGTCATTCTTGACCATCAACCCAAAGTCTAACCCGATTTGGCAAAGGCTAGGACTTTGGATCCAATATTCTGATTGGTTGTATTTGACGGGGTCTGTTTTGGGGTAAGTTAAAAGGGAGGGATACGGCATCCCTTTAGATACGGTACCTCGGTAATAATAAAGATGAGTTAATTAATTATATAATAAGGTTTTATTAAGGTTTTATACTTTTTAATATATAGGTTATTAAAATGTTTAAGATTATTTAATGGAGATGTGTTATATAATTAATACGTATTAAATAAGCGTTATATAAGGTTTAATTTATTATATTTTTAATGATTTAATTAATTAAAGTAAAATTGTAAAAACGTGTATTATATTACTATTTTATATAAGATTAAAGATTTTTTAAATTATTTAATATAATTAATAAATTAATTTAATTTAAAATATTTTAATATTTTTTTATTATTTAAATTATTAATAATTTAATTTTAATTTAAAAAAAGTTTTTAATTATTTTTAATTATTATTAATATATATTTTTTATTTTATAATTATTTTATTATTTAATTCTTATAACTATTTTATTTATAAAAGATCTTTAATATTTATTAAGGTTAATTAAATTTTAAATTATTTATATAAATTTTTATAAAGCTATATATACTTAATTGGGTTAGACTTTAGGTTGATGGTCAAGGATAACTTTGGGATAAGCTGCGCCTTTTGAATTTTGACATCCGAATGGGCCGATGCAAGTCGAAAGATGAAAGACGAAGTGGTTCGACGCTAAAGAATAGTTTTTAGGGAATAAAAGCAGAACAGTTTCCCTCGTAAAGAAGTTTATTCTTTCTTGTATCACTTCCATATAAAACCTTGTCTCACTAAGGGAGTGATTACCTCACTACTACCCCTTTTTTTATTGGCGACAAAAGTTTATCGATTGCGCTTCTAGTCAGGAACGGAGGGACCCACTATTACTTGCTCCGATTTAGTCTATCTAAAACCCGAGCTCAAGCCTAGTAAATTCCCAATCCGTAATCAAGAACCGAGCCATCCCCACGCCGCGGCTCGCGAAATTACATATCAAAGCCGACCCTAGGCCGTAGGAAGATCAACAAATTTTTCCCTTTTATTTGTTGCCATCGCCCTCGCTTCTGCGGTTCTTCCTAATTCTTGCGCGTCCATTCTTTGCATTCCGATCGTTTTCAAGATGGATGTCGTGCTTGAAATCGCAGATACCTTCGCGGGAGACTACCTTTACTCCAAACTGCTTCCATTACAGCCGGTTACTCCCCACGATCTCCCAGATGTCGGTGCCAACTCTACCCAGGCTCTGTCGTCATGGCAGTTCAAGTCGGCGAACCCTTATTTTCAATTCGAACCCAGCCAATATGCATACATGAGCGCCTGGGATAGAGATAACCCGTATCGCCAAAGTACTTCGCTATTCCTCATCACATGGTATGTGAACCTTCTCTGCATTGGGTGCATCGTCTATGACTACCTAAGTTAGTGCTAATGTGACATTAGGATCTTTGGCTTCGTGCTATACTTCCTGTTTTCGACACTTTCCTACATCTTCATCTTCGATAAGAAGACATTTAACCACCCCAAGTATCTTAAGAACCAGGTACGGCTTGAGATCAAACAGACCATGAGGTCGATGCCCATCATGTCGGCCCTGACCGTCCCCTTCTGGCTTCTCGACGTTCGTGGTCTCACCAAGCTATACGACACTCCTGCCGACGGACCTGGTATGTGGTACGAGATCTTGCAGTACCCCTTTTTCATCTTGTTCACCGACGCCTGCATCTACTTGATCCACCGTGGCCTACATCACCCGTTGATCTACAAGTACCTGCACAAGCCTCACCACAAGTGGATCATGCCTACTCCCTACGCTTCCTACGCTTTCCACCCCGTCGACGGCTGGTCGCAATCGCTCCCGTACCACATGTTCCCCTTGTTGTTCCCGTTGAACAAGTTTGCCTCTGTTGCCGCCTTCGTCTTCATCAACTTCTGGACTATCATGATCCACGACGGCGAGTACATGGCCAACAGCCCCGTTATCAATGGTGCCGCCTGCCACACGATGCATCATCTGTACTTCAACTACAACTATGGCCAATATACCACCTTATGGGATAGGCTAGGCCAGAGCTACCGCAAGCCCGACCCCGACCTATTCCAGAAGGAGAAGAAGATGGGCGAGGCGCAATGGAAAGCCCAGGTCAACGAGATGGAAAAGATCGTCAAGGAGGTCGAGGGCGAAGATGACCGCAGCTACGACGCCGGAAAGGTCAAGAAGAATAACTAGACACTTCGACTCTTGTCTAGATGCGATGCCTTGTTTTCGTCGATGCGCAAGAACCAGTTGTCCAGAGATAACTGGAAGGGACGCCTTGCCTTTTTGATGTAAAAAGAACGAGCGTAATGTTGTGCGATACGGAGATTTAATTAGTGCTAGTGGCACAACAGAGTATTGTATATAGTTGGCAGAATGCTGGGCCTCTAATAATGTGACGGCGTTGGGGATATCCAGAAAAGAGGATTCGGAATGTATTCTATTCCGACTCAACTCGAAGCCGAGTTGCGAGCCTCGTAGATGGAAAGAAGAGGCGACTCTTGTCCCGTCGTTACCTCGATAAAATAATGGATTGATGGATATACTACATACATATATAATGACCCAAATAAACCTAATGTTTTCTACGAAACTTTTTAGTTTGAATCAATGACGTTGGTTGTACGTGGTGTGAATTTAGATGATTGGATAATGCTGGGAGTACATACGTATGACCGTTATGGTGAGACTTCGATGTAGCATTGAAGGTTATATTCATGAGAGTTCCATATATATCGGTACTTGGGTCCAAGGGTGGTACAGCTTTAGTGCTTTAACCTAGTAGTTCTATCTTCGTCCTACGAGACCGAAAGAGGACTACAGGATGAGCAAGGATTGATAAAAGTTACCTATGGCACGTTTAACTCACTTATGGTTCGAGGATACACAAGGCTAGCTGAGATGCGCATACATGTTAGGTATATCAGGTTGGGTACCTAGGTACATATGTAGGCATTGGGTAACTTGTGTAAACTTTGATAGACTTCGATATTGTATTGAAGTAAGGAAATTGTGATAGGCTGTAGATTTCGAACGATCCATTACCGTCCTCCGTAGTCGTACTAGACCACTGCATAGTAAAATGACCTGATAGCTTCAATACGAAACTCCCTTCCCCGTCCTAGAATACATCTGAGCAGACGATACTAATAGCACAATTGAGTCATGCTGAATACCGAGCCAAGGATGCTTCTCCTACTAGGTACGGTGAAGTGTACTAGTATATCCCCACTAACGAATAAGCCCGTGCCCGCAAACGCCGTCGCAAAATGAAGAAAAACGCGCGAACGCCCATCGCGATGAATAAAGGTTGGTCCGTAGCCCTATCCCACCTACCATCCGTCCATCTCCAATGTCTACTCTGGCAACCGACCAGCCTAAGACTCCCACCTGTACTCTCAGAAACCTATAAATATACACACACCTAGGTCCTTACACCTATAGGGCGGACACGGTCGTCGCGAACCAGCGGGGTATACAATCGCACACGCTCATGAGAAACTGACGAACTTGGGGTCCTTTGGCCTCCCATCCGCGGCAATACCATTTGCGCTGAATCGCTGCTCCATATAGATCCTGCGCGCCTCGTCGAAGCGCATGCGCCTCTTCTTCATAATCGCAAGAATCTGGGCTTTCGCCTCGTCGTCAAGACCGGCGCGGGCATCGCCCCCTTCTACGTTGGCGCCTAGATCGAAAGTATTGCTCGACAGGCCCGCTTCGATGTCGCCTGCGAACGAGCCGGAGAGGTGCGAGTACAGGTGCGAGCGCCCGGGGGAAAACGATACCCAGTAGTTCCGGGTTAGGTAGAGGATCGTGCCGGTGACGAGCACGAGGAAGGTTATGGAGTAGAGGAAGTATGACATTTTTTTTTTTTGATCTCGAGAGGGGTATTTAGGTAGATCGGATTCGTTGCGCAGATGGGAGTAAAGACACTTGGTGGCGTTGGGTTGAACTCGTGCGCGAGGATAGATGGTATCACAGTGGGCAGATTGAATTGAGGCAGCCGATAAGTGGTGGTGGTGGGTGGTTAGAAAGCCACAGTTTCAGAAGTAAAGGGTTTGGTGGCTAGAAAGTCGAAGAAACACACGGGAAAGAAAACAAGAAAAAGGAAGAGAGTGAATGAAGATTGCAATCGCAAAAAAAAAACGATTTAGAAGAAGTAAGCAAATGGGTATCGTGATTTTAATTACGCGTAGGCCATCGGAAGAGACGGTCTTTCTCGCAATCGAAAGCAAGTCCGAAGTTGTTAGTGGAATGGGGAGGGTGGATCGTAGGGCCCGGCTGTCTTAACCGGACTGACGACAGAACTGCAGGTGGGAAATGCAGCCAATTAAAGCTGAGTGGGTGTTGGAGGCGCAGACTTGACGAGACATGGGACACGTAAGATGCACGAGCCACATATTTTAAGTACATACATATCTAAGTATAGACGCTAATACCGATACGGCCAATTAAGCGACTCCCACACTCGACCATTTGCGCCTGTGAACTTTTCGAAATCGTACAAGGTCGTCACGATAGAGCAGCTAGGTACTCTGGACCATTGAACCCTCCTCATCCCCGCGAATCTCACGATCTCGACCTTCATACAAAATGGCCACCAATAACGTCTCCGCAGACCTCGTCTGGGAACTTGTCCGTAAGTTCTAGGCCTAGTTTACGAGCTCGATGGACTGGGCTAGGTTTTGAGTGGTAGAGTAGAGGCTAATGCTATATAATTTTATCGTGCACAGGCAGCAACAACTCCTACCTCGTCAAGCGCAAGGAGTCTGGCGGCATTCAGTTCTCCCGCGACCCTCTTAACTTGACCAACCTCCACAGCCGCAAGGTAAGGGATCTAACTACGAGTTTGGAAGTTGTGTGTTGAAACCAGGAAGATTTAGCTAACACAGGGACTAGTATGCCGGATTCGTGAACACCAAGGTATGAACACAGCAGCGATTATAACACGACTCGATATTTCAATGAGACTCACGATTAGAACATTAGGCTATCGGCGTCCAGCCCGCGGAGAAGAACGGCGTTAAGGTCATCAGCAAGAAGGAGTCGGCTGTTCAGCAGCCTGCTAAGTCTACCACTGAGGTCACCCACAGCGGCGGCCAGGCTACACGGAAGTTAGTTTCTCTTGGATATCTACGTCCTGCCGGTTGATGGCAACCTGGTTCACTAACACGCGCAACTACGCAGGATCTACAAGACCGTTGCCAACAAGACTGCCAAGTCCGGCTACCGACCCGACCTCCGCGAGGCCGCCGTCTCCCGCGTCTCTGCCGTCCGCCAGTCCCAGCGGGAACCCAAGCCCACCCCCGAGAAGAAGCCTCGAGGCGCCAAGGCTAAGAAGGCTGCCGCCGCGGAGTCGTAAGCTCCTTATAGACAAGGAGAGGGGATGGATGGAATAACTAGGTAACGACTACAGAGATAAGGCCGGCCGGTAAATAAGGCATATGCATTTTTAATAGTCAATCCAAATTCCAAAGGCGTCTGAGGAAAGAAATCCTTCAACGAAAAATGCTTCCTATTTTGTGTGATTCGAAACTTATCTCGCATGCTTCCCGGCACACATTCCCCAGAGAAAATGAATGGGACAAGATGGCACCAGTCTAATCCGGTATGACTACCCGGGCAATCCTACCTTAGCCGCGCTGGTGGCGCCTCGGCGGGAGCGGTGTGTGCAGCAGCAAGCAAACCCGACCCCATACGTGTGTAGTACATGCAGATATGGGTTGAGTTATTTAACGCCTACGATGTTGTTACAAACTAATATGCGTGCCTGTATGTAGCTACATGTAAGGTAAGGCTTTATCTTGGCAGCCAACTCAGGGGTAAGCCGGGAGACTTCGCGCTATTAATGACGAGCAAATTGTCCGTCGGCGAGTCTTTTTCTCGTGTGAAGCCGTAAAAGAATAAAAAAGGCCAAGGCCATCAAAACTTGAATGGAGTTGATTTTAACCCGTCCGGCCTTGCCCGATACCGAGAAGCGAACCTCGGGAAATGGCTATGATGTCAACTGCCACAAGCAATATATGAAAACTCCATTCCGGACAATAGCCTCGGGTTAGAGGAACAAAGGACTAACGCTAGGCCAGCTCTGTACCTAGGAAGACAAGAACACCGACGATAGGTGGCCTTGAGGGATCACGAATGACAGGTAGTAAGATGTTGAGTATTTCGCAGTTTTGCAGTTTTGTAGTTTTGTAGTTTCGCAGTTAATTCATAGTATCATCGGACATAGCATCAATGTACCTAAGTCGACCCTTGCCATCAGCTCCGCCGACCTGAGATGCCCAGAAAACAAAACCTCCATGCATGTGGTTTCAGCATGTACCTAACCTAGGTCCAATGTTGCTTGCTATACGGCGGAAGAGCCAAATGGGTTACAAGCTCGCCTGCCGGGAATGAGATGACAAATAACCAATTAAAGAAGGAACATTGCTTCGGCTTTCAAACGTGATTGGCTCCTGCAGGCGCGGGATTATGTGAATGCTTTTTTGTTCTTGGTGGGATAGCAAGAATGCAATACATAGTAAAAGGTAGGCACGATGGAGATGGTGGGGGTAGCGCCAAACAGCAATAAAGCTAAAGTGGATTCCTCCCTCTACATCACGTCCTTCTGCCCCGCCTTCTTGCGTATCAACTCAACTTTCCCGATTTCATCATCCCGGAAGCTCTACATACATAAAAGCACCAGGGTGAGTAGCAGCCTCTCTTCCTACCTGATCCTACATGTTGTTCACTTCCACAACCACAATTGTTTAAATCCTAAATCCTAAATCTCTCTTCCTGGAGAACTTGCCGACTTGATTTATCCTGCCTGGAGCTGGAGATACTAACACACGTATTCGGTGTCTTAGTCCTTGAACCAATTACCCCACCTCAACAACTTATAAATCGCGACCATGGTTAAAGCTGGTATGAAGCATCATGTCCGGACCCAAGTCTAAGGAGGGCTAATACTAATGAGCGATTAGTTGTTGCCGGCGCTTCTGGCGGTATTGGCCAGGTTTGTTATTCATCGTTCTGAATATAATAAAGCGAGAGCCTTAAAGCTAACAAAGCACAGCCCCTGTCCCTCCTTCTCAAGCTCTCTCCCCTCGTTGACGAGCTTGCCCTCTACGATGTCGTGAACACCCCCGGCGTCGCTACCGACCTCTCCCACATTTCCTCGACTGCTGTGAGCAACCACTCCCAACGTAGAATATCATGATAATCGTGAAGCCTAACACAATAAATAGAAAGTCACGGGCTACCTGCCCAAGGACGACGGCGGAAAGCTTGCATTCAAGGATGCGGACATCATCGTCATCCCCGCCGGCATTCCCCGTGAGTCTTTAAATATTACCTCAAAATCCATGCAACTTAATAGCTCACATAATTGCAGGCAAGCCCGGCATGACCCGTGACGACCTCTTCAACATCAACGCTGGAATCGTCAAGGGCCTGATCGAGATTGCTGCTGAGGTCGCCCCCAAGGCCTACATCCTAGTCATCTCTAACCCCGTCAACTCCACCGTCCCCATCGCCGCTGAAGTTCTAAAGGCGAAGGGTGTTTTCAACCCCCAGAGACTGTTCGGTGTCACCACCCTCGACATTGTCCGTGCCGAGACCTTCGTTGCCGAAATTGCTGGCAAGAAGACTGGCTCTGAACTGACCGTCCCCGTCGTTGGTGGACACTCTGGCGAGACCATTGTCCCTCTCTTTAGCAAGGTTAGCCCTAGCGTGTCGATCCCCGATGACAAGTACGATGCTCTCGTCAACCGTGTCCAGTTCGGCGGTGACGAGGTTGTCAAGGCCAAGGATGGTGCTGGTTCCGCTACCTTGTCCATGGCTTTCGCTGGATACCGGTAAGATCTGTCTTTCTTATCTCTAGGGAGCAATAGGGAACAAACGCTGACAATACTTTAGCTTCGCGGAGAAGGTATTGAAGGCTATTAACGGAGAGAAGGGCCTTGTCGAACCCAGCTTTGTCTACCTCAAGGGCATCCCAGGTGGTGAAGAGATTGCTCAGGCCACTGGCCTGGAGTTCTTCTCTGCGCCCGTTGAACTCGGAGTACGTATTTTCTCAGTCGTATTGGCAAAATTATGCTAACCGTCCCATAGCCCAACGGTGCCGAAAAGATCATCAACCCTCTTGCTGGCATTACCGAGAAGGAGAAGTCTCTGGTAGACGTCGCCATCCAAGGCCTGAAGACCAACATCGAGAAGGGCATCAGCTTCGCTCACAACCCCCCTCAAAAGTAATTCCCCCCTTGATTTACCCCCGGATGAATTTGCCTCGCTCATGGAGCCTGGCGCGGCTACTATGTAATGTGTTTAGCACATAAACATCTTGCCCACGGGTTTGGCATGTTTTATAGAAAAAGTCAAACCAGACAGTTGAGCGATAATTGAGATCGAGTAACTGATCCTATCTGATTGCATAGGTTGTAAGAATGACGTAGTCGCCCTGATTAGAGCCAGTTCATGTCTCTCTACCGTGTCCGTGTCCAGCCAGGTCCGTTTAAGAATATTTGGAGGAATCTCGGAAATTAATACCGGTAAAGGGGGTTCGCTTAGAGAGGTATGCGCTGGGGGGGAACTGGATAAGGTAGAATTTTCTGTTGGCGGGATGGGACGGAAGGGGTTTGAGGGGGAGGGGGGAAGGGGAAGGGGCATATTAGGTACGGGGTGGAACTCTGCGATGCTTAGAAACATGATTTGTAGATATCAACAACAGTAACAGACCAAACACCTAAACGCCGTTACTTCTAAATGCTAGATCACACCATGCCTTTCCTCTCTTTTACGCCGCCGCGCCTCTAAAATTCCGGCATGACGAATCCTGCCTTACGTAGACAGTCGGCGTGCCAAGAGATAATTCTGCCATGTAGTAAGTAGACCAAGTCCAGGCAGGGTGGTTAGGTTAAGTCAAGTAACGAGATCTCATTGCTTGGCAGGCACGGTCTTGATCTGGAAAACGGCGCCGGGAAGCTCGTTGGTCTCGGCCTGGACGGTGGCGGCGATGCCCATGGCGGCGAGGGCGCCGCGGACGATGCCGCAAGGGAACCACAGGAACTACGGATGTGTTAGAACGGAAGATCTTCGGGGGATGATGTAGAAGGGGGGTGGATAGGATAGGATAGGGTAGGTAGAGTAAATACTCACAGGCTGGGCCCTCACGACGGCGTGGCCGCCGGCATCGGCGCTCATGCGCGAAAGGGGGCGGAAGGCGTTGTCGGTCAGGACGTAGACGCCGCGGTGGTTGGTCTTGAGGTTGTCGACTTGCTTCTTGAAGACCAGCATCCACAGGTCCTTGCATATGAACTTGATGGCGTCGAGGGTGTCGTTGAAGCGTGGGCGGTCGCGGGAGAAGCTGTGGGATGGTGTTTAGTACCTAGGTAGTATCGTATGTATAGCAATAATAAGAGAAAAAGGAGAAACGAACCGCTCAACGAGCCCCAGCCCGACTCTGTACCCCAGCCCGTCCAGCCTGAAGAAAACCGCATCCCTCTCCTCGTCCTCATCCAACTTCTTCCCAGCCGTCCCCGCCTCCCCGCCATCAGCAGCAGCAGCAGCAGCAGCAGCAGCGGCGCCGGGCTCCGGCGCATCCAGCTCGTTCGCGACGCGGTACGCCATGGGCACCAGCTCGATCATCAGGAAGTCCAGGCACGAGGTGCTCAGGAACGAGGCGCTCGGGTCCGAGGCGTTGAAGGGCGGGAGGGGTTGGTCGAACGACGACATGGCGGGGTTCCTCTTGTCCTTCTTTTCTCTCCTCTTCGATATATACTACTACCTACCCTCTTACGCCTTCTGTCCCGAGAAGACCCGCGGTATAAGCGCAAGCAGAGGCGGCAGTCGTAAGGTGCGTAATGAAGTGTAGATGCTCGCAGCGTTCGAGATGCAATCTTCCGCGGCGCATTGGTGGTTTAACAGTGTGGGTGGGTGGTTAGGCTGTCGTCACATGAACACTGTATTCTAATATTGCCTAGAGAGCCGTTGTGATCCGTCGTGATTTCGCTATTGCTTCGTGGTATGTGGTACGTGGTACGTAGAGAAGTTGCTGGTAGCTTAGAAGCTCGAGGCTGAAAATAGAGGCTAAGAATAGTGGAACGGACAGGCCTGAAGCTGCTGGATTTCGAGATAAGTTCGGATACTACCTAGGTACTTAGGTTAGGTACCTAGGTATTAATCAAAGACTCGCTTATATGCATACACAATACGTACATAATACATAATACGTATTGATTTAAACACTACAAGTCGTTCTTACGCTGCAATACAGATTAGAAGCCCTCACACATATCAAACAAGAGTTAAACTCGCCGCCACAACATTCTAATGCACCAGGTTTTTATTATTCACTTTTTAAATGAGACTACTGGTAAAGACCTATAATCCGCCGGGTCTAGACGCTTCGCTCTAGCCTTCTCGATCGCAACTCCAGCCATATGTAGCCTCCATAAAGCAATAGGTATTTCCACCCCTAACGCCGAGGTGACCATCCCCTCCTGCCCCTATCGTCATACCCGTACCTTGCTTGCACAAGGGGATGATCGCATTCTATGTACAGAGAGAACTAGGGACGGAGAGGCGAAAAAGAGACGAAAAAAGGGCTCCGTATCGAACTTCCGATAATGCCAAATTCCATGCCGCAAGATATGCTTTTTTCGTGAAAACGTCGTAATATCCCTCGTAGAAACTACTCCCGCCCACTTTGCGTAATAATTACTAAACCCCCAATGTTAACCAACTTCCTAGTCTCGTAGGAGTACCTTCATCCACTCTTCTACGAATTCCATTGTCTGATATTGTAGAAAATCCACTGCGTCGCGCGGCTGTGGCGAATACGATGTATATTCCTAATAGCTGTATGCAGAAGGAAAGTTCATACCATTAGTCGGCCCTAGGTTTTGACGTTTTGGAGGGCGAACAATAGGCTCGTCATCCTCATCGCTACTGAGGGTAAGATCAATAACCTCTGCCGGCCGCTTACTGCTTCCCGACCTTTGCGTGTTTGGCGTCTCTCGATGACCGCCGTTGGGCGTTCCGCCGCCAAGAAAAGAGCGACTTGGTGTGCTCATGGCATTCCTCATACTGCCTATTGGGACGCTGGGAGTACCGTTGCCAAAAGCGTGGGTGTCGGAGAGAATTGATATATCATCATCATCCTCTATCTTGGTACCGTTAGGGGGTCGAGATCGGGTCGGTTCTGGCTCTTCCGACTTTACTCTCCATTGACCATCTGGCTCAATGGTGACTTGTTCGCATGACTCGGGAGTGTTCTCTAAGACCTCCTGTACGTACTCGTCTATCGCTAGATTCTCAAACGGTGCAGACTTAGAGCAGATTGGACAGCTCCAAGTCGGACCCTGTTCTTGGAGCTGCATGAACGAATTTGCGTCAAAACACTGGATATGGTTACATGTTGTTCCTCGGCAGGGAAATCTTAATCTCGCATAGCTAAGCGGACACTTTAGAGATAGGTTTTGGGAAGTTGCTACAACGTCTGGATCGTTGGCTTTCTTGGAGACTAGAGGTGTATTAGCGTGTGGCTTTATATTAGAGGTGATTCATGCCATACTCTCACGGATGACCGAAGTTTTGGATATCTTCTTCGCCTTGATCCTCGTAACTAGTTCGTCGATTGGGTGTGTTCTGCATACGTATAACGCTAGGTAGAACTTCTATTTTAATACTGTTAGCGAGAGACACAGAGTAAATAGAAGAAGCACCACTTGGTGCGTAGGGGTCGACTCACTTGAGTCCCTCTTGAAGCTTTAGGCTTCCGTACCTTAGTGGTCAGAGCATAAGTGAACTCGACTTTGTTAGTATAGTTGGTCTGCTTCAGTCTTAAAAAGGGGGTGATGTCAACCGGATGGGTTGATCCTGGTTTATTCTTGAGGCCTCGAAGATTATGCTTTACGTCATCGTCATTCACCTTGACTTCGGACTGGTGAGGGAACTGAATGTCCTGAAGCCCTGTATTTTCGCTTCCGCAGAATACCATGAGCTTAGTAGATGAGTAAGTCGCGCATCGCCCAAGATCTGGGTAGTCGCTAGCTTTTAAGGTTATGGTGATGGAATTTCGGTGGTTGTTCATGACTAAGAGGAAAATGTCAGCGGAGTTACAATAAGAGAGCGACAGATGTCTTATAGGAGCACTCTACCAGGACACGTGTGAAGCGGGCCGATCCTCTTTTCGATGGTGTAGAAGGGCGTATTTTTAAAGATGTTGTCTGAATGTGGTGCTCTAGAAGCAATCGGATACCCGGCGCCATTTCCGACGACGCTGGCGCCGTTGCTATAGCCGTGACTCGGTTGGGGCATACTGGAACCTGCTGGTTGGTATGAGCCATACGAGTTATAGTAGGGGTTGCGACTCTGAGGCTGTACGCCCAAATTGGACGGAGGAGCCATACTCTGTGGACCAGAGTTTCCTCCTCGGATGTTCATTATCGTGTCGCGTATCGCGTTGTAGTTCGCGGGGTCGGACTGGTAGTTTTCGTGGAGCGCTGTAAGGTAGATGTTAGTTATCGATCGAGTGTATCGTCCGGATATGCGGAAATGGTTAGAGAAGAGAAGAAGGATTAGGTAGAAGCGAAGAAGAGGACGGCGACGGAAGGTCTGGACGGTAAATGTGAAACTTTATATGGAAAAGTTGGCGACAGATGAGAACAATGAATCTCATCTATATTGCTGCTGTTGTTGCTGCTGTTGCCTTGGGCCGTGTCATATTTGATTATATTCGCATATTCGCATATTCGAACCCATGCACCATCATCGCATCTTGTCATCTTTTCATCTCTACATCTTTACTAACCATTCTTGATGCGATTCTGTAAATCGGCCTTAACCCCGCTTGTTCTCAATCCATGGGACGAGCAGATGTGTTGTAACTGTTTATTAAGCAAAGTGGATATGATTCGCTCGAGGGATCGAATATCGGTGTTGGTAGAGGACATGATTGCTACCGTCTCGCAAGGCAGTCGAGGCAGTCGCGGTCGCAGTTGCACGGTGCCCAAACCAGCCGCCTCATGAGGAAGGCTCCGATGTGCGCTAAACAAGTACCCGATTTCGCTGTAAGGCTGGCCAAACAACCTAAGTCCCCCGTGTCCGTATGTCCGTATGTACGTACTGCGATTTCTCACCCACGACAAATCGCGCCTGCCAATTCCTAGGCTACCTGATTCGAGCTTCGTCAAAAGTCGATAAGTCGATAAGTCGATATCTCTACCGAAGAATTGTTAATTGCTATTCCAATGATAAGCGAAATTGGATCGGGCTAGGTTGGTTTGGCCATTGAAACATGCAGAGGAGGAATATCAGCTTCAACAGATTTAGCAACGGGAAAAAAGGTACGGGGGCTTTTAGAGGTGCCTGCGACGTTAGGTACTCGGCGGCTGATAAGTAAGTATCGCTCCTAGGTATGAAAGAAAATTCACCGCCTGCCGCATTAAGATTAAGTACCTAAGATACCTGTATGTTACATAACTTAATTACCTAATGCATATATGTGACTACATATGTACATAGGTAGCTTCCACTATCTTAGCGGGATCTACAAATCTATCGCCCCACCAAAGGTGTGCGGAGCATTCAAACCCGTCTAAACAATTTTTTTTCTTATTCGACTGTTGAATTTGCCATCACTAATATAGTTGTACAAGTCGAAACATTTACGGTAAGCATGCTCCCACCTGCCAATACCCTTTAACTTGGGGAGATTTTGTGCTTGTGCTATTCTTCCCGGAATTCCACTTGATTCCCCATTGCTTGCATCAATTCATATATGAAGTACAACATTCCATACTAACTGATAACTTCTCAAGGTCTTGCAAACCCATCCTTGAAGGACGTCAACAATCCATTCCCTCTAATCCGACATCCCGTTCTCTCAATCACCTTTTAGCAATGGCGAAAAGCTCCCGCGCCAGCACGCGCAAAACCAACAACCAGCGCCTGAAGGCCAAGGTCTTCGGCCCGGTCGAGGCAGCCCGAGCCGAACGTCTCTCTGCCAAGCTCCTCGAACTGGCTGCGCAGCCCAAACCCCAGCCTGAAGGGGCCGAGATGAAGATCGTGGACGGTGCTGAGGAAACCAAGGAGGATAATGCTACTACAGCGACAGAGGCCGATAACAGTAAGTACCAACTCTAGACCATGTAACTAGCATGTTCTATGTTCTATAGTCTCTAACAGTCTCGTAGCAATGGACGTCGACAGCGCCAAACCCGCAAGCAAACGCAGCGACAAGAAGCGCATTGAAAAGCGAAGGAAGACCAGCAAGATTGTCTTCCCCAAATATGGCGACAAGAAGAAGACAAAGAGACGTTAGATGTGAGACGTATCAAAAGGGTGGGTTGGGGTGAATTGCATTGTTAGGCGTTCGGTTGCGTTTTGGTAGTACGTGGGTATATCTAGGTCTATACTTGATTCCCACAATGATACCCTTCTTGAAGATATCATATCTCGCTATTTACGTGATTCCCAATCGCCATAGGCGTTGCATCTGTAGCCGATATTGGAGCTGGGGGGGCTGGAGGAGCTAAAGGAATCGCTTCCGGACCTGTGCCTAGGATTGTTGGAGGCACAATAGTAGCGGGTGTCGAATTTAAAGATGTTGCTAACACATCAACCCGTAGCGGGGCTAGGGCTGGAGTCGAAGCTGGAGGAGCTGAAACCTGAGCCCCTGTCATAGGTTGATTCGGCATAGTAGCCACTGGCGGAGATACGGCGTTTGCAATGGTAACCGGTTCCTTTGGCTTAGTAGATGTAACTGGTGTAGCTGGCACAGCCGGAACAGCCGGAACAGAATCCTTGAATGTCTCCGGCGCGTCTCCCTTAGGGCCTTCAGGGGTTTCCATTTTCTTTTCCGGTCCCGGTGCGTCGGGGTTCAAAAACCGAGCCGGCACGCCAGTCGCCGCATAAGATCCGCTACCCATCCACGCGCCCGCCAAGCGACTCCACTTATACTCGCCGCGCCAGAGTTTCTGTATCTCCCGGAATGCGTACGCATTGTAATACGGCAGTCCAGTCTTAGGGTCTTTATAGCGTGCCGGATGATTAGTGATGACACAACGAGGAGCTGGCGTCGGTTCTATATATCTTTAGTGTCCGAATCCGAGGAATGATACGATAGAGAACAACTTACTGCTCAGCTTAGCCATATCCTTACCGAACAGAATCTGATTCTGCACGGCTTTTTCCTTCACGGCGTTCTCGTTGAAGTTCTGCAAGATGATGCAATTTCGCGTGGCTTTACCATTAGCAGGAGGCGATGGTGGTGGCGGTGGAGGGGCTTCTTTAGGTTGGTGTCTCTGGGCGTTGGCCTTAGAAGACCTGCTGGTGCTAAGAGGAGTTTTAGAGGTATATCGAGCCGCTGGAGTAGACTTCTGCGCTGGTGTTGGCGTAGATATTTGAGCAGGTGTAGGGGGGGGTAGTGAGGAGGTAGGTATAGAAGAAGTAGGTGTAGGTTTAGGCGCAGGGGTCGGACCAGCTTGTGTTAATGGCTGGATAGGCTGAGTTGGGGCCGACATAGGAGGAGGACAAGCTCCCGTCTGAGGCATAGAAAGAGGAGATTGCCTTTGGGCCGTATTAGGGGGTGCCAGGACGGTTGAAGGGTTGGTAGTATTAGGGGTAGAATGATAACCTATCATTGGCATAGAAAGGCCACCTTGAGTAATTCCTGCTGGTGGAGCTAAGAAACTGTTGGGAGGAGGTTTCAATTCCGGTGGTTTCATTAGTTGTGACGGCTGGGGAGGCGCAAATACGCTGGTAGTATAAATGCCTGTTACTGGAGGTCGCATATCTGGTGCTTTCATCTCTGGAATTTTGGCTTCCGAGGGTTTTGGCTCCTGAGGTCGAGGTAGCGGTTCACTTGAGCTCGCTGCCGGAGGCGGAGGTATTGTATCCTTTGGAGATTGATCTGGCGCAACTGGAGGCGCATTAGGAATGGTAACTGGTGTTGCCTGAGTTGGCGCAGTTGTAGGGTCCGGTGCAGGTAATGATTTTTCGCCATCTGTGGTAGGCTCTTTAGAGACGGTGGGACTTATTGTAGTTGAATCTTTAGCCTCGCTCTCTTTTGCTTTTGAGACTTCAGTTGAGGTTGGTCCTGGCTCTTTATTTTCTGCTTTATCTGTGTTGGCTGGCCCAGACTCTCTAGGTTTGTCAGGATCCTCCGTATTTGAAGGATCCGTAGGTATTTCGTGGCCAGCGAGAGAGGTTCGTTTCTTTTTAGCCGGCTTTTCCTCGATGGTGACGATCTTGCCAACATGTTTCAACTTGCCGTCAACCCATTCACCAACTCCGCTCCAGAAAGTTACCACCGGACCATCAAGGGTTCGGTTGTTCAAAGCCGCCAATTTAGCTCTTCGTTCTTCTTCCCGCTGCTTCTCGGCCTCTTCCCAGCGATTTAAGCTTTTCGAATTCTTCTTCTCCACGATAGCAGCTTCGGCAAGCCTCTGAGCCTGTGTCATGGGTGGTTTCTTCAGGGCTTCCATCCTCTTGGCTTTCTTCTCCATAGCCTCAACCTGCTTGAGACGCTTGACTTCGCGTTCGATCATTTGCTGATGTAGCTGCTCCTTGCTGAGCATCGTGGTCTCTCGTTTGGAAGCTCTCGTGGGCATATCGGCAGGCGAAGGTAGCCAACTTATCCTTTCGGACTTTTTCTTGGGTCTTGGCTTCGGTTCGGGCGCCGTCGAACTTCCTGAAGGCGTGGGCGCAATCTTGACTTTCTTGCGAAACTTGATGGGAATCGCTTCTTGGGCTTTTCGCTTTCGTGCGGCTTGTTTGCTCTCCCGTGCACGCTTTTCCAGCTCCTTCTCCCCCTCTAGTTCGTCACCGTTCTCTTGCGCATCTTCTTCGTCCGATGAGGAGTCCATCTGCACGTCAGAGCCGGCATCTTCGACATCGGTGAAACCTGCGTCATCTTCATCCTCAGCAAAGAGGAGCTCGAGATCGTCGTCGGGTTCTTCGGCAGCGATCATAGACTTCATACGGTTTCCGGCCGTAGATCGTTTCTCTCGGCCCGTTGCGAGCCATTCCACTCGTAGAGATTCGCCCTCGTTGTCGGAGCCGCCATCTTCACTGCTCAGATCTGTTTTGTCGAGGTCTAAATCGTTGTCGCTCGTTTGCGCGCGTTGCTCATCCTCTTCGTCTGCCATCTCGAATAGTCCTAACAGTCCTAATAGTCGACAACCATGAAGCCAGGTTTAATATTCATGATAGATGATATCCCTTCGCATCCCATAATCAGCTACGCTGGGGTTTGTAGTTGTTCGCGTCTTTGCTTTTTTATTTTTTTTTACAAGGATCCGACTCTCACTTAATATTAGGACGTCATTAAAGTTTAACTAGCTAACCTTAGGTAAGTTAGGAAGTACAAGTCCTTTGCGTTGTGAGAGTTATGCAATATTCGGGTGTTGTAATTAACCCTTATACTTATCAAATATTATACTTAACTACATATCAAATATCAAAGGTACTTAAGTACGTACAATGAACCCTTAAGACTTCATCTCGTCATCCCCCTATCAATTTGTTTGCTATGTGGTCCGACTATTCAGCTCTACATATTTACAGATAGTTCCTCTATTATTATAATATCGGCTATCCATATGATATACTTGTCACTTAGCTCTTGAGGTAGATTGTCAACATTTTCTTGCCATCGCCGACAGTTATGAATTTAAGAGCAACGTCGATCGTAGTCATAATTAAAAGAGTCTTCTTCGAACACGTCGAGGAGAGCCATTACTATACCCATCGCCCCGTTGCCAATTGCGTGTTGGCGTAGCGATCGGCGTCGATGGCGACATAACCTGAAAAGTATCACCTTGTGCGATACCGATGACTGCTTCGGTCCCGATGGAGTTGGTGCTAGTGAACCAATCTCGAGGAGCCATGATATCCAGGGAGCCGATCGGATCCTTGAGTACTATAGGTGTATTATCAGCACTTGATATATCTATAAGTTCACACATCACATGGCGACCTACCGAATGTTTTCGTTCCATTATCTGCTGGGTTTCTCTGAGGGGTCTTAGAGGTGCTAAAAGAACGTCAGCAACGAGTCTTAGATAACATCAAGATATAGAGATTCGCTGACATTGTAGTAGTCGAGAGTAGACTATTCACTTCCTCTATGGCAGACGGCTTATTGGAGTGTATGAGGAATGAGCTAGGGTCCGAACGGTTCGACAGTATCATAAAGTACTGTTCTCCTTTCTTCACTTGCAACTCACAGGACCCAGATCTGAATGAAGTTGTCATCACTATACAAGTGTCAATCAGACCCTGCGCATGGTTGGATCGGTTGAAACACGCCATCCCCGAGTGGACTACCAGAACATGTCAGTTGTTATTTCCACCATAGGTAAGTTTACTTCATAGCTATACCTTTTCTTGCCGTAAGGCAGTCTTTGAGACGTGAACAGGTTGACTCCAGGTGGAAATGAATATTGATCGAAGTTTCTGGCAGCCACCCAGTACCAGGATTCCACTTGACCACGAGTGTGTCTGAGTCCTCATTGCGTCTCACCTTATACCGCAAATCCTGCTTGATTTGGGTGCACTCCAGAATTCTCTGGTCACCTTGGCTGATCGCTTGCTTTCGATACCAATACCGAGAACGATTTCCTTCGTGGAACACGTGCGTCGGGACTTGAGTAACTGCATCGGCAAAGAGGCGCTTGGCAGTATTAAACAAAAGAGACGACTCTAGGATTCTGCTGGAAATTCCCAGCTCATCTCTCGCCCCCTTGATCGTCAACCACTTCTCGTGTACCTTGAATAAACCCTGCGAGGGTGAGTAGAAGGAGTCTAGCCCCACGCTGCCCGCGTTGACGAATACCACCGATATATCAGCGGTCTGGGGGCATGAGTCGAGGCTAGCTCGAATCAGTCGATGGACGGACTGGGCGAAACCCGTATCCGGAATAGCAGTAGGTTTAGCTGCTAGGAATTGTTTCTTTTCCTCTTCTTCTGCTGTCCTGAATCCGCATTCCTTTAGAATAGTCCAGTACGACTCTTTTATCTCTAAAGCCTCGCGGCCCAAACCTTGGACAATCTGGTCAAACCGCGTGTTCTAGATAATGTGAGCAAGTAGGCCTTGTGGATTGAATATTGGTACATACCTGGCTTCTCTCTTTAGCAGAATAGAGCCACTTGTCCTTGAACTCCCGAAGAAGGAATTTCTTAATGTAATCTCTTATATCTGAGAAGATAAAATGCTCCGCCTGCGAGACATCTGCATATTCTGGCTTCTCGGAGTTGAGGAGTTCATGGAACTTCGCGACCATGTTGTCTTGGAGACGGAAGGCCCGGTTCCAAATGCGTAGAATAGCCGTCAATTCGTCGTCGGCGTGGGTTAGGAACTCTCTCTCGCGGTTCGCGACTCCATCTGCAAAATTGTATCCATACTGCAGCTTCTTCCCAGTAATGCTAGCGGATCTACCGTTCTTTGACTCTTTCAGCAATAGGCCCTTTAGATATACACTTCCGCTAAATCGAGAGTCTAGAATTAAGTCACCCCTTTCCGTCCTCACAATCTTGTCGTCATTAACACTCTGTAGGAAAAGTGCTGATTTGGTCCAATTCCTGAACTGTTCTTTTGTGACTTCGTTCCTCCTTGTTGAGATCCCGTTCTCGTCTCGGCCAGTACCATTACCGCCAATGAAAAACTGGACATCTTCGCTGGGTGAAGTTTCAATAGGTACTAGACTGTTCTTCACGTCGCTCGTTGCTTGACTATGAGCCTTCTCGATTGCGGTAGGTGTCATCCTAGTAAGGCTAGCAACAAGTCTTCGCTGATTGGTAAAGTTGAAGGTCCATGAAAACCCTCCAGAGCGACATCTGACCGCATGGTTCTGAGGCCTTCGTAGTAGAACTAGGAGAGCAACTTTGAGACCTTCTCCGTGGGCCCCCGCTTGGTTCTTGACATTCTGCTTACTCGTTCCTCCCATATCAAGGTGCCAGGGCTGGAGGGTAGCTTGTCTGTTCGTGACCTCCACGGTGCCGAATCCATTTTGCTTAAACCACCTAATATATCCCAAGCATTCCGGTATTTTAGTTTGTCCCGGACAAGTATGCTTAGCGCCGGCAGCTTTGAATACGATTCCATTATTGCCCTCCGTGCATGTGACACGAAAGCTGTCCTCAGCTATATCGAAGGACTTGATGATCCCATCTCTCCTATACAGCAGTTAGCTCGACATTGTGAAGCTAGAGACACGAACAATACATCAACTCACCAATTCTGTACGAGCTCGCGGAATGCCTCCACAGGACCCCAGTGGGAAGCATAATTGGAGACAATGGGGAAATTTATGGTCATTCGCTGGTTGATGGATTCAAGTGTGACCTTGTTTTCCAGGGTATAAGACTCGTCATCATCTGAGAGTCTCCAGTCCTCCAAGGGGGTATGCGGTGTTTGCGACTGAGGTGCCATGCCGTGATCTTGCCTGAGGACTAACAGTTAGAGTAATAGGCTCGATATTATTATGAAGGGAACTTATTCCTAGATGTTGATAGTTATAGGCCTCTACGATGGATTGGTTCAGTGATAAGAATGATTGAAGTATGCACAAATAAATAAGTAGTGAGTAGCAAATCAATGAAGCTAAAAGCCAAGTAAGTTAGGATAGACAACAGGATGTCTGAAACTCTGCTGTTTATATTTCCTCACCTCTGGGTCCATAAGGTAATACAAGTAACCTTTGAAGACATCTAAACAAACGGGTATCCCCAACTACACTCATCCACACAAAGAACCTACATGGATACGGTGTTTCCTAGGATACTAGTATCTTCCTGCCTATGCTCACCATTTTTCTTCGTATCTATAGACGCGTTTGACAGACTTCTATATTTACGATTTTGTAACGCTGTGTCAGTGCCAACACGCAATCGTAGTCCCAGCAATCAAGTTCCCCGGGTAGTTTGTAGGAACGCCCCGACAGAGTAGCTGGATTGATAAATGTCATAGGCCAAATTACATTGTTATACAATACAACTTGCACGTATACTATAGGGAAGGCAGTTTCTGGATAGAAATGTAAGCAGATATCAACCGTACAGAAGAAGATTAATCTAGTAAATGCAGGCAACATGAGTCCCGGTTATAAAGGGGTCGCTATACAGCTCTATGCTTCGCAACATAATCACGAAGACGAATACCTAAGTCTAACTAACACCTCCTAGATCCCAAACTAGATGAGCATATTTCTAGCAGGTTATCAGCTTATTGTCCAACAAGGCTAAATGAGTGACGCCATAAAAAAGAGCCCCTATCCCCTGACTCGTCACATCGTAAGAGTCGTATACTAGGGTGGTTAATCATCTAAGCTTAGGTACCTACGTAGCATAGCCGACAATAATTCCAACAGTCCAAGGCAGCTAAGGCTAATAATCCGGCAATAAACAAGGCCTTCGTAAGCCGAGGAGCAAACATTCCATCACGAACTTCTCCGTATCCTACGTATGTAAAAACAGAGAGCCAGAAACCCGTCACCTCCGCCCGCCAAATCCTCAACGCGACGATCCCGGAAGAAAGTCGACACGGGGATCTACACGCAGTCTCGGCCTCCGCCTCCGCCCACAGCAAAAGCGGCATCACCCTCTCGGCACCCTCGGCAAATTCGGAATTTACCTTACGTACTAAGGCGGGCATGCGGCGGACTCTTCTCGACTCACCTTCGTCATGGAGGCGAATTTCCTAAAGGTATGGAATGGGTAAAAAGATAAAAAATAAAAATAAAATAAGGCCGAAAAGCGGACCGCAGAATAGAATCGTCGATTGATGACTATTGCATATGTATGTCGTAGACGAATAGACCAACCGTAGAAAAAACAAAGAGACAAATCCAAGCTGCTGGAGACGACCACGTGGAGACTGCTGAGCCTCTTGTATTACGTGTCTGGGTCGGGGGGGTGTGTATAATGTATGTATCATACATATTATCATACATATTATCATACATATTACCATACATATCATACCTAGTACACCACCTAACATACCATAGTCCGATAGTCCTAGACCGGTTTTATTTTTATCCACCCCTTCCGGCTCTCGGGAAACTTTCGCTTGACGACTACATGTAGTATTGTGCACTGTAAGCTCCACTAGCGTTGGATCACGACAAAGCTTACAATATGATGCACTGTATTGTAGACATTTTATAATTGATTGCGCAATTACAACCCTATCTTAGTGTGGTCCAGCTGTCCGAGGACTAGCATGAATTACCACTGCCTTCTTAACCTTCGTATCTAACCCTAGATCCTCGTTCTACTCATTGTCTAACCCCTAAATTCGCAAGAAATAAACTGGTATATACCGGATCCGGAAAATGCCATCATGCTAATAATGCCAATCATATGCAAAACAAAGTATTGCACGCCCTAACTGCATCCCCGGCTAAGCTATTGTTCCAGATACAAGATGCAAAGCTAGGTACGTCAGGGGTAAAAATGTGGAGATGTCCTTGACAAATACGCCAGTCCTGCCCCGATGCCGCCAATTTTTTTATGCTGCCGTTCCTACTCTGTATGCAAAACTTGTACCAGTATGGTAGGTGCATCTGGTACCCCAAAGATTACTATGAACATATGAAAAAATAATTAAAAAGGGAGGAATCGCCGACATGGACTGCTATGTATATCCGAGGGCGTGGGGCCCCACAAAAGCCGGCACGCCCGGCAGCTTCGGAAGTCTGGGGGCATCGAAATCGGACACGGATCTCCCCGTTAGCCCCAGATACCAATTTTCTTGGTAACGCTAGAGTATATTATCTTGTAAATTCCCCATGTTTGAAGTTGTCTTTTGCCGCTTTTCCCCATCGTAATAGGGCCCTATAATAGAAATCCTAATCGGGAGATCCGGATGTACTGATGTGACCATTGCGTTGTTGGTTGCAAGTGCAATGACAAGGTGTAATATCGAGGCCGTGGGGGGACTGTTATCTCCTAGCCCAGATTTATGTATCTGGGAACCACCCCGCATTCTGTCGATGTAACCAGGCCGAAGGTCTCGACGTAACTATAGTCGACTCCCCACGCCAATGCATTGAGAGCTGACCTGCTGAGCGTGACAAAACTGGGCAATGTGTATAATAAAAACTCTCCGAAGCTCACGTCAGCACTATGGCGGGCCAGAGCTCATTTTTAGACCACACGCTCAGCGGCCAACTATCGGTGTAACTAACTCGATACTCTTAGGTCTCGAGTAGGCACCCGGCTTTCTGGAGGGTAATGGTCGGTCCGTCATCCCACTTTGGGGATATCCATAGCCCGTAACTGCATAACCGTTATCGTAAGTTGACGAGAAAAAGCTATTGGCCGATTTCGTGTACGACGTACTGGGGCTGGTGACAGCACTGCGCGTAAACGGCCAAACTGCATTGCTTGATATCGGCGAAGTCGGGCTCACCGGCCGTATGCTTAATGACCTCAGGGCTGAGACGGCATTGGTGTATTGACCAGTTGTTGGTGTTGTGGGAGGCGACCAACGAGACGGTGAGGCACGCGGGATGATGTCTCGGGGTTCCGAGTTTCCAACCGAATAATACGGTAAAGTAGCCCCGAAGCTTTCATGTCCCCTGGACGAATGGCGCGATGACGATGCTCTTACGCTTGCATTTTGGTCACGCTCGCGACACCTGGTCTAGACGTCAGTAATGCGGATTATCTATTGGTTAGGTGAAATGTGGCTTACGCCTCCGAGCAGTATAAAAACTTCTCATCTTGTGGGGTGAATTGCTTTTCGCAGGTCATGCTGTATTCGTGGCCAGTTAGTAAGTTATCTACAAAATAGTTTCGTGGGATGCAGGAACAGTCGGGTTGGTAACACAAGACACCCCCAGTGTTGATCACCCGCATGGCTTGATTGAGTGGTGACGCAGCCCACGCAGATTGCCTGAAGTGGCATGAGCGTCGCGCTGGAGAAGAGAAAGGGATCCCGATCTCACCCTTCCCAGGCGCAAAATGACGTTAGGTAGGACATCAAAGATACAACCTGGACGGCGCGCCTCGCCGCAGAATCGAGATCAAAGGGGATGTTGCAAGGCTAAGCCGTGTAAATAGAGCAAAAAATACGTACCAGAATTGAGGAAAGCTCTCTCGCTCATCCTCGAACCAGCGTTCCTCTTCCCATTCCTTTTCGCGATCCTTTGGGTTCTTGCCCAGTTTGAGCACCGTTTGTGGTGTTGATTTCCTGGTCAACATCTGTGGCCGTCTGGGTTTTGCATCCGCAGTTGTGACCGCCTTGCGGACGTCAGTCGTTGAACTATTGGTCGAGGCATGGCCAGATTTGCGACGGCTGTGATGCATTGGAACTATGTAATTGGCCCTGGCGATAAGCCTAGGCCAGAACCTACTGTTATAAAGAGTAGTAGGTGAGTGCCTGTTAGACGGCTAGCTTAATAGGGGGAGCCCTGTCCGATATATTGCAGAGAGGGGTTGAAGGCGGGGAGATCTCGCGATAATTTTGGCGGGTTCTAAAATCGTATAAAAGCTGTCTTGCAAATTCCAGACTGTTGCGCTGTTAACAAGCGGAATAGATAAAGCGAATTGACGTGCTTTAGCTTCTCGTTGTTCTTGGAGCCGAATTGATAAGGAGCAGGACCCAAGACGGTTAAGGTACTAATACTATCTCCTAAGACCGGGATGCCAAGTTTGGCACGAAAGAACCAAGGGAGCAGCAGACAAAACAGGATTCAATGATATATTGTGTGCTCAGTGCTCAGCTTCAAATGTAGCAGAATACGAAATGACGATATTAACAAGCGAATTGTGGTTCGGTAACGTCGAGATCGCCTTTCCAATTGCTCCTCTGCGCTTTTGGTCCAAAAGTGATGATAATAGCTTCACCTGTGACGTGTGGACGAAGAAAGCTCGTAATGGTGGTAGTGGTACGTTGGAGGTAGTAGAAGTCTTGGTGGTGTAACATGTACTGGGATTGTAAAGTCGCTGGGGGCGTCTATTTGTGTAAGTCGGACTTTTCGGATATGTCTTGGGACACAGAGAAACAATCGTTCGTAGTGTAGGTAACGATTGAATGTTCAAGCAGATTTATAAGATGAACGTCTACTAGGCAAGTTTCATGAAGATATCATGCAATATAAAATTCGAAGATTCGAAGATTCGAAGATGCTAGGCTAGGAAGAGACACAGCTGAATTGGTCGACAATAAATAAATCTTCGAGCTTGGAAATTTTTTGAAGATTGAGAAGGAGACAAGAGGCGGGATGTAGTGGATGATATATTCTAGCACCCTTGGAAATGTTTCGTACGATACCTTTTTTTTTGTACTCCTTGGCCTGGCTGACACTGTACATAGCTGTAACATAATTTTGGCAGGTAAGGTAAGGTACCGCATGTATCTGCTAGGGTTATGTTTTTGTCTGGATGACTTTTTATGTATGTAGTTTATGTAGTTTATGTAGGAAGGTACCTTGGGACCTGGGCTTGTCTGGGAGGTACAGATGATACAGATGTGTGTGCACAATACCTAAGTAATCAACCAACGATGACTCTTTCTCTATTCGCCCTTCCCCTTTTAACTTTGCAAGTGCTTGCGTGCGTGCTTTCATTGGCTGACAACTGCTCAGAATGCCGAAAGCGGAGATGCGACCCAAGACTGGGGGGCTTGAGCCAATTGCGTGTGACTACTACATTGTCTTGACTATCACGACAGAGCTTCTATTAGCGCCTAGCCCTTTTGGATTCTTAAGTTGGGACAGGTGAACGAAGACTCATTGAATATGGGGACAGGAGAAAACGAGTGAGAAAATTTTTTATTCTCCCCTTGCAAGTTGAGTTGACTACCTAACCTAGGTATTTACGATTAACTCTGCCTTACCGAAACGCACTACCAACACTGGCCATTTGCTAGTATTAATGCGTTTGACAGGCTAAATTTTTTTTAAGTAACGCCATTAGTTACCCGAGCAGTCCAAGCCTACATACATGTATGTTATGTATCTAGCATATGTACCTAGCATAGGTAGGTAGGTATATGGACATTAAATAACTGTATACATACATATATCTACATACGCATATAATATATTATGTACAGATGCTATACTCAGTTACTGTCTTTTTAGTAAGTCTTAACGCCATGGCAAAACAGCCAGCAACGTCGAACGAGATACTGGACATAATGGACATGCAATGGAACACCCACAACAGGGATGATGATGTAGCAGCATGGATCGCTTGGCGTTGTAAGAGTTATATGTAGGTATATACGTAGGTCTATAGTATAGGTATGCACCTTAATAAACCTTTTAGATTGATCAGAGAATCATGATCAGAATCATTCAGAAAGAGTTCATGGCAGGGGTTAAGATGGCTCGGGATTTCAATATGCACTCTGGTTGTACACAATTACTTACATACCTGTATAAATAATGCAAGAAACATAAGCTCCGCTGCGGTTCGCGGGACGAGGGATACTACCTACATAGTTACAATACCTACCTACACTATGGAAGGCACCCGTACATGCGGGACTAACCACTTAAAAACACTTGGACAATGTGGATGATCCTTATGCAACATCGCAAAGTTTCCCGACGGGATATTTGCGATACTTACGATATTTGCCAGACATCTTGTTGTTTCGATATTTGGACTACTAACTCCTTCTACTCTTTTTGCTGCCATGTGCAGTATACTGCTGCATGCACGGCAGGTTTTTTGTTGCAAACATTCGTTACGCCATCCAGGTTCCCATCCAGTTTGACGATTCGATTTTACATCATCTCTCCATCTCTCGATAACTCGGCGTAATTTGTCGCACAATTACTCATGAATATTGTACAATGCTTGTACAATGCGGTGAACAGAAACAAAAGGATACAGGGAGAAAGAATGACAAAAAAAACTTTATATGGATTCGGCGAAATTCATCCACCAGATGTCGCGATTAGGTGCTACGTAAGGTATGGGTATGGGTATGGATAAAGTAGTCAGTTCGTGGCCTACGCTATATGTAGGTTACAAATCCAAGGTATGCGGTACCTGGGTCCTCTATCCAAACATGGTTGCGGATCAGATAAAGGATTGGTCGGTATTCAATCAGGCACTGTGTCTACTATGTACCTAGGTAATCCTAATGTACGATCACGCACTACACGCATTTATTTTAATACTTTTATGATAGATGCAACTTGAGCCGAGTCTCGAATTGACATATCGAATTTGAACACATGTAGGTAAAAATAAAAATAAAAATACGTCAAGCTTTGATAGCTGTATGTTCGAATTAGTGATGACACTAACATAGAGAAGATCCAGATTTAGCACGAGGAAATGACGACTTTGTTTCAAGACCAGTTCACCTCATCCATCATCTCAAGCACGTTTTTCTAGATCTCTACTTGGAATTCAGTGGGTGGATTCGCACGTGTACTAGTTCGCCGATGCCCAGAGGCGCAAAATGCTCATGAAACCTGCTCTTTTTTCTAGGCCTGAGCCCAGTTAAACTTTACCCTGGCTGTCCTTAGGCCAACATCCGAAAGGATGCTTAGGTGTGGGCTGTTAGGTATTATATTATACCTCTAGACATGCGTTGTATCAGGTTAGTCCCACCGCCCGCGGCTTTCCCCCGTTAGGAGCTAACCTAGGTACATGTAAGTTTTGAGTACAATAACGTCCTACCGCCCACGAGGTAGCGCGAAGAGGTAACCTTAGGTAGAGAAGTAAGGGAGGTACCTATGGAGGTCACAGACTGGTGCAGTTAAACGGCAGCCACGGCAGCCACGGTAGGCACAATATAGTTTACTAGTCTACTATTGTACCTAACCTATGATAATGTCGTACCTGGTAATAACTTCCAATCCGGTCCTGTGTAAAAGCAGCTCGAACTTTCCAATCATATATGGAATTGTACATGGGAAATCGTACATGGCAAATCGTACATGGCAAACTTACCTAATGTCGACTTCCCGTGTTGCCGCCCGTAATTGACGTCTCCAGTTATCCGGGACTCTACCCTACATCCTTCTCCTCCTTTTACTCCATCACTTCGCCATTCCTACTACTCTGCCACTCTACCAGTTACTACCCAGACTCTACCCAGACAAGTTATATCGAAGATTTGGGATTATGACCTTTTCGATGCGCAATTCCCATCAACACCCCGCTTCGGACAAGTCGTCATCTATTATTCCTCATATCCTGCCGTTGCAGTGATATACTTGGGTTACAGCCCGTATGGCAAGTAATTATGTCTGAGGTTGTCCGACGTCGCTTTTTCGCCATTATGTCTTCCCCGGCATATCCCCAATGTGCTCCTATGCGCTCCCCAATGTCTTAATGCGCATGACTGCCGATCCAGCGCTGGAGATCTTCAAACCTCTGAGAACGCCTCGTCGTATCAATTGATTAGTTTCGACTTCGGTTATCTATAATGATAGCTGATCAATCTCGTTACCCCTCTTTGAGAAGCTCTCGAGCCCCCCTGGCGCACTGTCTAATTGTTCGCTTGGCCCCCCTCTTCTCTTCTTCTGTCTCATCAACTAAGGTCGTTGTGCTACATGCGACAGTGGCTCATTACCTGTTTCGTTCACAATTGCAGGTTTTCATTTCAATTTGTGTAACTCGTGGGGGAAGAGGGTTGCATGTCGTATTTGCAGTTTATCTGAAAGGCAAAAACGCTGTGTAGCCTTCCAGCCTGCGTGATGTATGCTTCGTCTATAGGTGACAAGGCAAAGGAGAGCATTCAACATTCATCATTCATCATTCATTGGAATGTAGGTAGGTATCATTGCTTGCCTTCTACACTATAGCTCCACCGACGGACATGGGCCGCGGCTTGCATGTACAATGTGTACATACATGCTACCTAACAATCCATGGTTACATCATCCGGCACGACAGCTTGCAAGGGAGAAAGCTACAGAAGAGATAGTCCCGACTCCTGGTTTGCGAGTGGCCTGGCAGTCTGGGTAGAGTTGCCGAGGACTGCTCTGATTCCTGCGACTCCTACGACTCGTCTCCTCACCATGGATTCATATGTTTTATATTGACCTCCAGTCGTCCGTCACCCGGATTACCCCTTTCGGAATTTACTGGATCTCAAATTCTGGTGAGGATCAATTTCCCCCACGTGGAGTGTCACAGCCGATAGGCTCCTGTGTTCAGGAACATATTACTCTGGCAAGTCCTGTTCAAGGTTCTGTCGAGTCTGTCGAGAGTGCGGTTGATGCGGAAAATCTAAACTGCTTCGAAGGTACGACGACGTCAGCTTCTTATTGGACTATTTGGACTTAATGCCCGGCTTTATTCCCACCAAGGTGCCTCAATTACAGACGTGTCAGTTCTGCTTTGGGTGTGTCGTACAACAGGAATGATCGCCAGGGCTGAGTCCAACCGACGGCCTTGAATGGGATAATGACCAAATACGTACGGTTACGAGTAACTGTAACTGTGTTTCTTGCCTGATAGTGCCACAATGATGATAGCACTTAGTGCTCCCAAAAAGGCAGAAACATGGATTTACCTATATTTCTGTGAACGGGCACGGGTTATCAGAACTCGGTCAGCTTCGGCCATCCAAGGCTTATAGTGGGGTCGAGCAAGCAATTTGAATCCGTTAACGGCAACCCAAAAAAATTTCTACCCATGCGAGAGATAACTAACCGCCAACCTATCGTTGTCGTCGCCGCCGCCGCACAGCCTCTCGCACCCTATTCCGAAAAAACGTACCAGGAAGAAGACCGCGATAAGAAAGTTTCTTCTGCAATAATATGCATCTCTATATTGGGCTTGCCCATGTCGCTCCTCTTGATTCTTCCAGATTTCTGCAGGTACCCTAGACGTGGACATCCATACACCACTACAGGCAGAAATGTCCATATCCTGTTGCGCTTGCGAACCAATCAACTCGAGCAACCAAATTTGCAAGCTTGGCTAGGCTACGATAGACCTATACATATGCGATCTGCTCTAGGAGTTAACCGGGAATCTGCTAGCATCGTTAGGTTATCTCTCGGGAAAGCTATCTTTCAGCTGTCAGATGTTAGGCCGAAACTAGATCAACTAGATCCATCTAACGAACAGAATAAGCAACGATGCAGCCGAAGTGGTCCATATCAGCGTGATCGGAGCCGATTACTGTTGGTATGCCCTTTACTTTGTTACACCAACAGGACTGATTAGTACTCTTGCACCGCAGAAATTTGCCTCGTGAACATCATGCTACGCTATAACATAAGCTCTAGGCATTCGCACGCGAGCTAATACTTGTCTAGGCTTTATTATTTGACCTCCTGTTACGACTGCTCAACGCCGCCGACCTGTGTAAGCGTGCATAGACCGGCTAGTGCTTAGAAAACTATCCGGGGTTTAAAAGTGATAAGCCTAGACAAGTGGTGCCATTAACCTGACCATATTCTTAAGTTTTCATCATTATTGCTTTACAAAATATATTAACAGTCTCGCCGGCTTGAGCCTCAAGCTTTTAGCGTAGTTCATTGGCGGGGAGAACGGAGTTTTTAATCTATATTCCAATCGGAAAATTCATTCGTGTTCTCCAGAGCCGATGGTCACTACGGGAATAGGATCAATCGCTTAGGTAACAAGATCCTAAGTATAGTATCTATGTTCAAGACTTCTCCAACAACATACATAAATTCCTAGGGTCTAGGGCCTTGGAATGACCTCATCTAAGACTTCTTTGACGATTGTACTGCTTCACAAGCGCGCGCATGTAATGCGAATCGTCCGGTTGCATACAGCGATTGTGTAAGTCTTACACGCCATAAGAAGTACGACTGACGAATTGGGTAACTCGGACATGACAGGACATGACAGGACATGACAGGACATGGCAAAATTGCGCAAGAATAGTGGCGAACACACTATGGTTGCAGAATAGCTTGATTACTATGTACGTGCATAGCTATTTGAGCCGGTATGCACCATGGCGATCTCCCCCTTGCGTTATAAGAGGTTGTATCGATCGTAGCCCCCATTGAAGAAAAGCGTCACGCGAGTTTTAAAGATCGGGTCGGACTGCAATTGAAACATCTCGACATGATACCTAAATATTGTACGAGATCTCGCCAATCCGTATATGACACAGACTCGAAGAGGGCACAGTGTGGCATACCTATTACGTACAAACAGCATTTTCTCTTTCGTATTTGAAACTCGAATATCTGTAGTCCACGTAAGAATGGGTCATGGAAGGGAGTAGATGGTTTCTGCTCACCGCCATAAGGGGATGAAATTCTCGAATATCGTGAATACTCGGAACTAGGTAACAGGGTTGATAGAGTTGATACATCTATCTACACATGGAGCCACAATTAATCTCTCCCCAAAACAACTAACCTACATGTATTACATGTATTAACCTAATTACTTACTACATATGTTATATGTAGAGACGATATCCACCCCGTGAACCACACAGACAAAACAGCTTGCGGGGCACCACGCTCGGCCTCGTGCTACGGGCATGGCATTGCGCAACCTCGTCTACATTATCTCAGATCTCGCCGCAGGCTAACATCGAGCAGACCTTAAGGGTCTTGTCGAAGCTGTGCCCATTCTAGCATAGTATGACACTCATACACACTCATACATACTGCATAACCTCATGTCGAAACATGGGGAACTTCGGTAACCCCTCTTGTCTCTCCAACAATCGAAGACAGGGATATGCCTATGTATGTATTCCTTACCCAAGTACATACATACACATACATAGCTAGCTCGCCCATCGCGCCCCCCAACGTTCCCCCGGATTCCACCCCTAGTCCGATGGACGCCGGCATCCCGCACGGCTAACATGGGTAGCTCGGATCAGCCAAATGAGCTCTCGTCGGAACGTAGCTCGTCGAATAGCATAACAAAGTATACAGCATATATATAGATAACAATATGCGCCGCGGGGACGGCGATAGCTCCGTTCGCGACGCGGGTGTGTGGCTGCTCGTTGGGTCGATATAACGTGGTGATCTGGCGAGATAAATCGACGTCTGCGTAGTCAGATAGGCCAGAGTATATGTATGTACTGTACGGGCTGGGCGAAGTGTGTACACACATGCTCTGCTCTTCACCGCCCCCAACCCCTTTACTTGGCCCCAAGACGCATGGGTCGGGTAGTGGGATTGGCTTCGATGTTCACGGAACGAGGTCGAAGTAAGGTAAAAATAAAAAGGCACAGTATACATATGTAGATAGTTTCCAGGACGCTCTTAGGTTGCTATAAGGGATGCAAGCGTGGGGTAAACATGTGCTGGGATAATACATACGTCGCTCTATACGATGTACACATGCCACTACGACGAATAGGAGAGGCTAGCTCCCCCCCAGCTGTGCTCCCGGGACGTGCGGCAAGCTGGCCGAGAACTTGCACGCCGGCCGTCTCGGCACCGTAGTGGCGTCGAGCGGAACACTCTAGACTTTCTTGTGTTAATGCTAAGTATGATCTTGCATTATCACACGGGGCGGACTCTGCCGTGGAGTTTGCTTCTGGGGGATGAATACATAGGGAGAGGTGGGAAGGATGTAGGTGGGGAGATGTGTGTGTGTGGTGTCTTCGACGATGTCGGGGATGTTTGTGGTTGGGAATAGTACGGGGTTGAAGTTCGAATATTTGCTTTTGAATCTGCTGTGGCATTGGCCGTTAGATGGCTTAGATGATACGCCCCTTCACTGGCGCTTATTTGATACTCTTAAGTGTGTGATTTGGCTGTCTACTGGATGCTCAAGACCTGTACATACGCAGAATGATACCCTGGGTTTTATTGAAATTTGCTGGTTGGCATGCTATAAGAGAGATATCGCGAGTGGAACATCGAGCAGTAGTATTCAAGAGAGATGTTACCATTAATTTTTGTTACCATCGGTAGGTTGGTTATATCTGATCAAGTAAGCTTGTAAGCTGAAGATATCTTGATCAAAATATATTCATGTTGTTTGTCTACTCAAGTCACAATCACCCTTCTCGTCCCCTTTATAAATATTATCTTCCTAACTAGCAGGTTTTGGTATATCATCTTATATAGTGTAATAAGTAAATGTTTATACACGTCGTGACACACCTGGCTCACTTACCCATACCTCGTAACAAGCAGTCTTTATCTCTTAGTTATTAAGTTGTATTCGAAAGCTTGGGCTTTGGAATAAGCCAGTGTTCATCAGGGTTGGCTACTCAAATAGCGACGCTATGTTAGTGTTGTTAGGGGAAAGGGGCTGGATTAGTATGTGTCTCTCTTTATCTAGCAAACTTATTATTTTGGTGTGTTGCTTTATATCTTCGCGGAGCGACTATATCTACTCGTGATCTTGTAGCTATTAGAGTTCAGATGCTCTTTTGAATTCGATATCTACCTACTCTGCCGTACTTGTGTGCTGGCACAGGAGAGTAATTTTTACCAGCATCAACCCTAAAGCTTCTATTTAAGTTGCAAGGTGCGTTAATAAGGATTAGCACGTCGGCCTTAAAATGTGTTTAAACTGATCACTAGTAATAAGCCCGAAGACGACAAGCTTTGCCGAACCCTGCAAGGAGTGCCTTATATACTGAACATGGCATTTTCAATCGATATGCCAGCAGTGCCACGACGATCTATGGGCCCTTGTGCTAAGTTCTGCCAGCCTTAGAGCTAAGCTCTATCGGTATCCTCATCATCTGTCTGTCTGACTCTAGAGTCTGCATCATAGACTCTAATCTATATCTTCACCAAGGGATATGGCGGAGTTTAGCTCAGATAGGTACCGTTGCAATGCCAACATTGATTTCTCAATTGATGTCTCTCCAAAAATCTCCTCGATTGCCTCCCTGCTGGGTGGAGAGAATTGAACTTCGCTTGTGGGTTTGGGAGAAGAAAGTATTTCTATTGATTCTATAATGGTTTCTATGTCGAGCTGGCAATCGTCGGGGTACGATCCGACCACGCGCGTAAAGCTAGGAGCCTGTGCTAATTTTGTCAAGTGGTGGTTGGCCAACATGGCTTCGTGAATGGCCAAGGCGAAGATGTCGGCATTGGAGGTATCTTTGTCTTCGGGAGGTACAGGATGCATGTGCCAGAAATGCCACATTGTTCGGAACGCTCCTAGACGGGCAAGACAAGCAGCGTACGGTCCTTGATAGACACCCTGTGCAGTGCTGCTAGATATAAAGCCTAGCAATGACGGCTGTGGTGTTTCTTGTCCCTGTACCTGGCCTGTTAAAAGACTGTATATTGCTAATAGAGGATACGTAGGATATTTCTGGATATCAGATGGAGATGTTAACTTCTCTAAACTCCTTGTTTTCAGAGCGTTGAGAATACCAGCCACTAGCCAAACGTTGAAGTCAACACCACTGTCTTTAGCCATTCTTATATATCTCTGAGCCGCATCGAAGACACCACATTGTACCGAGGCTAGGATAGCTCCACACAAGAATAGGGGGGGAATCTCGGGCTTCTCTGGTTCCAGGAGGATTATTAAGTTGTTGAGAAACGTGAGCATCTGTTTCGGTGGTGTTTCCCCAGCCATGTCTACGCACGCTCTTCCGATAGCATTGGTGCTATTTGCAATGAGCCAACGACCTATGGGGGTTCGAATAGCACCCATGATAACCCTCTCGATTTGATCAAGGTCACAGCATCTCTTCACTGCCTTTCGGAACTCTATTACATCGTCCTGGGTTGGTTCTAGACGGTGGGATATTTTTTGCCGGTGAAGCATGTGCGCGATGGTCTTGGACGGGCTATTGAGTACGTAGTGTGGTATCCCATTTTGATCGAATATACTATTCTCATCGATCACATAATAATCAATGTAACTTGATCTTGTCACAGGCGGGTTGCGGAGTGCGACAGAAAGTATATCGTAATTGGTTATTCGCAAAGTATCGAACTTATTCGACGCCGTATCCGCGAATTGTAACTGATAATTCTTGGAGAGCCTCTTTAGCCTGGCGACGAACTTGTGGAGGGGTCCGATCGATCGCTCCATATGACGCCCGGGGACCAACGGTTCACCATCTTTCTTCTTGCTGAAGGGGCGGGCGTAAGGGCTATTCTCAGCATCGAGATCGAGGATCAATTTAGTTGCCTCGAATGGCTGAAATTTATGGTTTTTTTGTCTTTTAAGAAGAGCATCGCGTGTGGGCCACTTTGGGATAGATCTTTTTAATTGAGCTGGGGGTGGCATTTCGAGGGTGATGGCTAGATTTATAAGATGGTCACATTTTTAGTTTTTAGATAAGGTCGCTATCATAACATTCGTCGATGCTGTGCCATGTCGAGTATGAATCTTGGTGTCGCAAGACCATCTTTGAAGAGGGAGGAAAATGGCAACCTTGTCCTTGTTCGTCTCCAAGTCTTCCCCACATACATTTAGGCTTACCTACACTACCCCAGAATCTGGGGTAATTATCTAGGCTCTGAGGGGTAAAAAGCATAAGCTAACGAAACATTTAGCACGGTCCCTGACGCTAGGTAGGTACTTAGGTACAGGCTACATACAAGTTGAGGTACCCTTGACTTAGGTAATGGTAGAAGCGGCCCTTAGATAATCCGTAACAGTGTATCCACACCATTGCCAGCTGCATGATGCCAACTGCCAATTTAGTAGCATTACATTAACTAATCCGAATAACCATCAACAAATATTCAACCACTCTTCAAATTATACGTCTACATCGAAACCTTAGGTTTCACTGTTTTCATTAGCTATGCCTCCTGCGAAGAAGAGGAAGACGGCGAAGGCCGCGAAGGCCACTGCTAAAGTAAAAGACGCTCCGGCAGCAGAGGCAGTTGAACAGGCTGCACCAACCAACGAGGAGAATCCCGAAGAAGAACAACCAGAAAAGCCGAACAATTTGAAACCAGTGGAGAATAATGAAACAACATCACCAGCAACAACAGCAGCGGAAACTAGTTCGGCTGCAGGTGCTGCAGATGCTGCAGAGAAAGCAAGGGAGCGGATGGCACGTTTTCGCGCCTTACAAGCCCGCGCGAAAGTATCATCGGACCAGAACCTTGCGGAAACAACTAAGGAATCTCAGCGTCTAGCTACCGACCCATCCGCACTCATATCGCTGAATCGCCGCCGCGACATTGCTACACACAAACTACTGAAGGCCGAAACAGAGGAGGCGGGCGAGGACTTCGAGCGCAAGCGGGCGTGGGATTGGACGGCGGAGGAGAGCGAGCGTTGGGATAAGCGCATGAAGAAGAAGGCTGCCCACCGCGACAACAACGCTTTCCAGGACTACCGCCAGGAGAGCAACAAGGTTTACAAGCGACAGGTGCGCGACCTGGCCCCCGATCTCGAGCGCTACGAGAAAGACAAGATGGCTGCCATCGAGAAGGCTGCCGCGTCCGGCGGTCTCGAAATTATCGAGACCGAAGATGGCGAACTCATCGCTGTTGACAAAGACGGAAGCTTCTACTCTACCGCCGACTCGACCTCCTTTGCCGAGAACAAGCCCGACAAGGCGGCCATCGATAGATTGGTGGGCGACCTGCAGAAGGCTGAGGACGTCAGGTTGCGCAAGAGGCGCGAAAGAATGGCACAGAACGGTGACGACGGCGACGTCACGTATATCAACGAGAAGAATAAGCAGTTCAACCAGAAACTGGCTAGATTCTACAACAAGTACACGGCGGAGATTAGGGACAGCTTCGAGCGCGGGACTATGATTTGAAAAGACGATAGGTGGTTTTACTGTACTGGGGGCGTTCACACAAGCATCATCAGACGGGCCGTACTGGTACACGATTAGATTACACTGCAGGCATTCTTCGGCGGCGTTGGACAGCTATGATACAGTTTATAGGCGTGCATTAATACAACACATAGCTCAATCGATATTTCAGACCATGGTCTTCCTCCATGATTTGTTAGCCAGTTCCTCGATCTCGGCCAGTTCCACAGGCCCCTTAACCTTCTCGTCACCTAGGGCTTCGACGACGGCCTCGGCCACGATGTCTACTTTTAGCGGCTTGACGCCGGCGGCGCCCATAAACCCGCCCAGGACCCCGCGCGTGAACCCGTTGAAGGCGGCGCCTAGTCCCGTCATGGCTGCCATCCCGATAGTGATGGGTCGCGAGGTATCGTATAGGAACGGCGAGCGGATAAAAACACCCCGCATACGTGGGAACTCGCTCGCGATAGTACTCTCGGCCTCGCGCTTTGTCGTGATATACCGCGCGGGCAACACAGGGGCACCAGCGGCCGCCGAGATATACGCGAACACGGCGACGTTTTCACGCGCGGCCTCCTTAGCTAGCATGATGGCACTGTCGCGGTTCATGCTCTCGTACGTGAGCTGGTTTCGAGTTTCAGGCGGCCGGATATCCTCGTTACTGCCTTCCGGCACCTTCCGGTCTAGCGGGTTCCCGGGCTGCGGCGCGGCCGAGAATGCCTTCCGCAACCCCTCGATGGGGGATTCTTGGCCTTGCAACACGCCTTTATAGTCGGCTTCTAGCAGGATACCGAGGCTGTGGACGACAAAATCGGCACCCTTGAGCAGTGGCGCGTATGTTGCTGGGCGCATGATGTCGGCCCGTTCCCAGGTCACTTTCCGAGCCCATTGCGGTGGTTTGTCTGATGCTGTAACTGTGTCCCATCTCGGTTCTCCTGAACGACTGGAGGTTTATTAGCACGATAATACATAGTATTGGGAAATAACTGTGATGTATATAGTCTAGACACCTTACCTTACGGATGTCACGTCCCAACCCCTAGCAACGGCATATTTGCATATCCTAGATCCGACGAACCCATTCCCGCCGCACACTATGAGTTTCTTAGCCGACATGATGAGCGAACCGAGTTAGCTATAACCCTAGCTTGCAGATTGGATCGTAGATTATTCGAATTTCATGTAGTGAGTATTGACTTTTCATTTGAGGGGTCTTATGTGGAAAGTTCGGTTCTCATGCACTTAATTGGCCGTCAAAAGTATATCAATGCTATTTCTCAATCAACGACATCATCAGCTCATGTGTAAGGCTGAGGAACTTTACCGCTAGAAATTCCTGGAGGGATGTGAGCAGGGATGTGCGTATGAGTTTCGATTGGATCAACCCTGGATAGTCTTCAAAATAAATATGGGTCTTGAGTAAGGCTGAGAAAATTAGGTACTTAGAAATAAGGTGTACTATCGATAAGGTGTGATTACAATAATTCAATGGGCACTTATTTAATGGCTTAAATACCTACATATATATACAAGTGGTTAATTAAAGTAATTACCATTAGTTACCAGAAACCCAAAATCACTGCACTATATCCTCCAGTATTAATACGTCCGGTCTTCCCTATTGCGCAATATATCCTGGCCATCGGGCAGGGCTACGTCCTTACTGTCTTCTAAGCCAGACTCCGTCTCGACTTCTGCATCGAGCGGGTTTGCGACAGTGCTATCGCTCCGGCCGCCGCTACTAACGGTAATGAGAGACTGCGAAAGGGGGGGAGGCGACTTGCTGCCGAAGCTCCCAGACCGCCTACGCTTCCGACCGATACGACCGCTATCCTCGTCTGTACCAACAGCGCTACACAACGCGCTACCCCCGTCGTCGTCATCGTCGACATATTCAACTTGGTTATCCCCAATAGAATAATACCAACCAACACTCTTGCTAGCTCGTCCGCCATCTCCATTATCAACATATTCAATTTCATTATCCCCAATAGAATGATACCAACCGAGATGATCGTTAGCTTGGGATCTGGACCGTTTCTTAGAGGAAGAGCGGCTTGAATTTGGTTGGTTGAAATAGGGAAGCGTAGCGTGGGGAATTTGTGATATTAAGGTATAAGTACGGGCTTCGGCTCGAGGCTTATCCTCACCGGATACGGATAGCAAGATATTGAACGGACCACGCTTGCCATTAAGAAGCGTAACAGTTCTTGAATTGAAGATAGCCCAAGCAAAGCGGGCGAATAGGTACTCTCGCCTAATCCCGCGTAGTTCCTGACATTCGCGATTATGGTATAGCTCTTCTATTTCGAAATGACCGCCACGTTTCGTTTTGAACGCATGGCTAACCAAGTGATATGTATTCTCGTGTTTCTTAGGGATTAAAATGATCTCATTCTTATCCCATATCTTATGTACATCGGCGCGGAGGAGAATGGTATTCTTTAGATTATCGACTTCTTGGCCGGTAGCGTAGAACCCCATATAATTTAACCTAAACCACGGGTCTTCAGCATGGGGGATTATATGGGCTTGTTCTAGTCCTATATGACTTTTGGTTATTCGACAGGTTATATCGCGGCTCATAGCGGAGGCCCGGGAATCATCATCTACGGACGAGATGTCGTCATCAAGCAAGGGGGATATATCAAGCCCTTGCCAAGGAGGAGGTATATCGCCGTGGGGGAATACCCAATGTTCGAAAGCAGGCGTAATCGGATATTGTACTATACAATTTATTGACTTAGTTAGAAATAAGAAAGGATAAGGTAGGGTACTTTACCACCGCGATCGGTAACGTGAAGAAAGTACGATAATTCAGTAAGAATGCCATTATCAGGACGGCTGATAGCTGGTTTATCGGGATCTCTATACAGTGACAAATAGGCGTAGCTAGGTGGCTTTCCATCAGCTTGCGCCTGGATTGTCCGGCCCTGTTGCATCTCACGAGGCCAAGGATTACCAGCTACAACACAGCAAGCATAAAGAACCAAATCGTACTCGATCCCTGGACCACGACGAAAGAACTGCAATAGCGAGCCATATCTGTTCTCGTAACCAGGGTGGTTGATGTAGACAGTAGCCTCCTCAAGGGTATAGTTAGTAGGACGAGTTGCAGGAGAGGTTAATCGGGCGCGAAGAGACATTGCAAGATATGTGGCAAGAAATGATCAATAACTAACAAAGGAAAGAGTACATAACTTAGGTAATGATGATGGGGTAGAAAGATGTTGTATGTATTGGGAAAGATTCTAATGATCCACTTTTCAATGGTGGAAATCTTATATATGCCCCTCTTGCTCATTGCTCCTTCCCACAGTAACTAAATGATATCAAAGTCCATACCTGCCTAAGGTAAGGTTCAACGCAGGTATGTACATATTGTACATAGCGTATTAGGTTAGCGCATCGGAATAATAGCGGACCAAGCTAACAATAGCCAATTAAAATTGAACATTAATCTCAAATAGTTACATCATACTCAAATCATTCAATTCCTAACCTAGTTAATCATTTAATTCATAGAACTTAGATTAATCCCCATCCCATTACCATATAGCTTCTACTTCTACTTCTACTAAACATCCGCTATCACCGTCAAACATGGCACCACCCGTGGGCAAGCGTGTCAAAGGCGTACAGATCTATCGACCATTCATCTACGGCACCACCGCGCGCCCCTTCAACGATACCGACAACCCGCGACCCGCCAGCGTTCCCGCCGATCATACGCACTCGTGGCAGGTGTTTGTAAAGGGCGTCGACGACACCGATATCTTCTACTGGCTGCGGCGCGTGCAGTTCAAGCTGCACGAGTCCATCCCGAACCACCTGCGCACCATCGACGCCGAGACCATCATGAAGGAGAATGAGGGCAAGCCTCCGTCTCAGCGCCAGAAATCCTTCGTCGTCAACGAGACGGGCTGGGGCGAGTTCGAAATTACCATCAGACTATACTACGACAGCCGCAGCAGCGAGAAGCCCCAGACTCTATATCACCATCTGAGATTGCACCCGTACGGCCGCACCGAGGCCGAAAAAGAAGTCATGCGTAACGGCGGCGAGGTCGTAGCCTGGGTGTACGAGGAGCAGCTCTTCAACGAGCCCTTCGAAGACTTCTACAAGATCCTAACGACCGGCGCGCGCGACAAGAACGCCTCCGCCGGCGGCAAGGGCGGCAAAGGCAAAGGCAAAAGCTCCCAGCAATCTAACGCCGGAGATAACGGCAGCGAGGTAAAAGAGCGCAGCGCCATGATCCCCCTGACTAACCGTCCGGGCCAACCCTTCAGCCGCGAAACCGAACAGCTCGAGATTAAGAGGCTCAAGGAGGCCGAGGACAAGGTCCACCAGATGGTGCTCGAGATGACCAAGTCGGTCAAGGCCAAGGAGGCCGAGCTCGCGGCCCTGAAGAAGGCGACTGCGGCGGCGGTCGCCTCCGGCGCGTAGGATGCGTCAGGGACTAGCGGCAGGCGAAATAGTAGAAGGAATGTTATAGCTGCGCGAGAGGACGATGACGAAGACGAGCGCCCGGGGACATGCCTTGTTCGGTTGAAGGTTCGTAAGAAGCACCTCAGGAAGCTCGCGAGCGGCCGCCGCGTCGCGCCGCACAGGGACGCGCCATCGTAGTCCTGGGCGCAGGGGATAATTCGAAGATGTTGTTAAGACAGACCAAAGCCCTGTGGTCTCACAAACGGCGCTTAGAGTCTAGGGATGGGAAGTCATGGGAGAAGAAAGAAAGAAAGAAAGAAAGGGAAACATTCCCGTACCGAGTATATTCGGCTCTACGCCACGCGTCTGCGTATTCAATACAGCTTCCCTTCACGCACACGTGTGGCATTGCTCAACTATAAGAGCTTGAGACGATGGTATCATCATCATCACTATACGACTGGCCAAGGGGTAGATGTGGCATGATGGGGGGGGGGGGATTCAACGAACATAAACTCAATGCATTCATCGTACTGGAAGGAGGCGTTGTCTCCTAAGCCAGACTAGATCCGGACTTGTGCATATCATATATTAGGTACACACTCCTGGGTATTGATCCTTACGTTAGATTAGGTCTACACAGGCAACACTCATGCGTTACCTCTTATGAAGACACGAAAATACCCGTAGCCACTTGTAGTTTAAACTTCAATCGCTCTCATAAATCACACGTAAAACCCAATTCTCTCTAAAACCCAGCTTGAAATTTCATCACGCGTAGACTTACTCTTAGACTGCCCCTTTCTTCACTACAACAAGCACCATAGTTCACCTTATGCAAAAACACCATCGAATTGCTCATAATATGGTCTTTATTGATTTCGGATTGGAGTATTTCCCTCAAGAGGACTCCAGCCTCGAGCGAGTCTCCACGACACAGCTAGCTAGCTCAGCCGTACCCGGGAGACCCCTTATGTACCAGCATGCTCTAACTCTACCGTACCCTAAATCCCCTGGGTCCCTATCCTTGACCTCCCTTTTCCCCAGTCCTTTCCTTCCATAGTGGCCTCTAGGGCGCAATCCGATCTTGACATAAGAGAGGCTTGCTAAAAGCAGTTTATTTGCTGTATCGAAAAACTCTTGTGTCTGACGAGTTTTTCTTTCGTCCGAGCTCCCAACGTTGTCTTCGACCGATAGACCAAAATAGTCAGTCTTCCCTTTCAAAACAAGTCGTAATCAATATCCCCATTTTTATAGACCCGTTCGCCCAAACGCCTCTGCTGCAAAAACACACTGCTCAATAAACATTAGACATTCGGATATCTCCACCACCAGGGCCTTCCCTGCCGTAATGCCTTGTCGTAACGCCATGTGCCGTATTTACAGTCTACTGTGCTTGTATAGACAAACGAAAAAAATCTTGGAAAGATTGAAATGATGGTGCTCTATGCGACAGCTTATTGTGTCGCTTGGTATGCGGGGGGCGGAGTGTCTTCCGCCTCCGCCCAAAAGTTCTCGTTTCGCTGCTTCTCGTCATATACGCGACGAGCAATCTCGCCTGCCATCTTCATGATCCAAGCCTGCTCTAGGATCACCGATGAGGAATCGGAACTCATCGGCCGACGTCGTTCTAGATTAAACGGGCTTCTGGAAGACGAAGCGAGAGCTTCTAAAATCCTTTCCTGGCGCCGGACTGGAGTACTACTCGCATTGTTCACTACTGACACATTCTCCGCCGACTCTACGGAAGCATCCACGGTGGCAGCTGGATCTTTGAACATATCCATATCCAGGGGCGGACGAGATGGCAATTCCTTCTCAGACCTGAATCGAATGTTACTTGAATACGGTTCTTCATCGGCTGGTTCATCCTCGGGATCTTCTGGTATTGAAGTCGGCAAGATGGGTTCCGAAAATGGACCAGCAACCGACGTAGTCTCCGATACAGACTCACTAGCTTCGGTGCTCGTCTCATCTCCAGCTCTACTGCGGCGCAAGTTAACTACACGAGTCTTCTTCTTGCGCGAGCTTCTTGAATGCCGACCAGCGCCAAGAGCCAGACCGGTGGTAGCCGAGTGAAGACTAGTTAAAGACGGCCGGGAGGGTATACTGCCTTGATCCACGCTGCTTGAATCGGTAAACGTGTAGGTTGTACTACTTCCCTGCACGGAATGCGTTCGCATTAGACTAGGCATCATTGGGTTCGGCGTTGAGTAACCGGTATCACTGCGGTCCATCGACCCTGCCCAAGCTCTGAACAATGCATCACGAATTCCAGGTGTGAAAAGCGATAATGTCCGATGGGAGTCGGTAAGAGCTGCTAATCTCAACAGATTCTTCTGAGAGAAGAGCGACTGCATCTCCGGACCACCGTCCATAGATATCGACGCAATCTCACTAGGATCAAGCACATGTCCATTGGAGTCGACTGCTTCCGCAGGTAGATTGGTAAAGGGGTCGATGACAGCTTCATCCTCGGCCTCTTCTTTCGGCACAATGTCTTCCCTCGGCAATTGATCAGGACACCAAAGCCGTAGAGAGAGTTTATGAATAATAGCTGGTAACTCATCCATCATTAAAGTTCGTAACTTTCCTTCAATGGTTCTCTGAAGGTAGTCTCGAACGAACTGGATTGAGTCAAAGGTCGAAGAGACCTTGAGTGATTCAAGAGGATCATTTCGGAAGACCAAGGTAAGACCTTTTTGCTTCGAAAAAACCAAAATAATGAAAGCGGATAGCTTAATCTCAGATAAAGTAATAGACAAAGGTATCGTCAGGCTTGATGCAGCTGCTAGTGGTTGCGGCGACGTGAAGGTCGGCTTAGCTGAGAGATACGTATTCAAGGGGTTTGCCTGTTGTAGTTAATGATATTAGCTAGGTTATCTTATGACGCACGAGCCCTAACTAAGGCTTGGTAATTGGGGAAGCTCAAGAAAAATCTCCGAAGGAAAAAAGCGCGAACCCTGGTACCCTAATTACAAAAGATTCATGCAGAAACTTCCAAGAGCTCCACAGACGCGAAAAATGCCTAAGCATCTTTGGTTCCGCGTATGCTTGAATAATGGAAAGGGGGCTGGAAAAGAGAAGCAGGTAGCTTAGCTGCGATAGTGGGTAACCTTTGTGTGATTTGGGATGAAAATGTTTGTGTAAAAATGGTTGTGCGACTTTAGGAATATTTGCTTTTATGAACGAAGCCATCGACGTAATAAGCTATAGGGCGAAAGCTTCGCAACGCCATGAAAGAAGCTTGGATATAAAATCGTAGTATAAAAAAGAAATCCAAGATAATCACAGTGGGACCCATCAACGACTTCGTTTATTTTTTTTGCCCAACCCCTCTTTCTCCGAGATAGCAGACGCAACAAGAGGAAAAAAAGAATATAGCACCTACTTGAACTCTTGTTCGTAATGTCAAGAAGGCGTCACCCGAGTAGCACATCTTGAAGATGCCGCGAAACCTATCCTCGGCCAAGTCCCCAATCTCTAGAATCTCCAGATCCGGCGGTACGGATCCGAGGTTGAACTCGGTGACGAGGATATCATCGACGATTATGGGGGGCTTCGGAGATTTATTGAGTGCGTCCGTGAGGAGCTCCTGAGCTCGCTTATAGAACTCGGCGTCGGCCGTGAGCGGCGACCAGTTGAAGTTGAAGGCCATGGCGAGTGAAGCATTTAATAGATTCGCATCGTAACATGTAGGTATGCAGAGCGGTCGGGTGGTTGATAGGTACAGGGGAGGAGAAACGAGCGGTGTTGGATTAGGATGGGACTAAAATACAATGCAAGTCGGTGAATCGGTCGTGGTGGCGGCCGGCCCGGGGGGGGGGGGTTACTATGTATGTAGTTGATCGGACCACAAAAAAAACAATAACGAGACAGTGGTTGATCGTGTGCGGTGAAGTAGGTAGGCGGTAGTAGGCGGCAGGGTAATAGATCGTATGATAGGATATGATAGGATAGTTTCGAGTGGATTAAGGATGGGATGAAGTGGATTTGGAAAGAGGGTCGTTGGAGCTTAGTTAGGTCTATGCGGATTGTAGTGTATGGCTGGCAGGGCTGGATCGATCAGATGAATTGGAAATAATTGGAAGATTTGTAGGGCATAGGCCGTAGGGGACTGGACTGGCAGGACTAGGGGATTTTTCCAAGGGATTCGTGCAGGAAGAATGACGCTATGCGCAATGCGCTGCAACCCGATGCAAGCTTTATGAACGATGAATGGAGAAGATGAGATAGCGCGAATAGATTTTTCCTTCTTTTCCTCCAGTTGTTCGTGCCTGACGGAGCTGGGCCCAGGTGCTGGTTGGTTCCCGAAGATAATAATACGGGTCCTGCGGAGAAGACGCGCTAGGTAGGTAGGTACCTAGGTATCTTAAAAGCGGTTTATGCTCGTCTGAACTAGCCAATCTCGGCAGTACATAATTCATCTGTGCATGTGCACAATATCCAGATGGTCTGTGTGCCTCCCGAGTGACGGTTACGACTGACACCGCCGATTTCATTAGCCGTACCGCCACCGCATACATAGTAGGTGCATAGGTAGTGTATGTACCTAGGTAGGTAGGTATGTATGTACCATAAAACTTACTTCTTAGGGCAAGGGTCCTAAGGGAACTGCCAACCTGTCCCTCGGGTCTAGAATTCGGGTCTAGAGTTGACGCCGGTTGATGTTTGACGGGCCAATTAGGACCTAACGGGCAACTAGCATCTTGTCTCGCCCGTTCTTCATCCACCCGGACTAGACCTAGTGGAAATATCTACCTAGGTAATTATCGGTGCTATAGTCTCGCCGCCGTCGGGCGTCCGAAGTCGCAAGGATACCCTATGTAAGGAGTGTATAGTAAGACAAGATCCAGCAATAATTTAAAACATCATTATCCCTTTTGACGTAAACGACGAATTGTGACTATACACGAGTTAGGTAACTAGAGATTATATGCAAGAGAAGCTTTATTATGCTATATCATATGTTATTATCATCCCTCGCTTGTTCGAACACCTTATTAATGTACGGCCGCATTCGAGCATAGAAACTGAACAATGCCTTGATGAAAAGGAGAAGAAAGAAAAGAAACATGCCCGCCAACTCACGGCCTTGCGACCAAACCATATCTATAATCGTGTGTAACGACAGCGTGCCACCCACCCAACCAGATGCTCCCCCGACCCCCCTTTTTAGCCCCTGTATGATTACTCGTAGTATTGATTATCATCTTCTCATAACCGTAAGACATTGCATAGAAGAAAATAAAATAAAAGAAAAAAACGTGACGTATAGGAAAACCCCCCCGAACGCAGCGTAACCACACTTTACTTCTGCAACTCTTTAACGCTTCAGCCTCGCGTGAAACGCCGGTGGGATTTCGAGGCCACGTTTAAGACAGTAATCAAGTCTTAGCACGCAAGCGGTTTCTATCGGTGGGCTCTCGCTGCCATCGTACCACCCACCTATGACGAGGTCGTCGTGTCGCTTCTGCCAGTACGACTGCTTCTGAAGCCAGTTTTTCTTGTCTACGTCGGCCAGCTTGATGATGACGGGTGCGTCCTCGTCGATCGGCATGCGGACGAAGCAGGAACAGTCCCGCAACGTCATAGATAAACCAAAATTCGCATCCGAAGGCCTGGTAAACAACGCATCTCCCGAATCGCCTTCTTCTTGCAAGTCCCTAAGGCGTTCAAGCACGCCACTCTCTCTAAGAGCTTTGGCCAGTCGAGCCCGGTCTCGCTCGCTCCACTTAGGTGCGAGCTGGTCGATGGTGCTCATGACCACGGCGTGGTTTTTGTGAAGTAGGCCAAGGGGACACACGGGTGTAGTTATCTTATGCCCTCGCTTTCTCAACTTGCCGTTGCGTAGAGCCTCCCTCGCACATGTTCGACAACGCGCTGCATTTTCGGGGGCCATCGGGGCTTGGGCCAGCCACTTTGGCTTAAACTCCAGAGCTATATAGTCTGGAGACGGGCCCATATCTTCCACGAGCATGGCATGCCCGGCTTGGATGATGCTCTGGTCACCCCTAATCCCTTTAGCTCGGAGAGCGTTATCACGCTTAAGGTTAAGAGCATCTGCTACAGCCTGGGGAATCTGAATAAGAATCTGGGGAACGATGTGCTGCCGTCCGACGTGAACGTCGACGAATTTCTCTTGAAAGTCCTGAAGGGTTTCGTAGTCGCACGGCGTGACATCGGGGGTGGCTTTGGGCACACGTAATAGGGTTCCCCGGAAGAACCCCGAGGGAATCGTTGGATCCTTTGGCTCTCTAATGCTGAAGACGGCATTGGCACGACCTTCAGCGAGGTGGGTGAATTCAGACAGGTGGAGAATATAGCTCAACTCATATAGCTCTTTGGGTGTGAGGGCTGGCCCGATGCGTTTGGCGCCTAATCCTGCGGGGAGGGGTTTGGAGAGTTCACTCCAAACGTCTTTTAGAGGCTTCATGATGAGGTTCTAGATCTTAAGCGGGTGCAGAACCTTGGGGGCAGTTTGAAAAGATCGAGTATGAGAAGAAGCTCATCTAGTAAATTTGTAGTAGTGAGAGATTGTAACAATGGCCAGACTGACTCTCTTTGTCCGAGGGAGCGGAAACTTTAGGTAAATATTAAACTCTTGAGTTGAGACGACAACAACCCCCAGCTGATAACACCTGTCTTTCCCTTATTAGGTAGCCGCGTATGTAGTTGATGGTTAGATAGAGCTAAACGAAGGACATATGGATGACAAAGAAACAGGATATTAATGACGACTAGATCAGAGAGACCGGGCAGGTACAATTATAGAAACTTATATGATCCAGGCCTTCCCAGTACATAGTAAAAAGAAGCGGAAGAAGAAACTAACCCAAAGACCCTCCCTTAAAAGTCGAACGGTATGTAGACGAACTCGGAAAGGGGAATGGAGAACTAGATCTGGAACTAGACTCCATTTTATGACGTTGACCTCAACTGCCGCTGGGGACCGCTGGGGACTTGAACAAACATAATAGGTCCATTTAGTTGCTCAGGTGCGGCTGCGGGCTGCCGAGCTGGAGCCATAGAGATGGAGGGCCATAAGTGCTCATAGTGCCATAGTGGCGCAGTCCTAGGGAAGATGATAGCTCTCCCTCCTTGAGCTAAGAGGGATACTAAAAGGATACTAAAAGATAAATTTAGTAGGGGATGCGGGCGGTTCGCAAAGCCGGTCGAATAGGAAAACAAGATTTGTTTGTATGGACAATGGGTTAATGGGCCAATGGGGCCTATACTATGTACTTCGTATGTAATGTAGCTTGCAGATACCTAGGTACATAGTAGGCGCAGATGGGCGCAGATAGGTGCAGACAATAGTTGCAAGGCAAGGTATGTTCCGTGTGACCGACATGATCGAGATTAAATTAAAGCCTGTAAATAGCAAGGTTTAATAGTCCAACGTTAGCAAGGTTCCAATACATACATACCTAACAAGGTTAAGGTACCCAGTACCAAACTAATGACAGATGGATCATCGCAAAGGATCATGCCGGCTCGTTTATTCGTTGATTTGCACATGCACGGCGATCTAATATCCACCCACTCGGTTATCTGCCTATAACGAACCTGGAAAAGGCATTCGTTACCTTAGGTATGTATGTACATGGCTGTCATGGTAAGCAAATAAGAACATTCATGATATCAATGATGCTAACGATACTAACGATACTAATAACTGAGGTAAGATCCATTGCACCATACATTATGCCCGAACATGTATAAAACGCCTGATATGATCCTTTCTCTATATCGTTTGAGGTGTTATCATTCTTGTTTAGCCACCGTCATATTCCGGCGGCAGTGAAGCTCAGCAGACTACCAAATGCCAACCCAGCCACAAGGGATAATCCCATGAACCCTCCAGAAGCCTCTCGTTCTCCTTCCTCAACCCACTCACCGGCTGCCATCATGCAATTTGATCCAAGCCAGCCGGTGGTGAAACCGAACGGGAACTGCACTAATAGGAGGTAAAATACATCACTATTAATAACAGCCCCTTTACCGTGCAGGTTGCATAGAGCATAAAGTGGAAGGAATAACAACCGCGCAATGCTCACTACGAATAACAACGCTGGCCGGTCTCGGAGTGGTAGGGAAAGCGAGCTGGCTCTCCCTCCAAGGTCGCCAAGATTCCAGAAGAAGAAGCCGAGTGGGATGAATGCAGCGGGTTGTAGTAATAGGCTCGCTTCGTCTGGCGGTGTCACAGATAAAATCTTAGGTGTGAAAACCGGGAAGAACATGGCTACGGCGAAGCACATGAAAACACCGCCCGCGAGCCAGTGGAGCTTTTTGAACAGCTTCGGCATGCTGACGACTCTCCGCGCTGCACGTTCTGCCGACTCGATGCTCGTCACCGACGTGGCCATGTGCTCCATCATCCGATTCTCGATGATACGGTTGTGACGGTTAACTAGCGGTATGAAAGCCGCGAGCGCTACGATTGATACGATTACCGCTGTAAGGAAATAGATAAATGCTGATTTCTCATTTCCCGGTGAAGTTTCTTCTCTCGTCCCGGACGTTGTATTTGCTGGTGGTGCGACAAGGACTGAAATGACCTGAACAAGCGAGGGGAGCACACCTGCTACGCCTTGCCCTGCCATGATCGCTTGCATGTATTCGGGTCTCCCAAAGCTGGCAGCAAACGCAAACGCGCCATTCTGTATCAGTCCTGCCGCGCATGCCGTGAGTGCTACCATTACCAATACGAATACAAGGTACGTCGAAGACGAGGTATCGAGAAATGTCGTAGTTGAGGCAGTTAAGAACCCAAATATAACGACGTTTATGTAAAGAGCCAGATTGATTCGGAATGGGTATGACGCCGTGGATTGGATATTGGTTAATACGACCATCGATCCTAAGTTTCCCAGTGTCGACACCGATATAATGGCCGATTGGAAGTTGTCGAGAATCCAATCATCGTCCTGAAAGCGAAGCTGAAAGTAGGGTGCTGCAGCGAGGAACATGTTCCTTTTCAGTTTATCTATTAGCTATTACATCTTCGTATAAGTCCTTAGAGGAAATGTTGCGTACCAGGCCCATAGCATCGCAACACCCAGCAATCCGAAGATGCTATACTCGACCCATGAGAAAGGGATGCCGTCACTCTCGGTGTGCTCAGGAGGCCCCTCGATGGATTGCGATTCATCGTTCAAAGGTTGATACTCCTGCTCATCCTCTCTCTTTCGGAATAATGTACGAAGCCGGTCCATGGCGGGTTAGACGTGGTATCGCTGTAATACGCGCGATTCCACTATGATTACACCTAAGGCTTCTAAAGCAAACAACCACAGCCGAAACGGAACGGGTTTAGGTAGTAAAGGTGCTACCTCAAAGATCGTATTTACACTTTACATTTCTGTTGGATACGTAATAATTAATGATGACCTCGCAAATGAGGTGCAACAACGAATTGGAGGTGAAATGGTAGAATAGGTCATATGGGGATGTCATGGGGGAAGCAGGGGAGCTAAGTTATTAAGGGCCCTGTCAGCAGAGGTATGACCCTTAGGTTACAAGCCACAAATGTAAGATCGCCGAGTGGCTCCCCCGCGCTGCCTAATATCAGGTACCGTGATACCTGGTACCTAATCTTATCTCAATTGCCAAATGCCGGATACCGACATTTGAAGTAGTATCTAGGTACGTACCTTAGGTACTTATCAGCATCTTCAATATTGACATACATCATTTACTAAGACAACCTAACATTGAATATCTGCATGTAATGCTGTCAAGACTTAAATACGAGCTACTCCACGGGTATATTGGATTATTGTCATGGCTTATGTCTGCATATGACAGCAAAGTAAGCTTTAAAAGAGGCTTAGAGGTTGAATCTAGTTCGTTGCTTTTCCATCTTAGCCTTCCATTCCCATTGCAAAGCGTCATCTCCTTCACTCCCAGCCCGGCCAATTCCCTTGTCGATGCGTCTAAGCTTAAGTGTTGCCCTCGGACCTAGCTCTTGAAGACCTATAAAGGTAAGAAATTAGCTACTAATAATGATGCAGTAAGCAGTTGTGGACTCACCTGTTCGAATATTTTCTACTCCCTTTAATTCCTTCCCGTCTGCGCCAACCACGCTTTTCTCTGTCGCTCGCTTATCTCGAAAGACGTACCTATGTCGACGCAAGAAGATATAATCACGCTGATTATGTAAGGTAACTACTTGACGACCTTGTAGCTCGGGGGTCTTGGGCCAAAGCGACTGGAAGAGCCTTGCAGTGAGAACACCTAAGGGTGTCTTGAAATTGTTGAGTAGTAGTTCCGGATAGTGGTTTGTCGGATTACCATGACCCGGTAGCTTCTTCCCTTCAACCCAGTTTGAGATACTGAAGTGAAATGTTGGTCCTGAGGGCAGATGGACAATATCCAGCCCGATTGGCTTCTTCAAGTCCTCCCTAAGAATCATGACAGAACTAAAACCCCTATTATCTGCGAATTTGCAGATCTCCCTCACACTATACTTATAACTATACTTATGCGCCGACCGCGGTATATATGTGCTATGCGGAAATAGGGTGCAGAGTAGTCTCGCTTGATCATGCAGAGTCGAGTTGAGAGTAGTGGTAACTAGGACTTTAGGCTGTGCAGGCCCATCGTCAGAGAAGAGCGATGGAAATTTAGCCACCAAAGATTCTGGTGTAAGATCGAGGTTTGTTGAAGTAGTCGAGGGAGCAAGACTATCATCCCGAATAACTTGCTTTGCGCGGGCCTTTGCTGCCGCTTCCTCGTCCGATTCCTCTTCATCGTCTGAACCTAACATACTGTCTTTGTCGTCATTATCGTCGTCCTTTTCAGAATCAGACGCCTCATCCAGCCCCGCAGCTAATCTTTCCTCAGTCTCTTCTTGTTGTAAGCGTCGCTTTTTTAGCAGCTGCTCCATGTCGACACTTGCGCCCAGCCCATCGTCGTCCACGTCGTCCCAGACTCGTTTCCGGTCAATGGTGGCTGGCTTATTACGCGCAACTCTCTCAGCCCTTAGCTCAGGTTCTTTATCCTCTTCTTTCTTCCTTCGAAACCGAGCCTCGCGCTTTTCCTTCTCACGGTCCCTCTTCTGCTTGACATATAGCGATTGGCGATGAAGCTTATTTCCTGTCTTCTTAGACAGCGAGGTAGATGATCGTTGTGGGCCCATCGTTCTTTCAGTCGGATCTATACCAGTTTATAAGGGGTCGGGGCAGAGCTGTCGAGTTCTTAGATGTTGATATCTACAGTCGGAATGTTTATTGGATGGGAATTGGAAGTTCACGAAGACTTCATAGAATCTAAAATTTTAGCGGGTCACGAATTAAATGGGTCTCTTATCTGCAAGCGTGCCCAGGCAGCCAGGCTAGGCTTTAACCGGGGTGGTTTTCATGGAGGGGCCGATGGAGGGGTAGAATTGTAGGTTTGATACATAGGTACCTACCTAGGTACTAACGAATGAAAATTATCGGCCACATTGTGACTCAATTTCAAGCTTTGTATGGAAGTCGCTTTAATTAGGACCTGCCATAGAGCTCCCGCTTAGAAACATTTGGAGTCACATATTTTCCTTCTATCAACTACATGATCCGGGCAGTTCGCGCGACTGGAATACCTGCGTCGAGTTTGGTCCCCGCAATTCCCTTTCGCTTTGCTTCTAAGTGGTCGTCGAGGACTCTTGGGATTATTACAAGGCCGTCTCTAAGTACTACAATTGGTGACATTTGTAGACCTTTAGTCGCAAACTATAACTTGAGAGGCTTCACCACCTCGAATATAAACCTATCTTCTTGCGGCACACAAATAAACAGTAAAGACGCAAATATGACGACGACTGCTACTACCCTCAAGGGGCAACCTTTGGATCGTCCCGCCCTGGACTCGATGCTTCGACGGCGAATGTTCTATACCCCTGCGTTTGAGATATATGGAGGTGTTGCTGGTCTCTACGATTATGGCCCACCTGGCTGTAGTCTCCAGGCAAACATCATTGATGTGTGGAGGAAGCATTTCGTGCTCGAGGAAGACATGCTGGAAGTTGACTGTTCAGTATTGACTCCGCATGAAGTTTTAAAGACAAGTGGCCACGTCGACAAGTTTGCCGACTGGATGTGCAAAGATCCGAAGAACGGCGAGATCATTCGAGCAGACCATTTCGTCGAGGAAATACTCGAAGGCCGACTAAAAGGAGATAAGGAGGCTCGTGGCCAGAAGGTCGAGGAGAAAGAAGAAGACCCTAAGAAGAAGAAGCGAAAGGCCAAGGGCGTGCAAGAGGCTGTCAAACTTGACGATGCTGTTGTTCAGGAATACGAGGAAGTATTGGCGAGGATTGACAACTACAATGGCGAAGAACTTGGCGAGTTGATCAAGAAATATGATCTCAGGAACCCATCTTCTGGTGTGCAACCCTCGCCGCCTGTTGCCTTCAACTTGATGTTTCAGACAGCCATTGGTCCTAGCAGCAATCTCCCCGGTTACCTGAGACCAGAAACCGCACAGGGACAGTTCTTGAACTTCTCTAAGCTGCTAGAATTCAATCAGGGCCAAGTGCCGTTTGCATCGGCGTCTATTGGCCGGTCATACCGAAACGAAATCTCGCCTCGAGCTGGATTACTTCGAGTGCGAGAATTCTTGATGGCAGAGATTGAGCATTTCGTGGATCCTGATGGCGGAAAGAAGCACCCACGCTTCCAGGAAGTCAAAGACATTGAACTAGTACTACTGAACCGCACAACTCAGCTCTCCGGTAAAACACACGTTGAAAAAATATCCATTGGTCAGGCAGTAAACGATGGCATCGTCGACAACGAGACTCTTGGATATTTTATGGCCCGAATTCACCTATTCCTTAAGAAGATTGGTGTTGATCAATCCAAGATTCGTTTTAGACAGCATATGGCGAATGAGATGGCTCACTACGCTGCGGACTGTTGGGATGCAGAGCTTCTCACTTCTTACGGATGGGTCGAATGTGTTGGGTGTGCGGATCGTAGTGCTTACGATCTGAGTGTTCATGCTAAGAGGACCGGTGCCCCCCTTATTGTTCGCGAACAACGGGCCGAGCCGCTGGTTATCGAGGAATGGGAAGTTGATCTGAACAAGAAGAAGTTTGGTCCCCATTTCAAGAAAGATGGCAAGACAGTGGAGGCCGCTATTTTGGCGACTACGCAGGACCAGCGAGAAGCACTAGCAAAGGACCTAAGCGAAAAGGGGAGCATTACTGTTGAAGTTCCCAGCGTTGGTGACGGAAAGGCTGAGATCCCGAAGGATCTTATCACTATCGAGCGACGCACACGAGTTGAACACGTTAGGGAATACACACCAAACGTCATCGAGCCCTCTTTTGGTATTGGCAGAATACTTTACTCTCTTATGGAGCACAACTTCTGGACTCGAGCCAGCGAGGGCGGTGATGAAGCACGTGGTGTATGTTCAATGCCCTTCCCATAGGATAATGGAGGTGCTAATTCTATCTAGGTCCTCTCGTTCCCGCCAACTGTAGCCCCAACGAAGGTGCTCATCGTTCCACTATCATCCAACGAGCAGTTTAGACCAATTTGCTATAAGCTGTCTCAACGCCTTAGGAAAATTGGAATCTCTAGCCGTATCGACGATTCTTCCGCGACAATCGGAAAGAGATACAGCCGTAACGATGAACTCGGCACGCCACTTGGCATTACGGTTGATTTCCAGACTGTCCAAGACAGCACGATCACGCTGCGAGATCGAGACTCGACTAAACAAGTTCGTGCAAATGAGGATAAGATCATCGCCGCGATACAGTCCGTAGTTGACGGGAGTAAGGAATGGAAAGACGTTGAGGCTGAGCTACCTATTTTTGAAGGGCAAGATGTCGAGGTCGCCACTCGTTAACGTGGTTCGTACCTAGTATTAGATACTTCGAAACGCTATTCATTGCAGAGGCGAAATAAGTAGGAGGCCTCAGTCACAAGCAAGGCTAGATAGACAGACCATGGACCTTAAAAGGTTTGTTACTGATTTTCGTTCTCAGATGTAGTTTCAACTATAGATCTTGGCCACGTGCGGGTTCCCGCCCGCTAACAGGGGTCAAGCAACAAAGAGTTTCTACCTGAGAATAATTCTACAAACTACTAGGTTACGATAGTGCTATTTTAGGGACCTACAATTGTCTCCTACTGTCCGATAACTTTAAGTATTATAGAATGAGAGTTATAGATCAACATATAGATCAACAGTCTCGAGAGGTTTTCGGCGACAATCAAGATGTCCTATTACGGGATGAGAAATTCTTGTGGTATTCTTAACAGGTAGCAAACCACGTAATACGTTAATCCGTAACCAATTACGCGCAGCGGCTAAAGCAAGGGGTGGTTCGACGGCATGCCAAGCCCTAGCATTTCTGCGACAGATCCGCATACTGGCGAAACCAATGCAAGAAGGGTACCTAAGTGTCTCTGCTTCTCAATATCTCAATACCGCAGCGAGATTCTGGAAGTTCGAAACCGCTGATTCGCCGCAGTAGACTCCCAAGCGCGGTTACGATCGCCGAGAATCAGCTGAGGTTCGTTGTTTTGGCGGCACGCTTCTGGAGAAAGACCGCAGCTAGGCTGTGAGTGAAACTGTCGTACACACAGCCCGTTGACAAAACTGGGTTGGGTAAGACGCATAAGGAGGTGCTTCGTGGAGTAATGTTCTTTTTGGGGGCCAGTGGATGGATGAGGAATTGTTATTATTGTCATCCCGGGAAGGAAGAGAAGGAGAAAAAAAAAACGTTTGTTCTAATTTCAGCGTTCCCGGCTTGTTGGTCGTTTGCGGGAACCCTTGCGCGCTGGAGTTGCGTTCCTCCTCATGCTTGCATAGGCGAAGGGATCTAAGCCTGTTCTGCTCGACTCGTAGAGTGTTAGCTGTCACCTCCCGCGGTAACACTCGGGACGCATAATAATGCTATGACGGGAAGAGATATGAAGTCCGGCAAGCTTAGATCGCGTCTTTCGTCTTTTCCGTTTAGCTGACCAATATTGCCCTCATCTATAGTCTAAGCGGGCTATAAGACTAATATGTCTAGTATTTAATATGTGTAGTATGTGTAGTATTAGTGGATCGCAATTCATTACACCGCATCGTTTAGATGAGCGAGTCTGTGAGAGTCGTTTAATAAGCTCAAATGAGCGAGAACGGCCTGGTAGTCGGTAGGAATAAGCCTCCTTTTATCTAGGGTATGCTGGCAATATAGTTCATCAGAATCCCGTAACCTAGGTGGTAATGCCTTTGTGGGATGGGATGCACGATGAGCCGCAGGATGTGGTGGGCTTATTGGTCGCCTCTAAAGGTAGCCAAGATGGGATAAACTCATATGTGATCCTGAATGAAACAACGACATGACTACCTATGTAATTGTAGCCTCGAGGCACCTCAAGTTACCGCCAAGAAACCCGTTACCTAGAACTACTCGAGTCTTGTTTTTCGAGTCATCGCATCACCCCTTAGGAAGGAAACCCGATCATCTTTAATAGAGCCATTGTGGCAAATATATCTATATATGTGCAAATATATGTTCATATATATGTGCATAGGGATAGGGAGTGAGTATATATATCTATACGCATATATTATGGTTGGTTCGTCTGGGAGGAAAAGTTGGGATGACAAGCTGGGCACAATCAATATATGTAATATGAGGAATTCTCAGAGGATCGTCATTCGTTTAACTAGCGTTTGCTAGCGTCTTCAATATCATTGAAACCACTAAGGCCGTGACCACCTTTTATATCCATGTATCTGAGTACATGTTGGAGGTATCCGCTTTGCCGAAATGAAAGCGGTCCGCTCCTTACAAAACAAGACATATCAGATGTACATAATACTTATAAATCCCCTGTGGTTTTAGGGGAGACCCTTCCAACGCCAATCAATCAATCATTCCTTCATATAGCAGTACCTAAAGTTGAAAGCCCCCCCTCCAACATGAACCCCTTTCTCCTTTGCTGACTAGACATCCCATGTCTTACATTTCACCTTCCCCCGGGTCAAAACTAGGAATTGTTACTTTTTCACACCCACACACATAGATAAAATTCCTTATATTAGGACTTCTAGGCAGTCGAATACGGTCGACTAACTTAGACTAACTTATACGTTTTACTACGTTATTTGTTTAGTCCCCTCGCCTGGACGAACAAGCAAAAGCGTCGACACACGAGGTGCCAGCTGATGGATACCGAATATTCGTCACCGCATTAATGCTTGGGTTTCGGATGTGAAAGTCGACCCCTTCGGTTTTTTTTTTGTTTCTCCCGACCGACCGACCGAGATTCTGCTTCGAATTGACTTGTAGAGATCGGCCTTTGTCACAACCCTCCTTTCCTGCAGACCTTTGCTGCAGACCTTTCCTGTAGTGGTCGCTGCCCTAGAAAGCAATTTAGTTCCATTGCTTAGCTGTTCTCTTTTATCTGGGCAAAAGCCGAGACGTACAACCTATGCTGAAATCGATTTTTGATTGCTCTCTTTTCTCGACATATCTTGCGATTTCTGTCGGTGTGAGTTGGCTGAACCCCTCTGCTGTCATTTTAAATTGAGTCGGATCTTTCCCAGGATTGAACTTAGGACTAACGGATGTGGCGCTCTAGCTTCGGATCGAACAAAGCCGCCTGAACTAGGCCTTCCGCTCATAAACCCTGAAGGCGAAGGCATTGGTTTTTCTACATTGTAGGAAACCACTATCGTAACCGAATTCTTTAGGCTTTGTCCATTATGGCGGCGCCGAACAGGTATGTGTCTTCCAATCAATTCACATGCGATCAAGCCGACTACCTCTATTCCATGGGTGCAACTTACTTCATTGTCAAAAAGGGAGGTTACAGACTCGCGAACCGGTCCCAGTCTGATACCGATCTTAGTGATAAGAAATGGGTTCTCCCTTATAAGGGTTGATTTTCAACACAAGCATACGTGGTCATATTAAAAAGAACACATCAGCTGATTATGGAGATCTATAGTGGACTTTACAACCAGCAGTTTATGAATCCCGGCCCCGCTCCACGACCACCAACCAGTCAACAACAACAACAACAACAACAACAACAGCCACGTCTCAACCTTACTCCTAGCACTAATTATCCAGGAAGCATGACGAACGTTTCGTCACCCATTACGCGCACCGCGACTTCTACATATACCGGGTCTACCATCTCTTTACCATTGGCTCGTGAGCGATCGAACCTGGCAGATGGCATGGGAGGCGTCGCGGTCATAAAAGAAGGTTGGGCGCAGGTCAAAGAGAGTAGGAACTTTATACAGCCATGGAAGCAAAAATATCTCATCTTACGCAAGGAAGCTCTCGACTTTCATAAAACCGAGGGTGGCAAGGTTTCTTATACTCTTTTTCTGAAGGATGTTGTCAACGTTGGCCGAGTCGAGGCTGCCGGTACTATCTTCGAAATCAAGAGACACGCGCAAGGGACTTCTAACAGTCCCGGCGATGACGATGGCACTATTAGAACCTTACATATCAAGGTTAAAAGTGATGACGATCTCTACGATTGGATTGACCTTTTATATGGCCGGTGCCCGACGATGGGTGGAGTGAGCAATCCGACCAACTTTTCTCATGCGGTTCACGTCGGGTTCGATCCGCAGACGGGACAATTTGTAGGATTGCCGCCAGAATGGTCGAAGTTGCTGAATTCTTCCGCAATTACCAAAGAAGATTATGAACGAAATCCTCAAGCCGTTTTCGAGGTTTTGGACTTCTACTCAGATCTCACTAAGAGAGCAGAGAATCCTCAGCAGTTCCCAAGTCTTACCCCAACGCCTCCTCCCGGTAGTCAGCAGAACAAGCAGTTGGGATATGGCGGCGGCGGTGCTTCTGTCGCGCCCCCGCGGCCGATGCCACCCGCACAGCGCAGCTATAGTAATGCGCAGCAGCCAACTACTATTCCGATACGACCAAACCCCCCAGACATGTCTCAGCAGTGGCAGCAAGCACAAAACGTAGGCGGTAGTTATGGCCAGTCACCGGATGCGGCGCGCGAAGAGCAGCGCAAGATGCAGCTTGAGCTCCAGAGGCAGCGCGAGATCGAGGAGCAGAACCGACGAGACCTAGAAGCCTATAATGCTTCTATCCCACAGAAAAAGTTGCCTATGGCCCAGCAAGAGCTTGGCGGATACGGCGGCGGATCTTCCGGTTCAGCAGACCGTTACAATCCTACTCGAGCAGCGCCTCCTGCTCCTAAACCAGCCAACCAGCAAGTTGGCGGTCTTCGCGCTCAACGGCCTGCTCCACCAGCACCCAGCGCCTCGGCACCCTCGACTGCTAACAGGCCTGCATTGGCTTCTCAAACAAGCTCGAGCTCCATCCAAACCTCGCAATCCAGCCAAGCACAACGTATACCACCGCGAAATGACCAGTCTCCAACAGCCGCTCGATATCCGAACAATGCCAATGGCGCTCAGCAGCAACGAGCGAATGGCCAGGTTCAGAACCAGGCACAGGCACAGGCACGTTTACCCGCTACTGTCAAGCCTCTAAACGTCCCAGCCAAGCCTAGCCAAGCCCAGCAAAATGACGGTGTCAAGGCAGCAGAGGCCGCATTAACAGCTAAGCCGACGGCGGCAGAGAGGAAGCAGGATGTTCGCATGTCTACTATGTCCGAAAAGGAGGTTATGCAAAGGCTGATTGAAGTCGTCTCGAAAGATGACCCTAACCTGTCGTACTCCAAGCAGAAGAAGATTGGACAGGGTGCTTCGGGCTCAGTTTATGTGGCAAAGGTCAAGGAGGGCGCTGTTTCTGGGGTTGCTCGAGAAGTCCTTCGTTCTCAAGGAGCCAGAGCTCAGGTCGCTATTAAGCAGATGGATTTGGCACACCAGCCACGCAAGGAGCTCATCGTCAACGAAATTATGGTCATGAAGGACAGTAAACACCGGAACATTGTCAATTTCCTTGATGCTTTCTTACGGAACAACAATGCCGAATTATGGGTTGTCATGGAGTACATGGAGGGTGGTGCTTTGACGGATGTCATCGATAACAACCCGGTCATTACCGAGGAACAGATCTCGACAATTTGCCTCGAGGTAAGTGTGCTAGAAATTCATTATTTTGGCTTCGCTAACGAGACTTCAAGACTTGCTCTGGATTACAACATCTGCACTCTCAGAACATTATCCACCGTGATATCAAGAGTGACAACGTCCTTCTAGATGCTCGCGGAAACGTGAAGATCAGTAAGTTTTGCGGACCATTTCCTATTACGCAGGTACTAACAAATATATTAGCCGATTTTGGTTTCTGCGCCAAGCTCACCGAGACAAAATCCAAACGAGCGACCATGGTCGGAACTCCTTATTGGATGGCTCCCGAAGTCGTCAAGCAAAAGGAGTACGGCCCGAAGGTCGATATCTGGTCACTAGGTATCATGGCAATCGAGATGATCGAGTCTGAACCGCCATATCTTAACGAAGAACCTCTGAAGGCTCTCTACCTTATTGCAACCAACGGCACACCACGCCTGAAGAAGCCAGAGAAGCTCAGCAAGGAGCTGAAAGCCTTCCTGTCTGTCTGCTTGTGCGTGGACGTTAAGAGTCGTGCTTCGGCGGATGAACTCCTGCAGCACGATTTCCTGAAGCACGGCTGCCCGCTCGGGAGCCTCTCCGAACTACTTGCATTCCGAAAGCATGCTAAATAAACAGGCATGGTTAATTACAATACTCTATCCCCCTAATTTCCCCTCCGACGTAAGGATCGCCCCATGTTTGTTAGTGTTAGGATCTAGGAGCTGCTTGTCGATTCCCCTATACCCCTCATGGTTGCGGGCGTTGGCGGATAGCAGTTCATCTGACTCGTAAAGGTTTGCATGAGACGCGGTCACGATTTGGAACATATAGACGAGGCACTTGCATGATTGACATGGATATGCGGTATATCCATGGATTAAGGCTACATCATGGGGATACGGTAACACGTGTGGTGTTACCGGGTCCCCGTACTAAAGACACGAATAGCACCCTAACCTAGGTTCATAGCAAATGGCTGGTTGCATAGAAGAGACTTGCGGAGACACGATCAATACCATGGAGAGTTTGGAAGCTTTTACCCTTTGGAGGCGTGTGCGTGTGCGTGTATTTGAGGCTCGATTTTGCGAGCGTAGGCGTACGGTAAAGGTAATGCGTAACCCGATAGTATAGATATGCAAATCAATCCAAACATGCGTTCCAAGCCCTTTTTCGCTAACTGATTCCCTTCTACATGGCTATCGTGGTTATAATCTATCTCTACCCTCTATCTACCCGGTATTGAAGGTATTGAAGATGTTGGCAATGGATACTTGGTGTCCACTTAGCGATTCGATAGCTCGTATACCCGCTTACAGCTGGGGGCCAAAATGGTATAAAATCGGTATCATTGGTTAGTTTGTATTCTTACGTGGTATTTGCAGCTAATGTTCGTTACAAAGGACATACGTGGCCCCCTTTTATAGTTGGTTCTGGTATATTGCTGCGTTGTCTTTATAGTTCGAACAGTGAACCTAGACCTTTTTATACATGTAGTTGTATTTGGATGTCGCATAAGAGGTAATTCGATGTTCGAGTGCTAATGTTAGTAGGGCTGATAGGGGGAAGTCCCAAAGCTGGTCCGTGCTGCGCTAGCCGCAATGTGCACACACATTGTATTGTACCTACCTACCTACCTACCTAGGTGCGCAGTGCGCAGTACGCAGGTACGGTAATACAGTATTTAGGTACCTAGGTACCTAACTTGCTTCTATTAGGTCCTACCTACATAATGTTCCTTTACAATCCAGAAACCTGGAACATCACCTGCCTTTATAATTGTCTATTTGCTTTCCTAAACCCTAGCAAACTCTTGTGGTTTCATTTATTTTTTTCGTACGGACATACCTACAGGCACCTACCTATTAAGTGCATATATTATATTATATCGTTATATTATATCATGTCATAATATTTGTACTCAGAGCTGAACATGATATGATGTATAGCATCCAACTGTGCATCTAATTCCCAGGATGCTAAAGCCTACTATGCAACAAGGTACCTAGGTGGGCAGTCAGGTTGCCTCACTTGGCTGACTGGGTTGCCTTATTCCAATCACCCAACAGCTCGGTACTGCCCCTCGGAGAATCCCTAGTTAGAAGCTTCCTGTAATGACTGCAGCCTGCCTACATAGTCAGTGTATCTAAGGTATCCACGGTGTGACTAGAGAGCACAGTCATAGGTTCGGCATATTTCCCTCGCCTTCGAACATTCATACCTCTTTGTCTTGTCACTGGCACTCAACCATCATCTATTAATACGTTGCATCCTCCCTTTTGCAGTTTTAATGCCTAGGATCATTTAACCCGATTAAACTCATACTTCACTTCACGTCTAGTTAGTTAATACCTCAAAGTTCGAAGTGTACATCTGATTTTTGGTTCTCAGCTTTACTCTTTACATTATCGTATATACCTACCTAACCCAAGGCAACAATGAGCTGCGAAAAAATGATTGCATCAAATGCGAAGCCCGTATGGTCGCGACTGGCCAAGGGTTTCAGGAAAGGATTAAAAAAGAAGGTTAACGACGAGGCTAAGAAAGAGAGCCCGTCTTCAACGACCGCAGCAGTGGATGAGACTATGAAGTGCGAAATCAAGCATCTGGACCAACGCTGGAACGAGGAAGACGAACAGTATTTTGCTGAGAGGAAACAGGAAGTTGAGAAGCCTGAACAGAAGGATTGGTGGCGTCTGTTTGCCTTTTGTGTTGTCAAGCACTATTACGACGACGATGAACTTGATACAACTCGCTTATATGTGAACCCCCAACCACTTCGGCAACTGCTCAGAGACGTTATTGGTGACTACCCGGATGACCCCATAGATGTTGATGATGTGCAAATCGAGACGCCATACTATTCGCTGTTCCACCACCGAAAGCAGTTGGAGTCAGAGGGTCTAGATCGGTTCAAGAACGACGAGGACTCCAAAGCTCAACTGGAACTGCTTATGAATTGGATCAAATCTCACTTCGAGAATGATATTTCTGCTTACGAGAAGTGTATTTCTGGTCTCAGGGCTATCTCTTACGAAAGTTTATGGACCCTATTCCCACCAAACAAGATCATACACGCCAAAGTACTCAATCAACACCGTGCATTCCGCGTCCACAGCTGCTGGTATGAGGAGGGCGACAATCCTCACCTAAACCTCTGGGCTAATTTCATCGATTTCGATGGTAACGCGCTTGGTACGAGGAGGGCCGAATTGTCTATCAAGAAGTATGCGGGAACGCGGCAGTTAACAGAACTCACCACCATCCCGCTTGACCTTCAAGACAATAATGTCGAGATTCGTGCCGAGCTAATCGAGCGTGGCAGGAAATTTGAGAGTTACATAGGGCAGCATTTTGAGCAATACAACGGTGTTGGGCTCAAGAAGACCGAAAGGGGCTATGCGAGATTCAATGTCAAGGGGCGCATAATGATTGACTGCGAAACATATCATAGGCTCGAAGCCGACGACGCATTCGACGTCGAAGAATTCGGGAAGCCTACGGGCTCTATCAATTCTAGTCATAAGACGACTATAAATGAAATCGATTTTGTGCGCGAGACGAAGACTTTCGATAAGTTATCCGACGACGACGCTTCGATTACTAACGCCACGGTTCGGGGGTACGCGTTTGGAGTCAAACAGTTTCTAGAGTTCTTCGTTGATAATGTTTTGCCTATTGAATGGAACATCCACTGCTTTGACAATCTCGTGCTCGACCCGGCAACGAAAAAAACGGTTCAGGCTGTGGTATCTACGCATTCGAGCAAGCGGGGCGGGTTTGATGATATCGTGAAGGGGAAGGGCCAGGGGCTCGTGTGTGTGCTGCAGTACGTATTCTACATTTAAAGCACATGTCATAATATTTAAAAGGATCATCAGCTAACCGTGATGTCTGGATAGTGGCCCACCTGGAGTTGGCAAGACATTAACTGCCGAGTGCGTAGCGGAATACGTCCAGCGGCCCCTATACATGGTCTCGTCCGGCGATTTAGGTGTAAACAGCAGCTATCTCGATCACAATTTATTACGGATCATGGATCTCGCCTCGACATGGAAAGCAGTGCTTCTAATAGACGAAGCTGACGTATTCCTCGAACAACGATCACTCCACGACGTGCAGCGGAACGCGATGGTGAGCGTTTTCTTGCGAGCGCTCGAGTACTATGGTGGTATTCTATTCCTTACTACGAATAGGGTTAATACGTTCGATGAAGGCTTTAAAAGTCGCATCCACGTTCCGATCAGGTATACGGATCTCAGCTCGACGTCGCGCCTGCAGATCTGGCGTAACCTGTGTAACCGCGTGCCCGGCGGCGTTGATCTAAACGAGGAAGAATTCCAAGACCTTGCTGAGCACGACCTCAACGGCCGCCAGATCAAAAACGTCATCAAAGCTGCCGAGAGTCTCGCTGCTTTCGACGGGGTGAAAGTCGATTATAAGCAGTTAAAACAAGTGACCAAGATTCAAGATACGTTCGAGAAGGACCTGACAAATATAGGTGGTGTGGATTATACGGCGCCCGGGGAGTCGAGGAAGAAGGGAGAGGGGTTTAACATGTTTATGTGAGATGCGAATTACGTTTATTAGGATAGCGATGGCCATGGGTGCATGAAATAGGCGCTTGCAAGGCAGTGACGCTTGTGAATAGGGGTTACATGTGTATATGACAAACGTGAGATATCAGCGATGAATGCACATACAAGAGAACGTTATGTGCAATGGAATTCCCCCCTCGGGGGAGTAGTGACGGTTGTTCGTGTATTTACTGTTGACATTGAGGTATTAAGTAGAGACAGTGTATCACCAATGGGTTTCAACACCTGCAAGAATAAGAAAGTCACTGCAAAGTAGCCCCCGGCTCTCATATAAACGAAGAATTCGTTTGATTACCGCATGTCAGTGCTATGTGTTCGAGACTATGTTAGGTACTTCTCATGTCCGAGTTGTTTACGACACGGTTTCTACAAGCAAAATAATGACCAGCCTATGAACATATACTTGCAGTACAATTAATGCGCAAGCCAAACCGATCATCTTGGCCTTCTTGACCTTCTCAACGACACGTGTCCCAGCTGCCATTCCCATCATGAGGTTTGTACCGTTCTGTATGAGTAGCTAGGGCAACTGGATCGGCATCGCTGTCCGCCTTGATGAACAACGTCTCGTACGGATGGGCGACCCTGCTGTAGAAGTGCTGGTATAACACTGATTCCTGAGCCCAGTCTTTAGTACAGTCGTCTTCGTAGCTTCCGGTCTCGTGGAATGCGGCTATCATGACGTCGACTTCGTATCCTGCCTTCTTGATCACATGTGTTGCTTCGATCTCGCCGCGGGATGCTTGCGCTTGGCTCTTATAGCAGCCTTCGAGGGCGACTATTTGGCTGCTGCCGTGGTGCTCTGGTGGGTTCTTGGGTGGGGCTAGGAGAAGTTCCATGCCGACTGAATCCGTAGCCCAGATCGTGGGGTGGATGTGGAATTTGGGGTGGCAGGTTGCTGTTGTTCCTACGAGCTAGACGGATGTGCTATCAGTATATACTATTCAGGCTATATTTTAGGGTAGTACTATTTACCTTGACATCCTTAGTGACGCGGCTTAGAAACGCATCGCTCCAGCAGGTGCGGCTCCAGTATGACATGAAGGGCCCTCGGATACTGGAATTGAGAATGATGAAGCGGCTGTACTTCTTCCACAGTCCATCCTTGCGGAGGACTTCTCCATGGACGCCTAGATCGAAGCATTCGTTTGCTCGCGAGATGACTTGAATATTGGCCTTGCTCGGGATTAGGTTGGCGACGTTGGTGGGTCCATTGAGGATGAAGATGAAGTCCGCGCTGTCATCTGTAGTAGATAGAGTTAGTGAGGTGTAGCTGTAGTACTTTCTGGAGGAATATGATCTATTCCCAGCTCGCCTTCAAGTAGTAGGCATCAATAGTATATATGGCCTAGTCACAATCTTGGGGGGTTACTTACGCAAACCATGTTCGACGAAAAACATTAAGTTCTCTTGAACAGTCGGGGACTCAGTGTACGCATAGGTGATGAGCGGACGAGCAGAATCGACAACAGCATGTTCAACGAGGGGATGAAAACCGGAAATAGAGATGAGATGAATAGGTTCCTTCAAGTCGATTGCTGTTTTGACTTCGGTCTGCGAATATTAGTCTTCTTTGTTGACAAGATTTGATCATGGGGTATAGCACATACCGCGTAGTCATTCTCATGCGAGAACTTGACGAAACCATAGAGACCTGTAAGGAGCAGGAATACAATAGTGAAAAGGGTAGGGCGGCAAAGCTCTCCTGTCATCTTGATTGTTGGTTCTATTATAGAAGGCTAGGAACAGATTTGAAATTAAATGGAGGAGGTTGTCACGTAGTAAGTGATTGTTTGTGATTGAAGGGGGGTATTAGGGATAAGATGTTAACAAGGACCCTAATCTCGTCATAGGTCCAACAAAATCAGGACGAGCCTTTTATTTTGGATAAAGACTCAGTTGGTTGAAGGATGGAGGATGAAAATAAATCTCATTATTTTCTGTAAAGAGAGAATGGAGTTATGGATTTGTTGTGGAAGTCACACTGCTGCAATGAGACCTAAACGGGATAGGTTCGGAGTACCCGCAGGTAGACCCGGCCCCGGACCCGGAAGGAGACTCGGCACCTGCTCCGAATGATAGATATGCGCCCCTACATGTACATAGTAAGGACCCCTCATGTACTTATAATCCCTTGGAATTAAGGGTATACTGATTGTACTAAGCATCTGGATATACAAGAGTGGATATTCAAAGGTCTGAAAGATACATACCACAATCACTACTCGGCGCAGTTGATTCTATCAATCTTACGTGCAGGCACAAATTTACCTAATGTAGCTGCTTTGATTGACACATAATAAAATGACAAAGCTTTTTGCAGTGCTACTGTCTGGCTGAAGTACGGAGAGAAAGGCCTTGTTCTATTTTGATTGATCGGGAGTTTTGGATTCGCATCATCTCATACATGCTAATGTGAGTCTATAATAAAGTAAGGAACCTAGAATGCATGATCTAACTCCTTGAAATCGGTGCATATAATCTTATTACTTGATATAATGGGGGTTATTTCCTAGGTTAGTCTTCCCCCTTTCACTAGAGTCCACCTCGTCCTAATAGGGATCACCAAGTGCTTAATCAACACTATTTCAACCATACAAAGTTCATTTCGACTCAATATGTAATAATCGTCCGAGTAACTAAACTAAACAGTGCTGCGATTATTTACTTCACCTTCACGAATATCTTCCCAGTAGCTCTGTGTGATGCCATTCTTTCGTAAGCCTGAAAAAAACCTGTCAGCAATAGCAACCAGTTTTACATTCAAGTGAAATTACCTGTAGAGCGTCTTCCATTTCAAAGGTGGAGTCGATAGGAACCTCTTTAATCCATCCCTTCTCAATCCATGCCGCAGCATCCTTAGCTGAATCGCCGCTTGGGTTGCTCATAATATTTATGCGTGTGCGTGGCGTCCCTCCGAGTATCACGGGCCACCAGTTGTTGAGCTTCAAAAATCCAAGAGGACCTCCTTCAATGTCTAGATATTTTCCGTCGGGTTTCAGATATTTCGGAGAATGGTTATATAGCGGTTCATTGTTCATAGCGTTGATGATGGCATCGAAAGGCCTGGCTCCTGGTTCCGCACACACAGAAGCGAGGTACTCGGGGAGGGACTTGTGAACGTTATAGTCTATAACCTATACGAGGAAAACCTGTGAGAATTATGCTATTTCACGGAGTATTAGATATTAAGATATATCGTCATGATTGACGTACTTCCTCAGCACCTAGCCTTCGAACGAAGGCCTCATTCTTCGCCGAGCAGATAGCTGTGACGTGTACACCCATCCCACGGAGTACTTGGATTGAAATGCAGCCCACACCACCGCTGGCGCCATTTATTAAAACCTTGTCGCCTTCATGCAAGTTGGCGGCTCGCACTATCACAGCGTTAGTCTGTCCAGCAATTCCCAAGAGCCCAGCTGCAACGGATTCATCAAGGTCCTTGGGCTTCTCGGCGACTGCATGCGCAGGAACCACTAGATAGTCAGATAATGCGCCGGCACCATGCCACATATTCATTAATGGCACCGTGCCGCCGACGATCATGCCGACGCGCACATCCGAGGGCGATTTAGGGGTGGTCGGTCCAACTTGAACGACTTCCCCGACGAAGTCCATACCAGCGACGGTATTCACTTTGCACGGAACTGCCATGGCCATTATTTTGATCTCGGCGGGATTGAGTGCTGCGTACGAGACTCTGACCATGATTTCTCCAGTTTTGGGTGGCGTCGGAGTCGGCCAGTCAGTCTTAAACTCAAGGATATCTTGAGGCTTCCCGGCCCGGGTGGCGACCCATGCCTTCATGGTCTTCGGTATGTCAACCATCGTGTAAGATCTGCAAGGTAGAAACCAAGCAAAGGGATATAAAACTTGGTATGCATGATTTCAGGAACAGGAGTACAGCATTTACTAAGGTCTTTATATTGGCGAATAAGCCTAGTGGTCTTCAATGACATACTATGTAGAATGGCAACTTTGTATCGCATTTGTCAACATGTGCGAATACGATGTTGACATCTGATGCGGCTGATGCGGCTGATGCGGCTAATAGAACCGCTTATGATCTGATCGCTAAAAAGGGGTAGTGGGATCCGCATCTAGCTTATGAATGTGCGGATCCAGATACCTATTTTGGAACACACCATACTTCTCGGCGGCATTATAACCTCGATCGGGTCGGCTCTGAAAGCATGGTCTGACGTGCTCATATAAGTAAGATGTTTTTGTATGTCATCCGACAGGATAGGCTGTTATAATGTCGGATATACCTGCTATTGCGGCTAGAGATGATGTGCTTGGTGAACATCCGAGGCGTCGATATAAGCGTACTCGAACCGGCTGTGAACGATGTCGCGCACAACACCGCAAGTGTAAGTCAATTATCAATGATTACCTATATAAGAGATGTTTGAATATAAAAGACGCAGAATATGCTAAATACATTATAGGCGACGAAGAAAAACCACAGTGCCGCCGTTGCACTGATTCAGGGGTTGTGTGCAAGTATATTGTGCGTGTGTCTTTTCTAGAGAAGAACTCTCGGACGCTTCCAGACTCTACTTCTCCGATGCCATCGTTAACTGTAGCCACGCGTGAATATCCTGCTTTGGAAGTAAGTTGACCATCTATTGGTTGTTATTTTAATACTACCATTAGAAAGACTAACGTAAGATCATGGTATCTAGTTTATCGTCAACAATGACCCTTCCATCGAGAGAAGTGCTTCTGATTCGCTTTCTACTTCGACGGCGATAAACCAAATTGCACAGCCCCAAAGAGAGTATGATGTTGAAAACCCCTCAGAATCGCAGCCTATCTTCCCGATGGCTCATTCACAAGCCCAGCAAGATGAGAACATTAATTTACAACGGAAAGATACCCAGAATCTGAATAACACATGGCCCCTAGCTGGACGCAGTTCACTTTCAAATAATGAAGTCGATCTTCTGAAATACTATAGCCATCATATTGCCCCTTGGGTAAGTCTTCATTCTCGATAAGCTCCAACCTGAAACTGATTATGCGAACCCCGAACGCGTGTTATTGTGTAGCTGGACGTATATGACCAAACTCAAACATTTGGCCATCTTTTTACCCGTCTGGCAATGGTTTCACCTTGCGTGCTAGACGGAATACTCCGGGTTTCGGCAACATTTTCAGGTCGTCCGGTAGAGACAATACAACGCCGGGGTGTCGGCGCTCTTCACCTTCGGGCCCTTTCAAATCCGGCCGCCGCAGAAATTGGGCTTTTGGAATATCGACTTATGGCCAGTTTTGTGCTGATAAGGACACGCCTGTTCGTCCAGGATGCTCCCGAGACGTGGCAGCCCACCTTCTTTAAAGGCGGAAGCGCTTTTCGTCCCGATAAACTCACTTTGCTCGATGCAAGTCAGTGGCGAATATGGACCAGTTCCTTGGCCATACTTTCGAGATTGGGTACGTTACACCTTATTGAGATTGTTGGCGTATTATATCTACCCCCTTTCCTCTTGATAGGTCGGCCCTCTCATTTCTTCATTTGTCTATTAGCTAACTGAAGTACAAACATGCAAAGAAATTGCATATTATCTCATAAATCAGACATCCCCCAACAGGATCACCGAATATATACACCAGTTACTTCGTCTGACAAAGAAGCATATTGACACCGATAGTCAATCTTATGAAGTTTTATATGCTTCTCTCCACTGTCTTGATCTCCTTATCGATGTGATGAATATCTGCCTTCCGATATCAGAAGCAGAAGATTATGTGGCGTCGTCGGAAGCTGTGGTTTCGCCCTTAGTAGGAGCATCTCGAGTCGCGAAATGGAAGGAACTTCTAAACGAACTGCGGCAATGGAAGATGAACCGCCCTCCGGGGCTCAAGCAGTTGATAGAAGTTGATTGCCGCGAGGCCACATTTCCTGTTGTCATCTTTGCCGGCGGTGCCGGCATCTTATCGAATACTCTCTACCACACTGCTATGGTTTTGCTACTTGGCAACAGGCCACAATCTATATCGCTCGCTGAATTGAATAGTAATTCAGAGCTAGAAGTGCCACAGATGTCACCTCTCTGGCACGCGCGACGTGTGTGCGGCATTGCGTTGAACAGTGAACCAGAACATACACATTGCTGGGACCCGTGTATGATAGCGGCCTTCGCGCTTGTGGCAAGACGAATGACACACCCAGCACAACAAAATGATATAGTTGCTTGTCTGAGTCGTGTTAAAGCGGCAGGCTGGCATATCGATAGCCTAGTTCAGAGGTTGCGTGACGAATGGGGTCCTATTGGTTGATGCCAGCACTTTTTCAGCTGGAACATTTAGCAATATATGCCTCCTTTTGGATGATTGAGGTTGGACTTTTAGTAACTGTTAACTATTGGTATTGGTTCTTAGTTTGGTGTTATGTATGGCTAGACTCATTTAGCTGGCACTACAATGACTATTATTTTGATGCCCGATGAATACTTTCCTACAAGTGATAACAAGTGATATTCGTAGCTGCAAATTATGGTTGCCGACCACATTAAGACTCAAAACTTCTCTTATCTTGTTATTCGTGGTGTATGCGACTACGCAGATACCCATCCGAATGATGACTGGAAATACTACCTATGCTGCTGCAGCATATGGGAAGGACCTTTTGTCTCAGGTGGTTCCAGAACAGGTTGAAGATGAGAGACCTGTCGAACCTAGTACTGCCCGTCCTCCATCAGGAGGAAATGACCAACCAGTCTCTATTTCACAGCCTGGCGGTACCTCTCAACCTGGAGTCAGTCACCAACCTAGAGACCCTTCCCAACCTTCCCAATCTTCAGGCAATTGCCAGCTTGGATCTCAGGTGCACACTGGGTATATCAACAGAATAGGACATTTCCTTAAACATGAGATCGATGAAGCTATTAGATAGGATAAGTGTGGGTTTGAGATTGCACTGAGGACTCTTGTCAATGGAATTGATCTGGTGAACGGTCACGGGGGAACTTGGGCACCATTAGGACATTGACCGATAGACTTTCAGAAAGAGTGGAATATCACCGAGCCTCAACTGCGAGAGGAGGAAAAACAGGCTCAAGGCAATAAATGGGATATGTGGCAGCAAATAAGGACGGACCGGAGTTTAAGTACGCAAAAGAGATTCTATGCAGCTTATAATGAGTTTGGCTTTCTAAGGAGGGTTATTGTTATGAAGGTAGGAGGTAGTGAATGTGAATTATAAAAGGGATTGATTAGTTGAAATTGATTACATAACTTAACGGTTATAGCAATTTGATTCATTGAGTAACATAAACCTTGACCCGTATAACGCGTGCTGCAAGGTGCGGTACGCGAACCGCTTTTCAGACCCCTGTAATTACACATAGTGGGTACCTTAACATGGCCACAAAGACCTTGCACTCATACAGCCATGCCACAAGTGGCTCGTGCTCGATCTAGCACGGACCAATGAGATACGGTAAGCGTGCCACGCTAGTCAATTTGAGGTGGTAATTGCAGGGAAGGTACAGCAGGTATCTGCTTTTTCTCAGCCTCATCAAACAAGCCTTGCATCTTCCCAAGAGCATCATCTTTTGAATAAATCAGTCCTACTTGGCACGATATTCGATTGTATGCAGGACGCTTCAAAAGGTTATTCCTGCTTGCAATTCTATTTCTAAGAATGATGCCTTGAGTTGGGGACGATTTCCAAACGTCTCCAACCACATTATTTGTACCCTTAGAATCTATTTACTTTTGCCTACCTCTCACTATTCCTCTCCTTCATCACTACTGTCTCAATTCTATATTCATCGGCATCTCTAATTCCTCATTTATCATGTCTGCCACGCGAAACGGCCATGCCAACGGTGGCTCAAATGGCGACATGGTTCCCATACCGATTAGCAAGCGATTCTCCGACATTCCTAGCGCGATCGATATTCCTGTCCAGGGCGACCAAGAGGATGAAGCTGTCGAGATCGACTTGGAGGATCTAGTCGATGACCCTACCGAACTTTGCACATTATTTGAGAACGAACGCGCTGCGCGAACGTATTGGATGACCGTTTCCCTTGCATACGCGAAGCAGAAGAAGATCGACCATGCCATCGAAATGCTTAACCGAGGCGGTAACGCTATGCAAGATAATAACCCTAAAGAGAAGCTTAGCATTATCACCTGCTTATGCTGGATGTATCTTTGGAAAAGTCGCGAAGCACCACGTGTTCCACCTGAGGGCGCGCTCCTATCCGAAGCCAAGACCAAAGATTACTATCTTCAATTAGCCACTTCCTCCCTCAACGATGCTTCGCGTATAAACCCAGCATTCCCGCCGCTCTTCCTAGCCCGTGGTGTGCTTCAGCTATTGAAGGCCTCACTACAGGCACCCTCCAAGGCCCCTGGAGCTGGCCATATTGAGCAAGACAAGGCTGATCTGCTGAAGAGCGCCCTAAAAGCTTTCGATCAGGCGAGTAAGGTGTCTCAGGGGAAAAACATGTTGGCCCTACTTGGGAGAGCGAGGGCATTATTTGGCCTTGGGAATTACAAGGAGTCGCTAGAGGCATATCAGAACGTACTGAGGAAAATGCCTGACTTAGTGGACCCGGATCCTCGAATCGGAATAGGATGCTGCTTTTGGCAACTTAGACACAAGGAAGATGCCAAACAGGCCTGGGAGAGATGTCTAGAGATAAATCCAGAATCGAAGACGGCCAACATTCTCTTGGGTCTATACTATCTCGACGCTAGCAGTCGAGTTCCTACGAACAGTCCCGAGTTTATTCGACTTTATAAGAAGGCTATGACGGAGTATACACAAAAGTCGTTCAAGGTCGACAAAAACCAGCCCCTAACATGCGCTACTTTTGCTAGCTATTTCTTGTCTAGCAAAAACCTTGCTCACGTCGATTCACTGGCCAACAAAGCCATTCAGTACACTGATGTGAACGCAATTGCAAGTGACGGCTGGTATCTCCTTGCTCGAAAAGAGCATTTTAGTGGTAACGTTGAAACCGCGGCAGATTATTACCGCCGTGCGGATGAAGCCAGAGGTGGCCTCGAAAGGGGTTATCTACCGGCAAAATTCGGCGTTGCCCAACTTTCAGTCTTGAATAACGACTTAGGAGAAGCCAAGCTCCGTCTAGAGAAGATCATCCAATCGGCAAACAAGAATGAACGAAACTACGAAGCTATGATCCTCTTGGGCACTCTGTACGCCGAGGAAGTATTCGCTAATCAATATGCCGCAGCTAAAGAAGATAAGTCTGCGGAGATGCGAAAAGCCATAGAATATTTAGAGCATGTTCGCACGGCGTGGAAAGATCCCAAGAAAAACCTGTCCCAAGATTCAGCAATTCTACTAAACCTTGCGCGCCTCTACGAAAGCGACCACCCAGACAAGGCCCTCGAATGCCTCTTACAGGTTGAACAGCTCGAATTAGATCAAATCCCTACCTCGGAGCATCCGGCTGGTATTGAAGATGAGTCCGCTCTACGCAATGCGTTACGCAAGAATCTCCCCCCCCAACTACTTAACAATATCGGTTGTTTCTATTCTCAGGCCGAGAAGCATGATCTGGCCAGCCAGATGTTTGAGGCTGCTTTGAGCTCCTGCATGCGAATTGGGGAGAAAGGTGAAGATATAGACACAGATGCCTTGGTTACTACCATAAGTTTCAACCTAGGTAGAAGTTACGAGTCACAGGGCCTCACAGATCAAGCTGTTGAGGTCTACGAGAAGCTAGTAGCTCGTCATAATGACTACATAGATGCTAAGGCCCGACTAGCCTATATTAAACTGCGCAAGAACCCCAATAAGGAAGGCCCTGATGCTGTCGCGCAACTGCAACAAGACAATTCCTCTGATCTGGAAGTTCGCGCTTTGTACGGCTGGTACCTCGGTCGCGTGAGTTCTCGGAAGAAGTCGGGTAACGTCAATGAGGACCCCGAGCTACGACATTATAAGCATACCCTCCAGTACCACGACAAGCATGATCGTTACGCTTTGGTCGGTATGGGTAATCTGTACATGATGGCTGCTCGTGAGATGCGTCGAGAAACTGAACAAGAGAAGCAAAAGCGATCTGCTACCTACACCCGTGCTGTCGAGTTCTTCGACAAGGCCCTGCAGTTAGATCCAAAGAATGCTCATGCTGCTCAAGGTATTGCTATCTCACTCGTTGAGGACAAGAAGGACTATAAAAACGCGCTCCCGATATTCCTGAAGGTTCGCGAGACCGTCAAGGATCCAAATGTTTATATCAACATAGGACATATATATGCGGAGTTGCGACAGTACTCGAAAGCGATCGAGAGCTACGAGACGGCGCTCTCAAAAGAGGGCAAGGCGAACGATCCAGGTATCTTAGCGTGCCTCGGTCGAGCGTGGTTGAATAGGGGTAGGCATGAGCGAAGTCTTGATGCGTACAAGTCCGCTCTACAATACGCGAAGAAGGTAAGATCGATTAAGCAAGTCTCATGATATTCAAAGCTGACAGGTTTCAGGCTCTCGAAGTCTCACCGGATCAAGTCCACTTTAAGTTCAACGTAGCATTTGTTCAAATTCAGCAAGTCCAGCACATTATGAATGTGCCTGAGACGCAACGTACGCTCGCTGAACTAGAGGAAGCTTCAGAAGGTCTTGAAGCAGCTATTGTTGCCCTTGACGAGATTGCTACTCATCCACAACCTCCGTATCCTAAGGCTGATCTCGAGCAGCGAGCAAACATGGCTCGTAACACACAACGCAAACAGCTTGGTCGTCAAATCGAGGGCCAGAAGGAATACGAAGAGAAGAACAAGGAGAAACTCGCAGCGGCTCTAGAACAGCGACAGGCTGAGTTGAGGCGGCGAGAAGAGGAACGGCAGAAGGCGCTTGCGCTAGAGGAAGAACGACGAGAGAAGATCCGTAAGGAACGGGAGGGAATCATAGCCCGTGATAGAGCGTTAGCCGAGCAGCGAGCCGAGGAAGAAATGGCTGTCCAGCAAGCCGAAATGACTACGGATAGCGAAACGGGTCAGAAAGTCAAGAGAAAGCGGAAGACTAGGCCCAAGTCGAGCGGCGAGGTTAAGTCAAAGGGTCGCTCGCGGAAGAAGAAGGTTGATAGCGACGGGGAGGATAACGAATCAGAGGAAGAACGCCAACCAAAGAAAAAGCGTAAGCTTGCGTCCAAGAAAGAGTCTAACAAGTACAAGTCGGCAGAAATCGTGGTTGATAGTTCGGATGATGAGGAGGAGGCCCTTGAGCGTGCTGAGCGTGCCCTTGAGAGACACACTTCGGCCCCCTCGGACGCCGATGACGCGTCGAGAGCTGGTGGCGACGAGGATCGGATGGAGGTAGACAACACCGCTGGACAGAACGATGATGAAGAGGAAGAAGAGGAAGAGGCAACCAGCCGTGCACCAGCCAAGCGCGCTCGGCGTGGTAGGGTCCTGGATGATAGCGACGAAGACGAGGATGAAGGTGAAGGTGGTGGTGCTGCGGATGCTGTGGCTAACGGAGACTGGGATGCTGAATCTGTGACAGGCGCCGCAGATACCAGCATGGCAGACGTTGCGGATGAGGATGAAGAAGATTAAGGCAGTCTGTTTGTATACTATAAAAGGGGCATGTTGTTACTGCAGCGTTTTCCAGTAGGCCTTGGCCATTTAGGCACTTGAGATAATTCCTATGATATAGGATGATAATGAAATATAAATACTTCCCATCAGACCGCTTATAGATTATGACGTCGAAAATGAAGTATCGTTGCAAGAATGCTACATATTGGTATTCAGATACCTGTGAATACTTCGTACCTATGTAGGAGGTAATCGAATTTATGCTACTAAGGACAATAAGCACCTCATTACTACGATTTCGACATGCCGAACCAATATCCGGATGTGTCTCATTCTACAAGGCTCGTTCAACTACATAATATTTCAAGTCCAACACTTATATATCTCCTTAAGGAAAATGAGACGCCTAGCTTGTACATACCAGGCGCTTCGCCGGACAGTTTACTCAACTCATACTAAGAGCCTCAATGAGATAAAATATGTATCCACGATGAGCCCCAGCCGTAGTTTTCCGGCCTTGTTCGTCCGAGGCGGGACATCCAACGGCTTAATCATCCAGCGCCAACATCTTCCGCCGCAGGATCAATGGCACACGGTCCTTCCCGCGGCCATGGGCGCGCCGGACCCGTATGGCAGACAGTTAGATGGGATGGGCGGGGGCATATCGTCGACGTCGAAGATATGCGTCTTGGCGCCGTCGACGCGGCCCGATGCCGATGTGGAGTTTACGTTTGTGCAGGTTGGGATTGGGGATGGGGTGTTGGATCTCGCGGGGAATTGTGGGAATATGTCGTCGGCGGTTGGGCCGGTGGCTTGGGATGAGGGGGTGGTTGGGGAGCAGGGGGGGAAGGTTAGGGAGGGGGAGGGGGAGGGGGGCTATAGGGAGGCGGTGGTTAGGGTGTTTAATACGAATACCTCAAAGATCATACATTCGCGCTTTAGAGTCGCTGGGGAGCCGCCGGTGTACTGCCCCGAGGGCGATTACGAGATGGACGGTGTTCCGGGGACGCAGTCTATAATTACGCTGAGTTTTCTGGATCCTGCTGGGGCGAAGACGGGAAAGGCGTTGCCGACGGGGAATGCGGTTGATAGGTTGACGCTGTCGGATGGAAGTACTATTGAGGCTTCGTTGGTGGATGTGTCAAATCCGGGAGTGTTCGTGCGGATAGACGATCTGGGAATTAAAGGCGCTAGCCCGGATACTTTCACCCCTCAAGCAGTTGAGTTAGACCCGGTACTCAAAGCTAGGTTAGAGGTCATCAGACAAGCCGGTGCGGCAAAGATGGGACTGGATCCAAAGACGGAGAGCGTGCCCAAGATTGTGTTACTCTTCTCGGACTCAAGCTCGGCGGATATTGATATAAGGTGTCTGGCATTGTCGATGGGCCAGGCGCATAAGGCCGTGCCCCTGACGCTGGCTTTATGTTTAGGGGCTGCTGCGAATATGCCCGGGACCCTGCCCGCACAGGTCCGTAGGATAAAAGGAGAAAAAAGCGAAATTGGTCCGGTTGTTATTGGACACCCCAGTGGAACGGTCGAGATCGGGGCAACGACAGAGAATGGCCGGATCGTCTCGGCGGATTTGCTTCGTACTGCGAGGGTTCTAATGAAGGGCCAGGTTTACTATTAAGACTGCAGAGACGCTGCATTGTGACAGCCCCCACGGGACACCACGGCTTGTACTGAGGCCCTACGGAGAATGTCACAAATACCTAATACAAGGGCTCTTCGTTTAGAATGTGCATTGTTAATTTCCGGCACAGCCTTGTGCTACAAAGACGTGATAGTTAGAGTCTGTCACCCTACTGCCAATAAAGCCACCGCACAAACCTCCTATTTATTGCATCAAGTCTGCTCCAGGCCCGGTAGCCATCATATATTACTACCCTACCCATGTATTATTGCACAACTACCTACATAATGCAAATATTTGGAAAGCTCGTATAAAGATATAACGCCAACACTATTCCCTGACTTTAATACTGCATAGTAGAACCCGCATTTTCGTTCAATCCGGTGACTGAGCAAATGGTGGGCAGGAGAAAAGCTAGAGGAATGGGGTGAGGGTGGCATAATTTGGCCAAGCCTGCCATGTATGGAGTTATGACGATGAGAGGCAAGGCATATCTTCCCACAGACTCATTTAGTTTATGTTATTCATGAGGTTGATCTTCCATGAATAGCCTGGAAGCTATAGTAGCTAACCTAGTAATATTATGTCGAGGTAACAATAAATCGTAATATAACACATTACTTATATACATAAGTATATGAAATTCGCACCTCTTTGTCGTTGCGTTAGTCGGTGATTCCCGGGTTGTTGTAGGTAGTACTAAGTCCGAATCAATACGGCGTAATGGATTCTAAAAATCTAACGAGAACGCCAATATCTAGCCGGGCACCCCAAGAAACTATCACCGGGGACAAGACTGGGAGCCAGTCAGTTCCCAAAATCCAACTAATACAGGCTGATTTAGGTTGGTACGGCCAAGATAAATTCTGTCCAAGTCCCACCTATCTAGATAGAGTCTATCCAAGTAAGAGTATAAGGACCAAAGTACGGATACAACCAAATTACGCTACATCTGCGAATATCAACGGGACACGGTTTGCGAGATATATTAGCCCGGACAATATCCTCCCAGTCACATGGACTTATATGGACCAACTTTTCGATGCCTCGTCTAAATGGGCCCAGAATCAAATTTCTGATTGCATCAATTCACACGGGGAATGTCGCCAAGTCGGCAAAGATGTCCCATTTATTCCCTCACGTCTGATTAACGTCAGTATTGGGGAACTAGGGGAAGATGTAGTGCTCGAGGATGATACTTCTATTTTTCCAGGATCAGCATATGCTGCGCTGAGTTACTGCTGGGGTGGCTACGACCCAGACTGCATGACTACGGCTGACAGCTTAGAAGAGAACATGCGAAGAATTCCATGGTCAAAATTACCGGCAACTTTTAAGGACGCGGTCAGATTTACACGAAGTCTCGATATCAAGTACTTATGGATCGACTGTATTTGTATAGTCCAACACGATAAGAGGGACTGGCACCGGCAAGCAGGACTAATGTGGGATATATACAAATATTCTCATGTGACGCTGACTGCCTTATATGGGAGCTCCAGCAAATCTGGACTTCGTTCAACCTCGATGAAGAATGAATTAACTAAGGTGGCAGAGTTGTCACTTAATGATCATCGTTGGCCTATTTACACGCGACTTCCCCATTATCTACAAACTAGTTTTGATCCAGACTCATCTAAGGAAATAGAAAAACGGTCACCTCTACTATCTCGAGCCTGGGCATATCAAGAGCGCATGATTAGCCCGAGGGTGCTTTACTTTACGGAAAGCGAGATAATCTTTCAATGCTTTGCCCACAGTGCTTGCGAGTGTGGTGCGTTAAAACATGACCATTTCCAAATCCAGAAGCCTTCAGTCATAGGCTGGGGACAGTTTTACATGTTCGAAAACGAGAGTTGGAGGGCCCTGGACTCAACTCTCCCAGATGACGATGCATGGCAATTGATTGCGGCAACGTGGAGAGACCACATCGTGAAGGAATATAGCGGTCTATTATTAACTAAACCAGAGGACAGACTGGTGGCTCTTGGAGCTATGACAAAGCAATTCCAAAAACTCCGCCCCTGCGAATCCTACTTCGCAGGCCTATGGATAAGATCACTGGTCGAAGATCTGCTCTGGAGGTGCTCCATTTTGCCTTTTAAAGAAAACAGAGGCATCTTGAAAGAGGCCTTAAGGAGGCCGTACTCTTTACCAACTTGGTCGTGGGCATCCTTACAGAGTGATGTTGACTTTCCCCGGCTTAGATTGTGGTTCGAAAGGATAGTCGTCGCGACAGTATCCGAAGCCTCATTCGATTACGACGGGCACAGTTATCTAGGCCGCCTGATTAAAAGCCTTTTGAAATTGCGAGGCAAACTAATGCCTGGTATGGTAGAGTGGCATAACGATACGGAATGCAGCATTTCTATTCCACACGTTGGAAATTGGGCGAGCCTAATGAATTCAAAAGATACTACGTATGTAAAGGGAAACTACCTTGAAAAGGTTCATATGGATCACGACGATGATGGGTACCAATGTATTCCCCGGCGACAGAAGGTATACTTACTTTGGATGTTTGCCGATTTCAAAGCAACTGACGAGGAGACCATGATTCGATACTATCTGATCCTTCGTCGTGAAGAAGAGGATAAAAACGTTTTTTCTAGGGTAGGGATTATGGAATACACAGCCGAGGTGCATGAGGATCTATGGGACATTTTCAACACTGCCAAGAGGTATAAGGATGCGTGGAGAATTCTCGATGAGCACAGTGTTATGACAGAATGTGAGATTCGCTGAAAACGAGTTATAGCGTTTTATTTCTAAATGTCTTAAGTGCTTGTACATAAAAGATATATGGATGCTAGTTTCTCTATGGTCTATTTGGATTTTATTTCTATTGTATATATCACGTTAGAGAATATCGGTTACATAGGGCCAAAAAGTAAATGTACAATAGTGTCTTGACAAAAATCAAAACGAGCAGCCATTTATTATATACGAAAGGATGAAAAAGTATCCTTATATATGTCAAATCCATAGACCAGGCAATTACGCAAGACCGGATCTACAGGATGGTACAGTGGCCAAGTCTTTTCCAATGCCCCGGACTCGGATTCAACAGTTCAAACACCTATTATGTGACATTCGACTGCAGGTGAAAGCGTCACACTTTTAATAAGAATAAATAAGATCTGATCAGGAAGTATAGATTAGTGTGAACACAATAGGAGTGCTGTGTTATAATGGGGAAAACAAGGGGAAAAGGGGTGCATATTAATGAAGATGACATTTTAGTTTCTGATCAGGAAGAATCCACCGCTATAAGATCCTTACAAGCAAAGGCTATAAACTTTACTAATGATGCTTGTTTATACCAATAGTTAAGTCTCATAAATAGAAAAAGCTTGGTTTTTCAAGACTATCTAGATATAAGTAACGTTCTTGAATGAATTTTCTTGTAGTTATTAAAAGTCTTTTAAGCTTAGTAAACTATGTGCGAGTAAAGAGTTTACACGGTATTACCAAGCTACAGGGGTTGACGTCGCTATAAATATAGCAATAGGCGATCTAAATTTAGCGGACGGGCCACTACATAATCAACCTTCAACTTGGCGCATGGTCTATACAGTGTCGAAAGACGTACAGAATATAGTGCTAGGGACCTAGGTTAAACATGTGCAAGACTTTTGGCCCGGCTCTTCGTATGCTTCAATACATATAAAAAGGTACTTTGAATATAATTTTCCTATTAAACGACCTTATACTCAAGTAATAACCTTACTTTACAATATGATTAGACATATTCCTGTCCTAAACTAACTGCATAGTATGTTGACATCTGAGCGCATAAGTCCGGTGTAGACCTGATCTACATAGAGAATATCTTTCAAGATAGCTCAGCCTTCGGTCCAGCAGACTTTACTTAAACCATAGTGAGACTATAAAAGCCTTACCACACTAGTTAGTAACTACATTCACTCATCACAAGTCTACACTAAATGCATATTGTTTATGAATTATTCATATGTATTAAGTCTACCCTGAGACTTTCAGCTTTCAATAATGCTAACAGGTAATCAGCTAACCCTCCAATTCCTTTGCCGGACGCCTTGCAACGCCATATGCCGGATTCCATTGTTTTCCGTGAATAACATGCTCACTCACCCCCTTACATATGTATGTATTCCACGACCCCTAGAAATGATTTACATTCCCTTCGTTCCTTAGTAGCTCATTATTCATGTCTCGTCATCAATCTTGGGATTATACAGTAGTCGTACCCCCTCTAATCGTAGATGTCCTCATCCATACCGTCGGGTACGATGTCCTCCACCGCATCCTCCTCATCGACGAGCATATCTTCGTCATCACCATCGCCCAGTTCACTATCGCTGTGGTTGGCCAGGACTTGGATCTTGTTACCAACCATGATGACCCTTGCAACCTCTCCATCCTTGACGCCACCGCGTAGGATAAGGACAGCCAGGCGGTTAAGAACTTCCTTCTCAATTAGCCTGGCTAGTGGCCTAGCACCGTAGGCCGGCGAGTAGCCTGCGCTGCCTAAGTAGTCCTTGGCCTCATCCGTGATTTCGATGCGCACGTTGCGGTCATTGTCGCTAAGCCTCTTCTGGATCTCATCAAGCCGTAGGTCGACTATCCGGCGGATCTCACGTCTTGTGAGCCTATTGAAGATGACGGTTGAGTTGATACGGTTGAGGAACTCTGGTAGGAAGTAGTTGCGCAGGGCGTTCAATACCAAGTCCCGCGTCGTGGCATCAATCTTGCCATCACGGCCAGCTGGGCGAGACAAATACTCTGCACCCAAGTTGGAAGTCATGACGACAATACAGTTCTTGGCATCTACAACACGACCTTGTCCATCGGTGATACGACCGTCATCCATGAGTTGGAGGAGGACAGTAAGAATTTCTTTAGCAGCCTTCTCAACTTCATCGAACAATAAGATAGAAAATGGCTTTCTGCGGAGGGCCTCGGTAAGTTGACCACCGGCGTCGTGTCCAACATATCCCGGCGGCGCGCCAATCATTCGGCTTAGTGAGTGACGTTCTTGATATTCGGACATATCGAACCGGATCATCGCCTTCGGGTCATCGAACAAGAATTCAGCAAGAGCCTTTGTCAATAGAGTCTTACCGGTTCCTGATGGACCACAGAAGAGGAAGCTCGGCGGCTGGTTGGGATTGCTAAGCCCAGATCGTTGCAGCCGAATAGCATTGGAGACTGCTTGCACTGCTTCCTTCTGTCCAACGACGATCTTTCCGAGAGCCTTCTCCATGTGGATAAGCTTCTCCTTTTCGGAGGTCTTTAGTCTTGTGACAGGAATACCGGTCCAGCGCGAGACGATTTCGTTGATTTGGTCTGGTCCGACTACATCCGTAATCATAGAACCGCCGATATCGTTCTGACTTAGAGCTGCATCTGCGGCGGCCTTCTGGCGCTCGAGTTCCTTGATTGCGTTCTCCTGTTCGGGGATGGCGTAGTATTGGAGATCTGCAGCGGTAGCATGATCACCCATTCTGGCCGCATCCTCCATCTTGACCTTCAGGCGGTCGAGTTTCATCTTAGCCTCCTGGATGTCCTTGCCACGCTTTCGTTCACGTTCATACTTTTCTCGGAGAGGCCGCAACTCCTCCTCGACGTTTTCGGCGTCTTGCTTGGCAATTTGGAGTCGAGCCTTCGAGGCATCATCCTTCTCTCGGGATAGCGCGTGGATTTCAATCCTGAGTTGTCGTAACTTTCGCTCCAAAGAGTCGATGATTTCGGGCTGAGATTCTCGGGCGACTCTGACGGCTGCTGCGGCCTCGTCAACCAAGTCAACAGCAGAGTCAGGAAGACGTCGAGAAGTTAGGTATCGTCCAGCAAGGTTTGCAGCAGCGACTATGGCGGCATCAGCGATGCTGACACCGTGGTGAACCTCGTATTTCTCCTTGAGACCTCGGAGGATGGAGATGGTCTCAGGGATGCTTGGCTCCTTGACGATGACCTGCTGGAATCGTCGTTCGAAAGCGGCATCTTTTTCGATGTACTTTCGGTATTCGGCAAGGGTGGTTGCACCAATGCAGTGTAATTGTCCACGGGCAAGCATGGGCTTAAGCAAGTTGGCAGCGTCCATGCCACCCTCACCCGAAGAACCGGCACCCATAAGTAAGTGGATTTCGTCAACGAAGAGAACGATCATATCCTTAGACTCCTGGATTTCCTTGAGAACGCCCTTCATTCTCTCTTCGAATTCACCACGATACTTACTACCGGCAACCAAGGCACCGACATCAAGGGAGAGCAGCTTGCAGGCGGCAAGGTTGTCAGGTACATCGGCGTTGACAATCCGCTGAGCCAAGCCTTCGACGACGGTAGTTTTACCGACACCAGGCTCACCAATTAGTACCGGGTTGTTCTTTGTTCGTCGTGAGAGAATCCGGATAACTCGTCTGATCTCTTCTTCTCGGCCGATGACAGGGTCGATCTTACCTTCCCTTGCCATACTGGTCATGTCGATAGTGAACTTGGAAAGATTCTCGTGCTCCTCCTCGGTATCGGCTGTCTTGGAGTCCACCCTTTTCGTCCCGCGAATAGTTTGGACGGCCTCCTGGACCAGCTTAGGTTTGGGGATATTAGACTCTTTGAGAGCATTGGCGATTGTTGCATCTTCGGCAAGGGCAGTTATGAGGTGGTCAACTGCGATGTATGTATCCTTCTGCGTCTTTTGTAACTCCTGAGCCTTCCTGAGAACATTGCTGAATGATGGTGACATAGACACGTTCTCTGGCGGGGGATCTTGGCTTGGCAGACGGACCAACGTCTTCTTGAGTGCTCTGTCGAATAGTTGAGGGTCGCCATGTGCTCTCTCAATTACTTGTCGGAAGAGGCTGTTGGTGGTACCTGGTTGTGAATTTTGCTGGTCCTTGGATTGGTCTGGCGGGGGATCTAGCAGAGAGACTGCGAGGTGGATTGGTAATAATTGGGAGTGAGCGTATTGCTCTGCCAGCGCCATGGCATCCTCCAAGGCCTTTTTGCCCCGATCTGTGAATTCCATTCTGGAAGTCATCGTGACGGTTGTGTGTTTTGGTGGCTTAATCTGATGTGTGTCTCAATATCAAACGAGAAAATATGTGCTGGGAGAATATAAAAATAGTAGGTAGATGTTGTTGCGCGTGTTGTAAGTGGAAGCCTTGCACTGTGTTGGCTTTGCACTATAAAGAATTGGGTATCGAGTATCGCTTTTTCAAGATTATTGTTCTTGATGGTCTTATTCCTGGTGAATTCAAGTGAGGAAGGAATAACAAGACAAAGAAGTTAAACTTGTATTTATCTGTTTGCTTGAAAGCGCTAGAAGTGGGGAGGAAGCAGACGGAAACAGGCGATGATGATGAGATAGTTAGGAAGTTGGGGCGCTCAGTCAGCTCATACGTCTATCCAGTTACTTCTGGGACACTCTTCAAACTGCTTCAGGTTTCTAGCAAGAATAAGAAGCTTCGTGCTGGCACATTGGTTACCATAGAACGTCTGCGAAGCTTCTAGTGGGGCTGCTAATGCTAGCCTGACCTATGTAAATGACCTAAATGACCTAAATGATCCAAAACTGTTGCCAAGCCTGCCTGACGACAACGTTCAGCTTTAGCCAATCGCGGGGTAATATCGGGTAATCGATCTTGCTGCTTCCGACTTTGCTTGTGTGATAACTAAGATAAGCTATAACTACTGCCTAAGGTACCTAAAGTAGGTACGGATTAGGTATGCATTTATATGTTAGGCTGGTATTATCTCGCCTTGATTTCAGACTCATAGAAGTTGTGTTACATTGCAATTGGTTTCTTACATTCCTAGGTACGTAATCATTATGTGGGAAAGACCTAATCATTCGTAGTCCGTCTGTCCAACAAGGGCATTGTTACCTACCACCATGGAAGGCACTTCCACTAGCCCTTGTTCGTATCTACGTACCACCAGACGCTAAGATAAGACTCTCCCAATCTACGTAGGTACCTACCTACCTATCCTTATCGCAACGGAAATTTTGAACGAGGAACCCGACAGCCAATATCCGTGGTATTGGATATCAGCCTCAGTTGACCGGAGCTCTCGATAGTAGAACCGCCCACCATGGCTCTGAGGGTCAATTCTATAACAGTCCAATTCACTAGGCTGCCCCTCGGCATATCATGGACTGGCCTACGCTTCAAGTCCTCAACTTCAAATAGGGAGAAAGAGTTAGCGGCGTCCACATTTGCAAAGCACCATGGAGAGAAAATATGGATATACAGTCACATATTAGAGGGCATGACGGTGTACTCGCATAGGCCCGTGCTCAAGGTATGAAATTGCCTAGCATATCTACCTATCTATCTGGCATTGTCCTATGCGCTGAGGTACTGACGCTGAAAACTGCAAAGGCGAACAAGGCGCTAAGACAGCTCTCCTTCAACGGCAAGAAACTCAAGCCTAGCAAGTTCCGACGTGACTACTGGCGGCCCTTCGCCATGATACAGTTCCCTGAGGGCCTCGGCAACGTGGGGCAGAACGTATATCAACGCTTGCGAGAGTGCAAGAAATTGCACGAGCTATCGTGGGACAACGACATGTTTTATGACAAGGAAGGAAAGCCCCTGACGAAGCACGAGCGGGGCTCGAAGATCAACGACCAGAAGACCAACACGGTTGCCGACATAGCTGCGGTGCTCGGGGGACTAGGGAAGGGCAATCTGATTTGGATGACCGTGTCACAGGACCCGAAAATACTTGCCAACCTAGAAGCGGGAGATGACAAGCACCTCAAGAAGGAGAGCGACGCTGTTAAGGCCCGAGTCAAAGCTCAGGTCTGGTGGGCCGATGATCAAGACCGGCACTTCGCAAAAAGCTGGCCTCCTAATGTCACACACCACCGCTTCGACCAAGCCGCTATAGAGGAGATGGGATGGGACGCCAAAACGCTCCCGGAGCAAGACTCGAAATCGGGAGAAGCAGCAAAAGAAGGCGAGGATCAGGAGGGGACGGACAACAAGGAGGCGGCAGACCAGAAGCCAGCCGACCAAAAAGAGGTAGGCCAGAAGAGGACAGATCAAAAGGAGGCAGGCCAAAAGAACTCTCTATAAGAGCTGTATAAAGCCAGGTTATCACGTCTTACTGTTACCGCGGCTATGACAGAGTGTAAAATTAAGTAACCCTCCACCTACGTTGCGCTTTACAAAATCTAGAAATACTGTATTCAAGTGTACTATCTAGGTTAGGTAGGTAGGTATGTAAATAGACTCGCCAGAAATCTAAAACTTCAAGGCGAAAGCCTTGAGATAATCGTAGTGCGGAATATTCTCATCCACACAGGCTCTAATTACCTCCTGGGCCTCTTTGCCATACTTCTGTCGCCATTCCTCATTCTCAGATTCCTCGGTGACAGTTTTCTATTTAACCAAAGTCAGTATATAGAACCAGGAGAGCAGGCCGGAATTGGGTATATCTGTAAACTTACGTGGGCTTGAGTCCTGGCCGTGAGACTCTTGCTGTGGATAGCATCGTTGTGGAAACCGTTCCACTTAGCAAAAGCTTCGGAGACGTAGTCCTGGTTTTCAGCGTCCTCCCAAGTAAGCATCTCCGGCTTGAATTCGATCCCGGTCTCCTTGCAGAACGCCTTAACGACGGGATTCGGGTGGTCAAGAAGATCATCGGCATCGATAATAGTGATGGTGACTCCACCGTCGGCCTTATTCCCGTTTGATTCGCCAGCTAGCGTCGGGCCAACTATGTTCTGCTCTCGCAAATAGTCAAACAGCCGGCGGAGCTCCACGTAACCTGCCTCGCTAGGGAGGAATTCCTTGAAACCGGTAACCTCGTCTAGCGGAGGCACACAGCACCGGAAATATGAAGGAATTGCTCGTCGCGGATGACGGATAAGGAATGTCCAGTGAAAGTTCCTCAGGGTGTCGAGGGGTAGCACTGTTGGGTTTCCCTTTTCAGAGCAGCTATCCCCTTTGCGCAGGGACTTGGGGATTGCCACAGGTTGCGAGTTTGGAGGCATCAAGTAATAAGCCATGTCCTTGATGAAGACACGCTTGCCCTGTAGGATAGAGTAAGTACTCGGCGCATAATGAGGCTCAGAACTAACGGGCCCAGAACGTCGATATTCGTGCGTATGCAATTGAATAAAAGGGGTGCAGTTTTGAAGGATAGGTAGGTATCTAAGAGGTTAAGATATTGGAGTTATACGGTTCGTTACCCCTTGTATATCATAGTGTTGCTCCTGGAACACACCAGTGAACTTGAGAACTCATGGCATATATTTTGGTGGCGCCTCCATTTCTATTACCCCAACACTGTAATGTCCTTCCCGAACTTGATTCTTGCGTATGTGGCTGATCCTACCTCGCACTTGCGATGGGGATTGGAACCGACATGGAGGGGGTGAGAATGACGAGGAGTTTCAAGCATGGAAAGGGGATCAGGGGCATTGGGGTATCAGGAGATTTCGAACCTCGCTGCCGTCTTTTTCTAGCCGGTCCAAGACATCACGATAGGTCGTCTTAGAAAAGCCACTACTCTCCCTAGCGGGCTCATCATTGGCATAGCGCTCGCCAAGTCTCTCAGGACCGTAGTAATAGCTATCACCAAATGGCTCGTGGGCGCATGTAAGGATGTCCCGACGGGTCATAAACACCTAATACGTTTTAGTGAGTATGGCATAGATTCTGATGGTTTTATATGAGACCAACCCTTTCGAAGGCGGTAGAGCATGCCCGTGGGTGCGTGGCTAGGAAGACAGGCTTGTTAGACATGGTGGATATCGAGCCACGATGTTGCAATCCGAGTTTTAAATTAGACAATAAGCATAAATGTTTGCGTCTCTCACTTGTACGGCGCGCCACGCATAAAGTAATTGGTGGCTGAAAGTATCGAAAAGCAAGTCAATTGCATTTATTTACCGAACTTGCGACTGACAATACGAGAATTGCTATGTCGTGGAGGAACAGATCGAGAAGAGAAAAAACTTGAGAGCAAACTTGAAGGACAAATTTTGTAGACCCCAAGTACCTGAAGTAACTTAAAGGCACTGACCAAAGACTTACCTAACGAGGAAGATGTAATACATGTATGTAAGAAGATTCAAATAACGACTCGATACATGGAACATGGAGCATAGAGTATGGGGCCGGTCCACGTCTTAGCGGTACGTCCGGTCTTACCAAGCCATATATACATGGCGTCTGGTACTGCGTACGGGCAGCACCCACGTATCGTGGACTCCCACGAGCAAGTACATGTACCTGCTTTACCAAAGCTTACGGATTACACTTGCAGAACCTGCCGAGTCTAATACCTAGAACGCCCGTCTCCTATGGGCTAGCTACCGGAAGTTAGGGCCAATCCGGTGCGGGTGCGTTCTAGATCCATTTTGAACCCTGATTTCGAGTTACGTCATGCATTGTTAGGTGTGTTAAGTGCAGCCGTTCTTTGGGCCGACGGCTCGTATGTGTGGTTCGGTGCAATGAGAAAGGGGTATAGCGGCTGGTGGCGTAGCAGGGCGCGATGCGATTATCTTGACGATGCGCGATGTGGTCTTGGAAGGTGGCGGCGTGGGTGTAAACCGAGTTTGAGCGTGGCATGTATTTCAGGTATACATGTATGCGAGACTAGGTCTGTATGTATGTACATAAGGTAGAGGATGACATCAGTTCGAGACCGCTTCTTGTTTGGTGCAGTGTACAGGGAGGTCACGCTTGCGAGAAACGACCGTGATAGTCTTTATAGACGTGGGAGGTTTATTGCGTTAAGTATGGTTCTGGATGGTTGTCGAAACTAAAGTCGACAGATATCCTTTGATTTAACCCAACTACGGGGGATTCATTATTAATAGGTTGGTGAAATATGATCTAGATTTGCTGTTGAAGTCTATGTTGCGATCCTGTCTCAAAATGGCGACATCGGGATCCTTGCGGAACGTGTGGGGGTCCATTAAGCTTCTAATTGGTTCTTGTTTTACAGATTTTTCCTGTAACTGTGGAGGATCTCTGCTTCACCGATATAGAACGAAGTAAGATTGTTCCTAACTTGAAGTTAATTTATATTTGACCGAAACTTTGATCATCTATATCTGTTTTAATGACGCGGTTGATATATGGCTATCATCTTATTGGCTGCTGAGAGATATAGAGGTTTTGGCATTGAAAGTCAGATAGGTCGTCCGAGCATATGTCCGCAACGAGGTATAAAGTATGGGAAGCTCGCAATTTGATGTTTTCCGAATATAATATTCATAATATATAGCCCGCAGCGTGGGCTGTCAAATACATACAATATAATGGACTATCGACTCTCCTTTAGAGCTATACCGACTTTGCTTTTATGGGATGAGCCGTGAAAAAGCCTTTCTAGCCAAGCCTACCCCAGCTCCAAATGTTCAGACCGACTTTCATCCCCTTTTTCACTGATAAAAAGAGTTAATGATTGTCTCAAATGAGAAAAAAGTAATAGTAAGGGGAATATTAAGATCTCTGCTAAAAACAGAAAGCTCATGGTGAGGCCAAATGGCGGTCTTAGAAAGAAGAAGAGTTACGTACCGGGTAAACCCGCGTGCCAAGTCTCGTCCCAACCTCTGCCCGTTCCGTCGGGACGGAAGTTTTCCCAGTATACAGCATTACCGGCGATAGGCTTGAAAGAAACGCCCGTAACTAAATCTCCGTCCGTGGTGGGGAATTTTCCTTCGGATTCGGGTAGCGATTCGGGTAGCTTGGGACACTCAACCCATTGACACCACGGGTTATCGGGTGCTTCTCGCCGGAGTAGGGGAAATTCGGTTCCCCCTCCCTCGACGTCTTCAGCTTGCACCCAAGCCATAACGCTGCTGACTCGGCCCCAGCCCCGAGCGCCGGAGCCCCAGTCGAAATGGTGCGCGTAGTGCTGGTTCGCACCGTAACGCTGCGTACGAAGACGCTCTATCCATAGGTCGTCACGCCAGCCCTGGATAGCTCGTGTGCGAGCTTCGATGCATCGCACGGTGTCGGTACGGGGTATCAATGCGACCTCCGAGTCTCGAATTGTAGCATCGCGCTGCGTCGAGTCGCCATCGTGGGTGATGGTCGAAGGCTCAAACAACGGCTCACTATGGGTCGTTAGCAGGTATCTATTATGACGAAAGAAGCATCACACTCAACGTGCCTAGTCTCTAGCAAATGGGACCGCTCATCGTCGGAGAGGAAATTCTCGATATAAATTACGATTGGCGCTTTTGAAAGAATATGAATTGAATATGAATCCGGAGGACAGTCCGGTGCTGTTTGGTTTGCTGCATCGATGGCAAGGAGGGATTCATTTATACGAGGCCGAGCGGTCCGTGGAAGACGGGATGGCTCGGGAGAAAAGTAATGAAGAATTGGGTTGTATGTAAATAATAAAATGGCAATGCCCGCTACAACATATGGAAACATCACGGTATCATTAAACACTGGCTCTTGAGTGAACTTGCTGATATATTCAATTATGTATGAGTAAGATAATGTAGTATAAGTTATGTTCACTACCTAAGATATGTATGTATACGTATCTCCCTAACGCCCTGGTGCTGTGCCGTTGCCGTGGCCCCGTTATAGTAACAACATTGAAAATAATGCAAATAATACGTAGTCACATGACTTCAACGCCGTTGTTCATTCCCACCCCAACCCAGTATAAGTTTAGAATGCACAATTGCCGAAGCTTCAATTTTGAGATCATTATCATAGACTCTTCCTCTTCCTCCTTACTTTCTCCGGTTTGTATTTGTCTTGGTTTATCCCTAGGCAGACTGACACAAGTTTCCATATTACGAAAACAAGCCCCATGAGAACCACGGTTACTGTTCCAGAGCTGATCCGATTTGACTGTCCAAGGTCGAGAACGGGAACCCGGATTTCGTGGTAGAGGCTCTCGCCTGGATTTGGCTTTGGTTCAACATGCCAGAATAGCGTACGAGGGCCAAATAGCCCATCGTATCCCAGATTCGTCCTGTCGAATGGACTGTTGGGGAACTTGGTGCCCTCTTCGGCCGCGCAAGCCCAAAAAACCACAGGCCAAGGGATGCTAACGTTTCTGTAGCCATGATCCGCTGGTGCCAAATACCTAAGATGAAGTGGAATCTCGGCTGTCCACGGTTTGTCTTTCCCACTTCTAGGTGGCTGCAACTCTAGAAGGGCACTGGAGCCCCAAAGCCTCATAGCGTAGTCTGGAGCTTCAAGGTCTACCGGTTGGCTGATGTAACGCAATGCCGACAAGTTCTTGGATGACATAAATAGCTCGTCTCCAAGTTGGTACTTGTCGATGAACACGGTTCGAGGAAGAGTAAGGTACGTGTGCAGCGAACAGTACGCATCGTCCATCGGCGGCTTACTTGAGCTAAGACGTAATTGCATAGTCGGGTGTAAGCCCATCGGACGGAGAAAAGTGGCCTCGAAACCCGCATCTTCGGCATTCTTGTGGCGCGAAGGGAACGAGAAAAGGGTTGGCGTAGGCCTGGAATCTTCACCTAAGACTGCCAGCAGTCCCGTGACGCCAAGCTCATGTGACTCTAGGTGCGGAGGTGAGTCCGGTGTCATTATCCCAACTTCGGCTCTGTGATCGTGCTGGGAGTTGATAAATAATGGCTGCCGTTCATGAGGCCACACAGCTGTGAGTTTCACAACGTGAGAAAGCGCATCGTACGAGAAATCGACCGAGTTGGCATCAAGAAGCCGTTGAACTCGTGACTTGCATTCGGAGTTACCGGAACTACAAGCATATTGTTCAAGGTATGAAGTGAAATGAGATAGGTCGTTTAGGATCTGGTAATATTGATATGCTGTCGAATGAGTGAATCGGTCATTTGGTAATTTCGTAAACGACCCCTACAAATTATTAGAGAGCTAGAACGGACTAATATTATTTCTATGAGAGTAGCTTACGGATGTAGATGAGCAATCTAGTGGTCCGAATGCCGTCCGAAACAAGCGGCATAGGCGACCGCCATCAGGTCTGTCACTATTGCCAGGCGTATAAAAGATATGCAAACCAGGAGGCAACCTTGAGGTCCAGGGCCCTATCGCTTTGTAGGGGACGGGTTTTTGCCATCGAATGAATAGCTCGCGGGATTCTCGAAGTAGGTGTTGAAGCTCAACCGGAAGCTCCTCTAGAGCTAATGTAATCCGGTCCTCCCGTTCGGCGGTGATGTCGGGCCCCGAAATATAGCGACCCAAAAGCCTTAGAGCGGCGGGCTCTACTCCGTTCTCGTTCTTATGGAAGAAGGTGATTCTTTGGCGCATTCTGTAGGGTATAAGTTGATGCAATCTATAATACTCGTCGACATCAAATGTTCTGGGAGACTGGTCACAAGGATACGAAGTACACGCGGTCCCCATGATTCAAGTCTCCAAGTGGCCCCAACCTCTTTTACCTAAGATTACCTAAGGTAGGTAGATAAGAAAAGAGATAAGGAAGACAGGCCCTGATAAGATAAGGAGGGGCAGATGGGGCAATCAAGCACAAAAATTCAGTTGGAACTCGCGCAAGGAAACGTCTGTGGTTTTTCTACTTTTGCATTCCCCGCCTCGTGATCTTGCCAGACGAACTAGGACGGAATATCCCAGCCACGTAATAACGTCGATACGTCGATACGTCGATCGGGCTGCGGGCTTGCATATTCCTTGGGCAGGAAAGAATTTTCACCCCCGTTAGACCTTCCAATAGATTTAATCCAGCTGTTATGCACTGCATCGCACCATTTAACACGTATCTAACAACTCTAGCCTAAACGAGGCAAACCACATCACGCATTGGGTTATTACTAGCCGCCCTACTTCCCTTTTCCATGGTTAAGATGGTTAAGACCTAGCACTACTGCAAGACTACATGACGTTTGGTTGTGACCCTGCATCAAACCCAGCAAGAAACCCAGCAATCCCGAATCCATCAGATCAGCAGCTTTAAATACATGGCGCATAACGGATAACCCCGGAAACTAATGCTTCGAAAACTAAATCAAATAAAGTTCGCGGGGGACCAGCATTCGTTTTCATCATTGTTCCCCAGATTTTGCTTGTGAAGGTTTCGATACGACCTTTGTTTTTTCAATATCATGTGAAGCGAAGGAGCTGCTGTTGGTGAAGGCAAGGGTTATTAGTTTGGCGCCGAGCTCCATGCAGGATCTGAATCACGCAGCGCATAATGAATCAACCCTGTACTCGACTAGCGGCCAACTTGCCTCCGGTTACATCTCGAGTCGCAAATTCCGAGCAAACTGACGATTACTTAGACGCTGGGCTTGCACTTAGAAAAAAAATCCAAAATTGCTCGAGGTCGAATTGTCGAGATGTGGCGCTACAACCTCTTTCCTAGGTATCCTCTATCACCTATCGATTGAACTCGAGTATTTGGCGACGGAGACTGCGCCTTCGAGTCAAGCGTATCTATCACCTAAGAATAGCCCCCCAATGCATCGAGGACCGTATCTGCCGCGGAGTCAACGGACCTGCCCTCACCCATTATAGAATCTGAAATACTGGGATTGTGGTAGAAAAAGTCAAGTAACTATTTCCCAGCCTCTTAAGGTAAAAACCCAAAGTTTCAAGTTGTCTACGCCTTTTTCATGGATAGGTAGCCATATATGGTGACCCCCTGTCGCTATTTCTCGGATAGTGTCCTCTTACTTCACGTGAGCACAGAATACGCAAATAGACGCGGAACATCTCAGCTGTCACTTCCCGCCTCGTGAGTGATCCGGGGGGTTGGCAAACTTGAACAATTGCCGTACAAATTTAACGTCGCTAGTATTACCGCCCCAGCCTCCGCAAGAGTTTATTGAGGAGGCTAGGATTAGCCACATTGTCCCTTCGAAATCGTCGAAAGGAGAGAAGCGGCGTTGGCTTTACATCGAACGCATATTCAATATCCATTAGATCCAAGATGTTTGCTCCGGGGGGGTCAATTCGACTAAACGATTCGATAGGGAGGGAAAAGGGGTAGTCTTGCAGCCGCGATGACCCTTGAATTGACCTAGTTAAACTTGATTACAGTCCGCAAGAATTATCCACAACGCGCCGGGTGCCGAGAGTCTCACCGGTCGATGAATTACAACGACCTTGATTATACACCGACTTTCCCCCGGCCCCTTAGAAAACATTCGTATTGATGAGAGAACGTGGAGCTCTGCAGAATCCCATAATCTCTCTTGGATCACTAATAGGCTTTCTTCATCGTCATCTCCACTACTCCGAGATTCGTGTCGGTATGAGAGATTAAGGATGTGAATGCTGCAGACGGCTCCTTTGGATTTACGATGCAGAAATCGGGTCTATAAGGACAATAAGGAGCCGTTACTGAAAGATAGCAACGCCTACTGTACCACATGAAAGACACCTGGATCTAATTCCTCTCTTATTCGCTTGCAAGTAAATACTTATAGTCTCCTTATTTGACTAAGACATATAGGTGTTTGAGCGATAGGTATATTACAATGTTGATTTTTGTTAATACAGAACTTAGCTTTCACTTGGCGCCATTAACCCATCCAGCTTTTTCTTCGGGCGTATCACTTTCAGCGAACTTATCTTTCAAGCTTTTAGCGGCGACACCTCCCAGTGCTTCTAACGTTCCAGTAGCCATGATTTCGAGGATGCTAATTTGTAGGCCCAGCACCTGTTTCCACCAGCGGCGCAGCTCAATTGCCATGAGCGAATCCAATCCAATTTGCGACAATGTTAGGGATATATCTAGATCGTCCCCAGGTTTGAGCATTAAGCTGAATACCTTCTTGCCAATTTCGTGGCTTAGGTATGAAACGCTTTGCGGGTCGTCCAATACTTCGACATCATCGGCTACTCGTGCTAGGAACGCGATTAGCTCGCTGGAACTACCCCTTGTATTGGTTTCCTTCTCATTATCGTTGTGGTAGAAGCCCATTCGTCGGTCCCGACGCCAATTAGTTCGCGTATTTGGGTCATTTAGGTCACCCTCGGATCGTAAACCCATAACTAATTGGCCGGTACTCGTCCAAGGAGTCAGCGTGGAGTTGCCTGTGGAGCTGAGTATTTCGAAAGGGTGTGATTGGATGATAGCCAGTTCGACAAAGTCCAGAAGCTCCGCCTCACGCAAGAAATACAGTCCTTGTGATTTCATGTTCTTCCTTGCGAAAGGGTTGTCAGCGACGAAGCCCACGCCGTCTATTGGACTGATATTAAGCACAGTCGCGGGGAGAGATAGGGAACGTCGGTATTGAGTGAAAGCTTCAAGGAACGTGTTTGAAGCACTGTAGTTCCCTTGTCCTGGTTGTTCGACAATAGTTACCATGGAACTAGCCATAACGAAGAAATCAAGGGCATGTCCCTTTAGGTGCTCATGGAGATTCCAAGCACCAGTCACTTTGGGGGCGTTTGCAGCAACCCAATCTTCATGTTTCATGCTTGCAATAGGTGAATCCTAACGAAAAATAAGTAAGACACTTCCAAAGATGAGGTTGAAATTGACTTACCCGGAGAACCATCGCCAAGTGGATAACTCCTTTGATGGGATATGGAGCCTGCGAAACCGCGCTTCCAACGTCCTCGACTGATTCAGCCCGACCCGGTACAGCGCACACATCGCAACCCATGCTTCGCAATTCTTGGAAAAACTCCTGATCCTGCTGTGTCTTTCCAGCACTTCTAGATAGAAATACTAGCGATCTAGCCCCCTTTTCGACGAGCCAGGTAGCGATAACCTTCCCAAGGCCACCCAAGCCACCTGTTAGCAGATATGAAGCAGTACTATTCAAGCGCAGCTCGGAGCGTTTAGGCATGCTTATGAGAGTCGAGGAATCTTCAGGTACACGGACAACCACCTTGCCAATATGGTTTCCGTCCTGCACTGCGCGGAATGCATCTTGGATGTCGCCTGCATAAAATACAGAAAGGGGATCGATTGGCTTTATGTCACCAGTTCGGTAAAGTTCAACACATTTCTTCAAGTCCCTATATAAAATCACCTGTTAGTATTTAAATGTGCATCTAATACTAAGTGTGACGAGAAAGTACGTACGCCCCAGCTCTCTGTGGCCTCTTCTGTGCAAGATGCGTCATATCGACACAGGAGTATGACCGATGTTCTATAAAGTTCCTCATCCGAAGCTTACCACCCTCGATGACGTCTCTCTTCCCGAGCTCGATCAGGGTACCGAACTCGGCAACACAGTCCCAGGAAGCATGCAATAACTCTCCAGAAAGGGAGTTAAGCACAATATCAGCTCCGCGACCATTAGTTTCGCGCATCAAATCGGCAACGAATGAATCGTCTCGTGAATGGAATATGTGGCTAGTTGGAATGCCAAATTTCTTTACAAGGTGTTCTACTTTTTCCTTGCTTCCGACAGTTGCAAATTTCTTTTCGAGCATCTCTATTAGTTCTACTCATGGAAGTCGGTTGAAACGGTTAAGACATACCTCTGCGCCAACCATTTGACAGATTTGGATTGCTGCGTGCCCGACACCTCCAGCCGCTGAGTGAATGAGAACAGACTGTAGCATGTTAGTTCCAGCGCTCGAGTAACAAAGAGACGAAATTCACTAGCCTGTCCCTTTTCTAGTCGCCCAATATTCAGGAGCGACTCTATCACCGTTGTATAACATATAGGCATAGAGGCTGCCTCCTCAAAAGTGAGATCGTCTGGTATCTTCGCGACAAGAGAAGCTGGCGTTTTAACGTGCGTCTTGAAGCATACATCTGGCGGCGTTGCCATTACACGATCTCCGATAGCTAAACCATCTACTTTTGCACCAACTTGGCGGACGATGCCGGCCAGTTCGAGACCTAATGGGACATTTTCTGTACTGGTCTTAAGAATACCCATCGCATAGAGAACGTCCTATTTTATTGTTAAAGCTAATTGGCGCAGAGGAATGGTCATATACTTACCTTGAAATTGACACCCACTGCCCGTGTCTCAATCATAACCTCGTCATCTCCAAGGCTACTCGAAATAGCTTCGCCGACCCAGTTGACATTCTCCAGGGATCCAGGCTTGTCAGTCTCTAATGCCTTCACCTCCTGAACCATAGCACCACTATCGTTCTGTTGTAGCTCTTTACAAACTGAAAACGGCTGGTATCGGCCAATCTTGACAACACCAGCATCGACAACATATTCCTTATCGGGTGCAAGCAAGTCGGTGTCTTCGATGCGTCGTATCTTACCGAGTACCTTCTGAACCAAGGTCGCGAATTGGGGTTCTGTGGGACTGATCTCTAGTGTATAAAAAGGCACCGAAGATTCAGCTCGAATAGATCGTGCGACACCGATGGATTGAGCGGATCGCGGGTCTTTGCAGTCTACTTGGGCTGGTCTGGTTAGCCATATTATAGAGCCTGACTTGTAGTCTTGTAATATCTGTTGGAACATATTTAGTCTTGCTGGCGAAATGTTCTCGAAAAAGTAGCCTTCTAAATCAAGAAGGGATACAATGTCTTGGTCGTGCGGTAGGCTTTGTCCCAATCGAAACACCTCTGCCGAAACACCAGAACTTGCAAGTTCTTCAACAAGAAGTCCCACTAGGTCTCCCTCAGGATCGTCACACAGGATTGATACTGGCGAGGGCGCCTTTTCAGAAGAGGCATTATCTTCTACTTTGGTTGATACGATAGCGGCACAATAGTGGTAAGGCTCAGCAGCATCGCGAAGTGCGGTGTCGACCCCGGAGAAACCGGTTGCCTTGAGCTCATCGTCCCATCGTTCGACAGAGACATAAGGCTCATAAGGCCGGCCATCTTCCTCGCCGAGCCACCAACCAGAGAAATTACCAAATATGTAATTTGGAGTCCGCACAACAGCGCACAGCTCAGTCAGAACGAGCAGTCCTCCTGGTCGCAGAAGCGGCTGTAAGTTTAGAAGCGTTTCACGCAGCGACGGTGTAGCGTGTACTACATTGGGTGCGAGCACGACATCGTAGGTTCCGGCCGTGAAGCCCTGATCGAATGGAGACTTCGAGATATCAAAGACCTTGTAGTCCATGTTGGGCGCATATGAAAATCGCTCCTTGGCTTGCGGGAAGAAGCCCGCAGAGACATCGCTGAAAGTATAGATAGAGTAGGGCGGATGGCCGTCCTCTCGCACGAGGGTCCGGAGGATCATTTCGGTGGTGCCTCCGGTACCCGCGCCGACCTCGAGGATGCGCATGTTTGGCCGCGAGTGGGATAGTAGCTTGAAGAAGTCTCCTTTTCCAAAACTAACGGCATTATAGATCTCTGTAAGGACATCGTCCTGCATTAAAGTCTCTAAAGTGTCTGTTTTACCCGTGAAGATGTCCTCGCAGTTATCGTATATCCGCTTGATACCGATGGCCACGGAGCCCTTTTCTGAAAGAGGCAATAGTTTTTGGTATCTTTCTTCGACCATTAGCTTTCTTTCTGCAGAGGCTAGTGCTACATATTCCCTGCAATACTTTAATAAGGGGTATGTCCCCTTCCTCGCGCGGTCTATCTCGAGCTCGAGCCAGTCGCGGAACTTTTCGAAGTGCCAAGAACACGGCTCAAGACCACGGACTCTATCAGCGGTTTCCAGCATGCATAAAAGTGTCATTTCTTCCTGCATCCTAGTCTCTTCCGGTATCGACCGGGGCGGACTGAATAACGTCGCGTGGTTGACCATATCGAAGTCCGGAAGCCACTCTAACCGAGCCGCTGCATGCGGCTCAATCTGTTGAGTGGTATCATTATCCATCGTCGTTAATTCGAGCCCACGTAGTCTTAGAGCAACTTTGCCGTCAGCAATGCAATCAATAGCGATGGACTTATGACCGTTGCTAGTCGCCACGGCATCCATCGTGGCGGCGCTTCTAGAGATATAAAGGTCCTCAATCGTAGTAGGCACTCTTAAATCGCCGAAATTTCGCCCAATGCCCTTTGCCAGCGCAACTAGAGCAAGCTGCAGACAGTTATCAATCCCTGCTGGATGGAATATGAAAGCCGGGTCTTCGTGGTGACGCGGAAGGCTGACCTTGGCAGTAGCCAGGTTCTTGGTGGTAGACGAAACGATATTTCGGAGCCCCTGAAACTCTGGCCCATACACAACGCCAATATTGTCCATCGTATCATACCATTTTGATTCGGGGATCTTCTTGATAAGCTCTTCATTACCTGGTATAAGAGGGGGCGAGGGCGATGGATCCGTGCTTGCTTTGATTTGTCCTTCGCAGTGCTTAATCCAAGCCGAGCCACTATACGATGTTATAGAAAACTCGAACCAGGCTGAATCAGCCTTGTCAGTCAATTTGGCAGGTCTTAATGTCGTCAACACCTCTACCGGATGGTCTGAGAGTACCATAGCTGACCGGGCTGTTGCGCGCTTCACTTGGTATCCTGCGTCAATACCCGTAATCTGTCTTATTGCTTCTCCCGCCATGGCAAGATACCCTGCAAATGGGAAGACAACATCTGAGCGGATTTTATGATCTGCCAGCCAAGGTTCATCTTCTAAGCTCAAAATATTTCGCCAAGAAGGTTCATAACTCGAACTTTCAGGGATGCGTAAACCGAGAAGACGATGGTGCCCAAATTGGCGGAAACGCCATTCCTTAGAAACGCGGGCTTCGTACCAGAAAGAGCCGCCGCTGTGGTCCCAGGCATAACGGGGGAGGTCTGTTAGCACCTTTCCCGACGGGAAAATAGCAGACCTGTCGATTGAAACGCCGCTCTGGAATAGTTGGCCAAGCGCCGAAGCTAGGCTGTGGGCACTGTTGGAACCCCTGATCATTGTGGGAATGTATTGAAATTGGGTTCCAGAATTTGATACGATCTGTCGCAGCGGTCCCGATAGTGTTGAGTGAGGACCGATCTCAACGAAGAGTCGTCCTAGACGTTGCTCTAGTATGCGCCGTACTGCAGAGTTAAAACGCACTCGTGAAGTCAAGTTAGCGATCCAGTAGTCCGGCCCAAGGTCATCACCATGCTCGATTACCCTTTCTTTTACGGATGAAAAGAATGGTACACTAGCCTGCTGGCGTGTAAGACCTTGGGACTTAAGTTCTTGCTCCATGAGCTCTCGGTACTTAAAACTTAGCCCCTTCATGTGGCCTATTCGATCGAGTTAGCACATAAGTATTGTCCTCAACCGACCGCGAGCGAGTTACTTACTTGAGTGGTAGGCCATGTCCACCTTAAGCTTCCTCGCAAGTACGTCGGGTTTGTCTACCTTAATCGCATTAAGAACATCTTCTAGCGCTCCTACGTCGCCAGAAAGCGTAACGCTACTGGGACTGTTATCACAAGCGATCACTACACCCTCCTTAACATATTTAGAGACATCAGCGACACCCAAACCCACCGCTCCCATCCCACCGATTAAGGTCTGGTCTCTTGTCACGTAACCTCGATAATATGCCGATATCAAGGCCTCCGCAAGCGAGATAGCTCCAGCCGCATAGGCAGCCGCGATCTCCCCACTAGAGTGGCCTACTACGGCTGCGGGTTGGATGCCGACTCTATGGAGGCTTCGGACAAGGGCAATCTGGACTGCAGTACAAAGGGGTTGGGCTAGTTCAGCGCTATGGATTTTACTCTTTTCCGGAGGCGCGAACAACTCGGCTATAATCAGTATTAGTATTAGTAAGTATAAGGCAACGTAGAATAAACTACTCTACCTTCAATTGACCACGACGGAGGATAAACAAGTGATTCAAGGAGACGGTCCATTTCCAAGATATCAGCTCTGAATCCTTCATCCGTGAGGAAGAGTTCCTTCCCCATTTCCGGCCATTGTGCTCCTTGTCCGCTGAATACCATCACGATGTCGGGATCGCCGACTGGCGCCTTTGCGGGGGCTGATTTTTCGACTACGGCGCCATCGCTGTCGATAACCATAAAGGCCCGGTGGGGCAAGATCTCCCTACGTCGGCCGAGTGTGTAGGCAATATCCTGAGCGTTTCCGGGATGCTTATCGACGTATTCTTGCAAGTTGTCGATATATGTCTTTAGGGATTCTTGCGTGTTTGCAGAGAAGATGGCCAGCTGGGCACGCTTTGGGCTAATATGTGTCAGGCCGTTTGATACGGGATGCGGGTTCGCTTCTAACACAATCTATAGAGGATTAGCTAACATTGGTTTTCCCTAGATAACCCAGGGACCTTTACTTACGTGAGCATTTGAACCCCCTATTCCAAAAGAGTTGATGCTGATTCGTTTCGCTCGGTCTTGGGGCCAACTTGTTGGCTCAATCGGGACCCGAAGCTTCCTACTGGAGAATGGGACTTCGTATAGTCAATATCATTGTAGGTGTAATCTTATGGATCAAGCTGAGACTTACTCTTGGGATTTGGCTTGTTGAATTTGATATTAGGTGGGATTATATCGTGCTCCAGCGCCAAGACCCCTTTAATGAGACTAGTAAGTCCTGATGCACCCTCCGAGTGGCCTACATTGGGTTTCACCTAGTAGCATAGCCAGTTAGCAGAACTTTTTTTTTTTTTTTTTTTAACATTTGAGCCTGATAACACTTACAGAACCGATATATACACCTTGAGAACCAAAGATATTCCCTATAGCAGTTGTCTCTAAGGGGTCACCGGTCGGTGTTCCTGTCCCATGACACTGAAGTTCATTGTATTAGCATTCTAACATTGTGTAAATAGACTGGTACCAATAGGAGCTAACCTCGACGAATGCTGTCTCATGTGGTAGAAGTCCAGCATCTGCGTAAACTTTACGCATCAAGCTCTCGTGGGCGGCTCCGTTAGGCGTCATCAGACCCTGACTCTTACCGTCGCTGTTAGTTCCGGTATTTCGGATGATAGCTCTGATTGGATTTCCATCACTGATGGCGTCGTCGAGAAGTTTGACATAAACAACGTTGATAGCCTCAGCTCTTGCAAATCCGTCAGCAGCGGCATCGAAGGTTTTGCAGGAGCCCTCGGGGGATAGAATGCCCTCCTCCGTCATCGCAGCCGTTGTTGTTGGGCCCATAATCATGTTGGCACCAGCAACAATTGCACCTGTACAGTCGCCATGTTGCAATGCTCGACATGCTTCGTGGAGTGCTATAAGTGAGGCAGAGCACCCAGTCTTAACTACCATACTATTAAAGGTTGGAGAATCAGTTATCTTATAAATATGAGGAAGAAAAGGAGTATAATAGAACGGCTAACCTGGGACCTTTGAGGTCGTATTCAAACGATAATCTGTTAGCAAGCATGAGATCGCCATGACCAGTCACTATGGACGGGGTTCCAAGTTAGTTATGAGTTATTTTACAAGGGAGGCAATGGAGAGCAATCTTCATAGGAATAGAGCCAAAATGTACGAACTCTAGGCATTACTTACTAATATATCCGCCCGAGTGTTGGGTTTCTTTGGCGCTGATTTGAAGCCAGTCCTCTCCAAAGGTACCGACATAACAGCCAATCAACTGGCCTCTATAGTCAGCTTCACCAGCGTTTTCGAATGCCTCCCGGATCACTTCAAGGAGCTGGCGCTGTTGTGGGTCAGTTCTCTCCAATTCATTCTTACTCATAGTAAAAAACGATGTGTCCAGCTTGCTGAGGTCCTCATCGAGAAAATAGCCATACTGAGTCTTTATGGCACCTTTCTTGCCATATTTATCAGTAAATGCGGATGAATTATACCGATTGGATGGGATAGGGCCTCTAGTATCTTTCTTGTTCACGAGAACGTCCCAGAAGGTATCAGCGTCTCGCACGCCACCGGGAAGACGCATTGCCATTCCACAGATGGCAATTGGTCGAGTTGCATTTTGCGTTCCGTTTGCTATTCCGTTGGTCGAACCAAGAAGCTCATAAGACTTGTGGTAGCCGTTGGTTCTCGGCGTGATGCCACTACCTAACTGCTGTTGAGAAGTTGAGTCTATGTTGTTGATAGACATCTTGAAGCAAATGTTGAATAGTGGTATAAAAGGAGGGAGGGAAGAGCCTTGACCAAGTAACAGGACTGTATATTTACCTACTGTAGCTTAGCAGTACTCGTAGGTTACAGAGTTATATGAAGTCTATAGTCAACTCAAGCTGGCATATAAATATTTCACAATCATTTACCCCATCTTGTATACCCGATATGAACGGTCTAGATCATTCTACGAGTTGCTATCAGAGAAGCCGCCATCCCACCTCTAACTATCATCCTCTAACTGGAAGCTATCACCACTATGCGGTCAGCTCACTCAGCTAGATCTGCAACGATATTCGTTATAATAATGCACTCATGAGGCAAAAGTGCTATTCCTTTATCTCGGCCCATGAAATTTCCTTAACTCCGGGAAAGGGGGAAAGGCCGGCCCTCGCAAACCTTAAGAGGCACACACGATGATGTTTTAGCCGCTCCCGTTGGCTCCTCGGGGTAAGCTCGTATTCGGTGTAATATTAATGTTCGGGGGTCGCATGTCCGGGGGTCGCCTGCTGGAGCGCCGTTGGTTCACTTTTACGCCGTTCTGTGTCACGCCATCTCGGGTGTGAGGCATGTTCTAGCCGCCGACACCTCCTTAACTCCATCGGTAAGTGTGAAGGATGCTTACCATTAGGAGTCGACGATCTAGAAGAGCAACAATCATTATACCTCAATATACGCAATTAGTGTAACTCCTGTTCGTGTAAAGTTGAATGTATATATTATATTATATTAGTTGTAAAGCTGAAATTCAACAAAGTGAAGGATCTACACATTGTATTTAGGAGCACGGCGTAAAGTTGTATATATTAGGTAGTTATCTATTTAACCTAGTATTTAGTATCAGTAATGATGAACTGACTGTTACCACTTAAAGCCATATACATATAGAAACACAACTTTAAAGTTTAAACAAACTCCGAAAAGGTCTACAAATAATATGACTATGACTATACTCTATAGTACCCTCCACTTACTGATGATCGACATGATCATGTGGGCATTATCACGTATGCAAACTACTTGCTAACTCAAGATAAGAGATATTTCAAAGCTGACGTGGCCTTCGGGAATTCGAAAATGGCCTGACCTGTCTGTATTGGGCGTAGGTTCTCCTTGATTCTTTTTCCGCGTTACCCGCTGCTTGAGTACTACTTGCGGGTAACAGAGGAGTATAAGGACTCCGTAATACGCGTTGTCCAGGATTGCATCAGTATCTCAGACACGTTGATTTTTACTTCCAACCCTACCAGATTACTTACATCAAATTTACGCCTGCACCATGGCCCAGACTACCCAGAACGAGTTTGAAACAGTTCCATTCCCCGAAGGTCTTCCTATCATTGACCTCCCGCGAGTATCTCTCAAAGGTCTGCTTGAAAACGACGAGGACGAAAGCCGTAAGGTATTCGAAATATCCATCAAAACCGGCTTCTTCTATCTCGACTTGACAGATCACCCAATTGGCCAGAAGCTCCTGCAGGAAGGCAACGAGGTGTGTCGAATTGGGCAAGAGGTGCTCCCTAATCTCTCGATGGAGGAGAAGCTTGCTTACAAGGCCCGCGATAGGTCGGGGGTATTCGATATGGGGTAAGAACTCTGATTAAGCTTTCTTACCTTCGGGATAGTAAGATGCTTGTATTGCTGACCCGCCGTGCCCGCTTAGATACAAATGCCCGAGCGTCGGGAAAAATGGACAGCCAAAGTTTAGCGAAGCCTTCAATGTAAGTCCACAGAGCGAAAGACTTTCTTAATCCCATTATTCTTACATGATAAGATCCCCTTCTACGAGTTACTCGTCGACAAGGAATCTGGATTCCAGCTGCCGCAATGGCTAGCGAATTACAAAGAACTCTTTGGCTCCATTATGGAGACGGGGAACTCTATCTGTCACATTCTTCTTGGAATTCTCGAGACGAAGCTTCAAGTAGAACCAGGTTCTCTCTCGTCTCTTCATAAGATCATCGAACCATCCAATGATTTCCTCCGTGTTCTGAGGTATCCGGCTCCCGAGCCAGGCGATGATCCTCGCCAATTCAATTTTCCGCCACACCGGGACTCTGTCAGTATCGCCATGCTCTTCACATGGGTTGCCGGTCTCCAAATACTTGAACCAGGCTATGATATTAATACTGCTATGAAGGGTGACGAAAGTGGCTGGCGCTGGGTAAAGCCAGTTGCAGGACATGTCATTGTCAATCTCGGAGACGCACTTGCTATACTTACCAATGAACACTTGAAGTCTGGGTTTCACCGCGTCGTAAGCCCTCCCAAAGAGCAAGCTCATCTCGATAAATACAGTGTTCTTCTGGGATATCGGCCCGCCCTCACTACTTTGATGCGTCCACTACCCAGTCCGGTTATACCGCCACTGACGGCGGAAGAAGCAAAGCTGCCCATCTTGACATGTGAGGAGTGGGGGGCTCAGAGAGTTCAGAAGGTATACCAAGTGTTGGAAAACCGTTAGGTGTATACATAAATAGCTAGTTACATAGCATCTTACTTTAGGCACCTAAATGAGAAGGAAGAAAAGGGGTAGCACAGTTATTTTCACAAGATACTTTCATTAACTATCCGAGATCTTACGATAATTTAATTTTATGTGAACGTAATGTAGCGTTTGTTGGCGAGAAAACTTGAACTTTTAATATAGTAAGCAGCTCGGATATAACTCGCCCTTACACGACGTGTAGTTATTTTGCATACATACCTACCTACCTACCTATACAATCACGGGACTTACACAAGATATATATTACCAGACAACCAACAATCTATGCATATAACCTGAACAGGTTATGAACTGGCCAATCGGGGAATTTATAGATCCTTAAAAGGGAATCCCTTTCTACTAACCTACAAATGTCATCATCGTCCACCGTAGCTATAGCCAATTACATTCTAGTGCAACCGAAGTCTGACCACCTCCTTTCTAGCTCTTAAAGCCCGACCCAGAGTTCAACGATTCTATCCCGACTTTCCTACGTGCCGCAATATAAGTGGATTCGAATCTTATTGTAGTTAAACCAAAACCGGTTCGATTTAGATTTTTCTTTAGGTATTACCGGGCGTTAAAGGTGGCTTTATCTCCGTTATAAAACGGCGTGTTCGATAGGGCTTTCCTTAATTAAGTTGGCTATTTGGCGCCGGCGCTAATTAGGTAGAGTAATGTTATAGGCAAGTAGGGGCTGGGGATGCTATAGGCAGGAAGTGGAGGATTTCTCATGTTAGGCGAAACTCTAGCTCTGTCTTCCTTTGGGAGGTACTTTAGCTATAGCTGCCTAGCTTATATCCACCAATAGACATTAACGTTCTCATCATCATTATTATCATCATTATCAACCTACGCGTATGTCTATCGTGATTAGCGAATCCTAATATGATATATTAAGAGGGGACAGACAAAAAAAAGAGGCGTAGATATCCCGAATTATTTCCCAGAATTAATGGAAATAATATAGTTTACGACGGCTATACGAGATCCTCTTTTCCTCGGATAGACTATAGAGAGAATAAGCTTGCAGCACTATCAGTCGATGTTGAATTGATGGCATGAGTAATGTAACGAATGTAATCGAACTAGCTATACCTATCTAAGCCATGCTTCCATGTTATACGAGAAGTCATACGAGAACTGAAGCCTCGTTGCCAGGTGTGGGCCGCGCCCTAGAACGGAGACACCCCATATACTCCCAACACCTTTCCAACGTCAGCGTCTCTTTCCCCTTTGATAACTGACGCCACACGCTCGCCTCCCTCCCATGGTTCGGCGGCATTCCTCTTCCGCAACGAGACGGGATCCCCGGTGAAATTGGTGGCACAAAGTCCAGGATCTGCCCCAAATACCAAAAAGCCCTCTGGCTTCAAACGAGCACAATACATAGCCATCAACATGTTAACGGCGGCCTTGCTAGTACGGTACTCCGTTCCTAATGGGTTGTAATACGGAGAACTAGGATCTGCCGCATGCGTAATCGAGCCCATGCTTGAGGTGACGAAAACAAGGCGAGGCGGTTTGTAGACTGCCTTGCGCAACAGGTCCAAAAACGCCTCGGTGACGCTTAACGAACCAACAACATTGGTCTCCAAAACATGCCGAAAAGCCTTGCGAGTCGGTGGATTAGCGGTGGATATAATCCCCGCGTTATTAACAAGAACGTCTAGTCTGCCGTACTCGGAGACCACACGCGCAGCTGCGGCGTCGACTGTCTTATCATCCGTGACGTCGATCTGAACCGCAGAGACAGTACCCTTAACACCGTGTACGGCTTGGATTTCTCTAGCCGCTGCTTCGCCTTTAGAGAAATCCCGACTTCCCAAAATCACATGGTATTCCTCAGAGGAAAGAAGTAGATTCTTTGCTGTCTCATAGCCAACGCCCTGGTTCCCCCCTGTGTCCTCGGTCTTAGTGGATGATCCTAGAATAAAATATATCTCGGCCGACTGACTAACCTGTAATAAAGACAATCCTCTTCCCTGATGAAGCCATATCTAATTTGGTAGTAAGACTTAAGATTTTCAAAATGCGGTCAACTGGGGATTCCTCAGGACATGGCTCGAAAGGATTTTTGGCTACGCCGGGTTATTTTAATATCTCTAATAGACAGAGGAAGCATCTCACATGATAACCGTGGTAACGTCGTGTAACACGGTAGATAAAAGGTACCTGGTTATGTCCGAGGCGTTTTGCGCTTTTAACCCCTTTTCACGGAATTTACAAGATATAACCCGGATATAAACCATAAAGCCAAGAAATTAAGTCCGAAAATCTGAAGACATTGAAGTATCTCGATACTTGGATTACGTTGACTGATTCGGACTTGGAAGAAAGACAACAGCCCGAAATAGACAGGGGTGTAAGAACACCGCCGACTTTGCCCCAGAGGAAGTCATACTAACTTGAAGATGGGGTCATTCAACGATGTAGCTGAAATGCTATTGTTCACGAGACTCCCTGGGGCTCTACAAACCACGTGCAAACGGTTGGGGGCCAGTACCATAATAGTAGTAAATAAAAATGGCGATATATGAAGCCAAGAAATCGAGGGATTCTTTGATATCATCACAGAAGCTATATGTCACTTGATCTATACACTACGAGCAATGAAAACCTTTACGATGAAGATAGGCCTCTACGCCATGGCGCTTTTGCTCGGAGTGAGTAATGCAGCACCCTTCGAGCCAAGGCAGGAAAGGACTAGTGATTCAACGAGGCCCTCAAGTAACTATTTTGGGCTCGCAGGTCAGAATAACACCTTCGACTACGTAGTAAGTAGCAGAAGCCCCTATTTGAACCTATGCTGCATACATAAGTATTGTTATTTGTTACTAACGGGCTTTCGACACTAGATAGTTGGTGGAGGCACGTCTGGCCTTGTAGCTGCTATGCGTCTCTCTGCCAACGGCAAATATTTCGTCGCCGTTGTAGAGGCCGGTAGTTTCTACCAGACGGCCGGAAACGTAACCGAGATTCCCGCCTACGAGTCAGAGTTCTTGGAAGTACCTCCCACAGTTGAATGGGGGATAAACACGAAGCCCCAAGCGGTACGTTGTTCATAAACTAGATTCGACTCTTCCGCTCACATAATTCCCCTGGAAGCAAATAGGTGGTCGTTCAGTTAGATACTCTCAGGGTAAAACCTTCGGGGGTTCGTAAGTAGCCCAGCATCACCCAATTCGGAAAGAAATATTTGAGCCAGATCTAACATGCACAAGCTCTGCGCGTAATGGAATGGCCTATCAACGGTATGAAACTATCTGGCCCTGAGGGCAAAAGTCGTGATGGTAGTATTCTAACCAATGGTACTCACATTAGAGGCACAGTTAGTTCCTACGACCGTTGGGCGGACCTCGTGGGAGATACCAGCTACTCCCTATCGAACCTTCTGCCGTACTTCAAGAAAGGCGTCCACTTTACACCACCAGATATTAGTCTCCGAGGTGGCCCCTCAGTAGCCTTTGATGCCTCAGCATTCGACGCTTCTTCAAGCGGTCCTCTGCATGTCTCGTTCTGGAACTACTACGCCCCCGTGTCCTCCTACATTGCCCGCGGACTGGAACTCCTAGGGTTCTCAGAGACGAGCCAGATCCAGAGTGGAAGTCTACTGGGATATGCCCAGTTCCCGGCGACGTTGCATCCCGATAAGCAGATTCGTGACTCGTCCCAGACGTCTTACCTCGATGCTGCGATAGCTGCCAACACGTTTTCCAACTTGCAGCTCTATCCGGACACGTTAGTGAAACATATCCTTTTTGTAGGGAATAAGATGGCTACCGGCGTGCACGTCAGTACTGCTGGAGCGGAGTACGTACTCTCGGCACGCAAGGAGATCATCGTGGCTTCAGGTCCGCTCCGCTCTCCGCAACTTCTCCTGGCGTCTGGCATCGGACCAGCTGAGACTTTACAGAAATTCAATATCCCTATAGTGAGCGCGCTGTCAGGGGTTGGTCAGAATCTGATCGTACGTATATTTCTGATAGCGTTCACATTCCCCATATACGTACTTACTGCGAATGACTTCTAGGATCACCCCGGATACGGTACTTTGTTCTCCGTCAACGCCGAGTCTCAGCACCGATTATTCAATAACGTTACGTTCGCCAATGAAGCATATAAGGAGTTTTACTCTAGCCGATCTGGCGCTTTGACCGCATTCGCTAGTAATTACCTCTGTGCGTTACCCTCTCCCCCTTTTTCTTTACTAAGAACAGACGCTTTGCTGACCAGTGCCATTGCAGTGTGGGAAAAACTCCCTAACAACACACAACTAAGCAACGAGACTCGTGAAGTGCTAGACTCTTTCCCTGCCGACTGGCCCGATATCCAATACATCTTCAACACCGCCGGACCTGCTGATACTACCCCAGGCGACCTCCTAAGCTTGGGCGTGGTAATACTTAAGCCCTCGTCTGTCGGCTCGGTAACCCTCAACAGCTCTTCGGATACAGCCGAAAATCCACTGGTAGATGTAGCTTGGTTTACTACTAAAGCGGACCGGGAACTGGGCATAGCAGCCGTGCGGCGGCTCCGCCTATTTGCAAACGCTACGGGTGTACTTCAAAGCGAATTGTCACCCGGAACCGCCGTGCAAACAGACGAGCAGATCCTAGAGTTTATCAAGGGTGCTGCCAGTCCTAGTCACCATGCTGCTGGTACATGTGAGTTTACCCTATTTTTCTTTATAGCCCTATCTTCTAGAACAGAGATTATGAGATATTGACCTATGTAACTTGTGAATAGGCAAGATGGGCAAGTCAAGCGATAAGTCCGCGGTGGTAGATACGCACGGTTGTGTGATGGGCGGCGTGTCTGGCCTTCGCATAATTGATGCCAGTATTATGCCGGTACTTTTACCCGGACAACCTATGTCGACAGTTTGTAAGTTCTACATAGTCGTGTTTCACCACCTTGTAGCCGCAGGTAGCTTTCAAAATTACATGGCTAACAGTGTCTCCTTCTGTGTAGATGCGATTGCGGAAAAGCTCTCTAATGACATTTTATCAGGGCATCAATGCTTCAGTTCGGAGTAAGCTATTTAAAATAATAACGTTCTGTATTTTATCAATGCCGTTAGTGTCAGGGTTCTAGATGAGACATCTAGAACAGAGGACGTGTTCAGTATGTATAGGTAGACACAGGCTTTCGTAGATAGATTAGAGTTCCTCGCGGAACAACGAAGTTGTTTCCCTACTGTTCAGTTCCACCTCGTGACAGTTAGCATAATTACTAGTAATCTTTAATAGCAAGGACAGAACTCTACAGTCAGTCAACTATGTGATCAATTCAACTCAACATACGATGGCTTCAAACGGAGTTGATTTGGGAAGTTAAGACGGGGGCTATAGAGTTAGACTTAATAAGCACCTCCTAGGTAGCTTTACAGCATGTGTACATACATGAGTGAAATTCAATTGAGTTGATCCCAGCCCTGAGAATAAGTTAATTCAGGCATGGTGGAATACTTAGCCACGGTAGATTGACCACAGGTTAGACCTTTCGAGTTTAGAGGAGATGTGACATGATCAGGCCGCCTAGTCAGAACCTTCTGGTTGTCAAATCCGTATGAATGATCATTTCATAACATTCTTTAGAGCTGTGTTGTCCTTCGTAATCCTGGCCCATTCCAAGCTCTTTCTCCAGACTCTTTGCTGTACGCTCTCATCCATTGTAATAGGGTCACTGTCATCCTTCTGCAGCAGGGTAAAGTAGCCATGTTCACCCTGATATGCCTCATCTACTGCAAGTTTTATAACATCCTTGGCCGCCTCGGCTGATGAGCGGAATGTCGGATCGGCTAGGTATTGGATTATTGACATGAATGGTTTGAGGACGAATTTTTGGGCTAGCTGTATGGATCGAGGAGTATTAGAAGTAAAGGCACGCGAATCGCCGAGTCCACCTGGGTTGATAGCTACGGCGGTGATGTTCTTGAACTTTTGGTTCTTGGAGCATAGGTTATTAAATATCTGACTTGAAGCGACGGTTTTATGCGTCGTATGATAAAGCTGAGACTTACTTGCTGTAGGTAACGGTTAAGGGGGTACATCCAAGTCGTGATTACAAGCTTGGAATTCGCGTACCGTTGAAAGCCACGGTCCTTCTTGTCCCCGCTTGCGGGCGGGTGATTGAACTGATCGATATCATCAGGAATATCAGGCAAATAGGACGTCATAGCATTCGGTTTGCGATAGTGGGCAATGCTTGAGAAAAGCACGATAGAGCCGTCGGAAGCGAAGCTACCAATGAGTCGCAACACGAGGGCGACATGCGCGATATGGTTAATCTGTAGAGTTTTGTCATAACCATCTGTTGTAAGCTCGGAATCGCCGACGAGGTTCCAATATGCGGCACAACATATGATAGATTTAAGGGCTGGATACTCCCCAGTCTCAACGGCTTTCGATATCTTGCTAGCGAATTCATGCACTGCCGAAAGATTTGCTAAGTCAACCTGATAAATCGAAGTCTTCGCGTCTGGGTAACGCGCGATAACTTGACGTAAGTTCTGTGTATTGCTATCGGCCTCGTCGGCATTCCTAACAGTAAAAATGGCAGTAAATTAAGGGTGCTCTTTGAGAAGCTGTTCGGCTGCGGGAATGCCAACCGAGCCGTTAGCTCCAGTAAGGATGACAGTGCCAGCCATGTTGAATGATTAGGGCGAGGGCAATATGACAAGAGGAAACTCGATGGACGACGCTGTCTACAATGACTCACATATGATGAAGTTGACAATGAAGATGAAGGGATATGAGGTAGGACAAAGAATTAAGAACTCCTCCAACAACCGATAACCAACAACCAACAACCAACACCTAATGTCGCACGGCCTCCACAATACGGAAGGTTATAAACTAACCGCAGCGAGCCCAACAAGTCAATTAAAAGCTTGACCTGACTTAAGCCTGACCTCATCAGTTTTAGGTAGATCTTATTTTTACCGTATCTATACGAGTCAACATTTAAACCTTTTTTTTTTTTTAACTTACTCCCTTCATCCTAAAGATGCCATGAGATTATTGCTCCTTGGCGTAAAGAAAAAGCGGATCAAGCAAGTCATTGCCACTTATGCAGCAAAATACTCAAACCAACACCAGCAATCCCGCCGATATGACAGGTAATCAACCTCCCACCATCGATGCGTTAAGACTTGATCTATATATCGTTGGTCTTCAGCTATTTCTGATGCCCTCTTCAAAGCGTTACATTAATCGTCATTGTTGACTTGCTTGAGGAGTTCTTCAAGAACTAACCCAAAATCAGAAAAGTGTCGAACTAGAATCTCCTGTTCCGGCCTTATGCCATTCTTTACTCACAGGTATATAATTTTATCTAATTTCTCATCGAAACATGATTTGATGGGGTGGAAGTCACGTGAATAAGCGTCCAGTGCTGGAGGCTTGCGTGCCAGTTTTTCGTGGTTTGTACATAGGTACTTTATAGATGAGGCAGAGCATCCGGTATCAAATACCATACTATATATTATAGGTTAATTAGAATATTAGTTCTCTCACAAATATGGGAAAGACAAAAGTGTATGATGCCATTACCTTAGGTAGTTAACTACTAACAGATACGATGTTAATAACTAGTCCAAGTCAGTATTCTAAACACATGCGCTACAGTGCTAATATGTCAGGAGAAGCTAAATTGCATCTCCGTGTCCGTGTGCGGGGGACAAGATGAACCGAGCCGGGGTGCCGGATTGGCAGGAGCGATATTAAGCCGGAGCCGGAGCTCAACTTACTGTGAAGGTCCAATGAAGATTAGCCGCCTTACCGTATACGGCAATACCTGGGTACGTACCCTACGTTGCGATTCGGTATGGCGACACTCATCGCTTGCGCTTTCTTCCTATATATTGGGAGTCGAGGTGTATTTAAATATTACCTGTGGTATCGTGTTCGTCGTGTTTTTTCTATGCTAGTCGTAGTCACAAAATTTGTATAAAATCATTTATTTCGCACAAGCTGTAAAGATGTCTACCCCAAAACGGACCGTCCTCATCACCGGCTGCTCGGACGGCGGCATGGGTAGCGCCCTCGCAATCGCTTTCCACAAAGCCGGCTTCTATGTCTATGCTACAGCACGAAATCCGGCTAAAATGACAGAGCTTGTGTCGCTGGGGATTGATACGCTCCAGCTGGATATACAGTCGGAATCCTCAATAGCCGATTGTATCAGCAAGGTACCGTCGCTCGACATTCTTGTAAACAATGCTGGGCTCCAGTTCCTGATGCCGATTGTCGACATTAACATCGCCGAGGCAAGAAAGTTGTACGATTTAAACGTATGGGGCCATATCGCCATGATCCAGGCTTTTCTGCCGCTACTGCTCAAGTCCTCTAACGCCGTCATCATCAACCAGACATCGATCGGGGCTAACCTTGCGGTGCCATTCCAGGCCGTCTACAATTCTTCCAAAGCGGCTCTTGCTATGCTTACAGACTCCCTCCGGCTCGAGCTTCAACCCTTTGGGATCAAGGTCGTCGACCTGAGGACTGGGATCGTCAAGACTAATTTGATCAAAAACTTACAGGACAACAGCAATCCCAAGCTTCCTAAGGGTTCGATATATGAGCCCGCCAAGGAAGTGGTAGAGAAGGCGCTGCGCCAGGAAGGGTTCGAGGACAAGGGCCTGCCAGCGCATCAGTGGGCAGAGCTGGTGGTGCGGGACTTGCAGAAAAGCAATCTGCCTGCAGTTATCTGGAGAGGGGAGTCGGCATGCTTAGTGCGCACTCAGACGGTGTTACCATCTGGGCTGCTCGATGGTGTGGTTAAGAAGATGGTCGGGTTAGACGTCGTCGAGCAGATGGTGAAGAAATGAGAGCTTCATTTCCGGGATTTAATGCGCTGCGCCGACGGCATTTCGATAGGTCCTAAAGAAGACATGGAATCCCCTGCATCGGCAGTCCTTTATTGCTTACTTCTAATCATGTAGGATAACGGGAATTGGATTATACGAAATTAACAATCTGGACATGAAAAGTCCTAGGTTAATATAATCGCGGGGTGATGCATATTTCATCCCGTCCGTGTTTCATTTATGTTGTTACGCCAAGACTCAGTGCCCTGTACGATTCGAAGAAGGAAATGACAGCTAGAAGTAGTCCATGGTCACATTGTCTTCATATCACGTACTCTGTAAACAAGCTTTCATTAACCGTCATTCGCTAGGATTAAATTCGCCCGTAAAGGGATTCTAGAAAACAACATGAGCAACATGAGAATGAGGGGGTCCTTATCAAATTGTAAAGGATCTACGCAGGCAACGTTGGGCATTAAGAAATACCTATCCGTCTAGGTAAAGTTGGACCCCTGCCGGAAGGATCTAAAATAAGAGCCACGAGTAAGCTGCGTCGGCCGAGTTGCATATGCACGTATGGCAGAGCTCAAAAATAAGGTTACGGCGTGGATGATAGACCAACCAAGAACCGTATAGACCCCAGATCAGGGATTACCGCGGCTCTTCAAAAGTCCAGAAGCTTAGAATTCTTATTATAGCAAAGCAAGATCATAACAAAACTTAGTCAGAAGATCATTACGGTAACAATCCCTAGGGCCTAAAGTAAATCTTGGGTAGACCACGTAGATGCAGATGGGTTCGGTTCCGATCCTCCTTGTTGTCATCATCTTAAATTTCTAACCTACATACCTACCTAGAGGAGGGTTACTTTCAGACCGCTAATTGTTGCCATAGGTACCGCGTCTGCATGGGACCCGTATCTCGACTAACATAACGCTTACTCAACCAATCACCATGCAATATATACGCCCGACCGAACTTTAGTGGGTCGTCGGCTTTGGCGCCGGTCCGGTGCGGAACCTCGAGAATGTACCCTTTTATCAACGAATCATTCAGGCTTCATAACCTTAAGGTGGTAACATTGGAGCTTACTGAAAGCTATATTTTAGTATCATGGCCCCTTTGAATTTGAGTTGGCTAAATTACCTACCTACGCATAACCTCAAAGACAATGCTCGAGTACCGAATCGGCATTATTGCTTAGCGGCCTAGATACGTGAGTTGTCACTTAGGAATCCGATTGCATGGCGCAAGACCCTAGGCGGACCACTCTCAAAAAATACCTGATCTGCACAGGATTTTGTTCAGCCGCTCGGGGACGTCTAGGGCCTTTATCCCGAGAACTCTTGTCTTCTCACGCAAGACGGGATAAATACAACTAACCTTGCAAACTAGGTATTTCGCCTTCCCAAGTACCGGTTAGCTACTAAAAAATCCATTCGTAGACAGCTCAATCCTAGTATTATTATCTCGTGGTGCCCATCTCAATTCACATAGCTTCCTAACTTGTTGGTTAACCATGTCCTTGAGTACCTTGGCTATTATACCTCCTCTGACTAGAAATTATTCCGATCAAGACATCGACGAACCTCTGGGGTATTCCGTTGGTCCCAAATGACATAACTTGGGTTTGGGTTTCCATGCGTACCTGTTCTGTGACTAGATTCTTCGCATTTGTCTTTTCCTCTCGGGAACTAGCAAGCGTTCGCGACATTGCTAGATATAGATATAAGCAGCTAGATCGTATAGGATAGTTAATAGAGATATAGATCTTACACTGGGCTCGGGTAGTCCGCAAGTAGACGGACCGGGCCAATATCTTCAGGGTGCGGGATAAGGGGTACTGCTCTTAATCCGAAGACACGTATCTTTGATGCTTCATCATACGGCCGAAGACATAGTAGCTCTTAACCCGTGCCATGCGCCACCTGCCCACTTTCCCCCGGGAATTCCTCATATCAAATCTCGGCAGTTTCAAGGAAGCTTGGAAGCTTTATACTAGCGTCACTTGTATGTATTCATCGTATTTAGTCATCTTGAGTAATGGGGGCTTTAGCAAAATAAATACCTTAGGTACTCTTTACAATAGCATTGGGGCTTTTGCTTAGTAAGTACTGAGTTTAGTCTAGTCCCTTATTCAACGGGTATTTTTGTTTATACGTCAGCTTACATTAGTGTTTTTTTGCGCTGTCTTCTTATTCGGTAGAACGTATTGTGAGTTGCTATTTTAAGCGCGATCCTATATGTGGGAAAAGTAAACTAAAGATGCGTCGGTCGAAAACTCAACAATGCATACACTGCGCATTGAAAAGATATCTTTGATCTTTCTGATCGACTAGCTTCCATGTGGGTTCCGAAGTATTGTTCTTGTGATCGGCTGCACTATGATCAGACTATGATGGTAGGTATATACAGTGTAAATATTGATAAAAGCGTCAATAACCGATTCGGTATTCGTCCCTACTGGATGATTCTATAGTCCGTTTGGGCTGTGATCAACTACCACGACCCTCACTTGGCGGCCAGCATCACTCTCCTTCCATCCACATGGTCTGCATCGATTTGTATGCGTTCATTCTTTCTTTTCTAAGATCCGTGCTAATATACGAAAGATGCGCAGCTATTGGATAAGCAAAAGCCACATCGGGAGGCCGGATACAAAAGTCCAGCATAGGAAGAATGCTATGTCTAGAAAGCGTATACTCCTCGGCTAGAATATTCATCCGAGTTGAACTAGCGCAAGCGTGTTTATATGTGATATCGGTACTTTGGGAGAACCTTAGTGTCCGTATGGGTATACTATTTATTATTTGCCTATTTTTATTCGCTTGATAGCCTTACCTAACTCTCAGCTCAACAACCCCCCTCCCCTGGTGCCATGTGCGGGCGATGCTGTGCCTGGAACCAGCATTTCGTCCGTTCCTCCCCCGACCACTTGAAACCACGCGCTGCATGTCAGCTTACTAGGAACCCGATTCAGCCACGCTGATTCGCACATGGTTCTTCTTAATCCATTTCGTTCATGGTAATTAGTCACTTTTTGGTACCAGATTGTCTCCAAAGCCACACGGAATTTGACTTTAATATGTTAGGCTCCTAGCCTCTCCGATTTGTTTTGTTCTCTTCACCGTGTAACAATACCGATATTTCTTTTCTCGTTCGTTTCTTTCTCTGTATGCAAGAGGGTAGTCACAGGATCTAATTCACGATGGCTTCATATCCTTCCGTGGCGGCGGGCCCTGTCCCGTTTTCGATGGACTATAGTGGATACATATCGACCGACGAGGACTCTATGGTTACTATTGCCCCTCCGATGCACGAAAGAGAAGATGTGGAAATACTCAAGGACAACCCGCCGTTTAAGCCAGACAGGAATTTTATTCTTGCTTTCATTTCTATTTGTATTATCACTTTAGCAGCCGCCCTCGACGCGACGTCTCTTAGTATCGCCCTACCTATCATTACCGAAGATCTTAAGGGATCGGCCATCGAAGCATTCTGGACAGGAACGTCATTCTTACTCACCTCCGCCGTCTTTCAACCCGTTATTGCCGGTTTAAGTCATGTTTTCGGAAGGAAGAATCTTCTCATTATATCATGTTTTTTATTTGTCGTGGGAGCTATCATCTGCGCCGTTGCCAGAAACTTTACCGTGATGTAAGTAGGATTTTGGGCGCCATGTTGTTGTTGTCCCGACTGCAAATAGCTAACATAGCGTGTCTAAGGCTCGCGGGAAGATCTGTCCAAGGTATTGGTGGAGGTGGTATATTAGCACTAGGTGAAATCATCGTTACGGATCTGGTCCCACTCGTCGCTCGAGGCAGTACGCATTAGTCCTCTTCCCTCTAATTATATTACGCTAATATAGTTCAGCTTGGTTCGGATATCTCGGTTCGACATGGGCGTTAGGTTCCGTGGCTGGACCTTTGTTAGGAGCAGTTTTCGCTGAAAGCGTGGCATGGCAGTGGAGTAAGTGAATTTCAAAATCATCTTATATTAGCAGTTTTTAACTCCGTATATCATAGTCTTCTGGATTAACCTGCCAATTGTCGGCGTGGGGATGGTTCTTCTCATCCCTTTTCTCAAGCTTGAATCCACACCCGGAAAATTGTCCACTAAGTTACGCTTATTCGACTGGATTGGATCAATCATTTTCGTGGGCGCAACCGTAGGCTTCCTAATTCCTGTCACATGGGGTAAGAGTTTTTATTAAGCTATTCTATCCTCGTCTATTATCTAACACTGTTTTCAGGCGGCGTTATGTATCCTTGGGACCACTGGCGAACAATAGTTCCACTGTTCGTTGGATTTGACGGTATTATTGCATTCGCTATTTACGAATGGTGGCTTTCAAGGAGAGCATTTGACGCCGAGGGAAATCTTCTGCCAGGTGAACATGTCGAACCTATTGTTCGCTTCACTATTTTCAACAACTACACGATGCTGGTTACATTCCTTTCGACCATTCTACACGGAGTGGTTGTCTGGTCTCTTCTATATTTCCTACCGCTATACTACGAGGCCGTCAAGGAATATTCGCCGATTATTTCTGGTGTCGCCATCCTTCCAGAGACGGGTCTAGTCGCTCCCGTGTCCGTCATTGCGGCTGTCCTTTGTACAAGATTTGGAAAATACCGTTGGGCTCTCTGGTCAGGTTGGGTCTGTACGACTGCTGGCTCTGGACTTCTTTTCATACTTTCACCCGATACATCTGTTCCCGGTTGGATTTTCCTTAACTTTCTCGTCTCGATTGGAACTGGTATCCTGTTCCCCGCAATGAGTCTGGGTACTCAAGCCGCATCCCGTCCTCAAGATTCTGGCCACACGGCGGGTTTCTTTTCTTTCCTTCGTGTCTTTGGTCAGGCCATAGGTGTCGCTGTCAGTGGTGTCGCATTTCAAAACCAGCTCCAGAGCGAGCTGCTGAATTACGAAGAGTTTGCCCCTGTTGCAGCGCAGTACAGCAGGGATGCTACTGCACTAGTTGGTATCATTAAAGCGCTACCGGACGGAACCACGAAAACGGACTTAAAGCAAGCATATTCGGACAGTTTACATGTTATCTGGCTGTTGATGACAGTGGTTAGTGGTGTGGCGCTGCTGACCAGTTTTACGACAAAAGAGTACAGCTTAGAACAGGAGCACGACACGCGTCAGAAGTTTAATGGTGGGAAGAACAAGGAGAGCATGTCTGATTTAATGCTACGATGATAGAGATAAACGCATAGGGAGCATAGGTAGCATTGGAGACTCGAGTCTAGATATACTACATAGAAGGATGCATCTGGGCAGCATGACGGAGTTATTGGTGCCTAATTACTAGGCGGTCAGGGATCACTTTATGTATACTAACTGGCAAGATAGTAAGGAGGTAGTCATAGAAGATGATTACGAGACTACCTTGAGAATCGATTATAATACATCAATTAATATCGATCAATACTCGCAATGTTTTATTACTATTCTGTAAAGTTAGTTAAAATTCTAATAGTATATACTGAATAAAACTTCAACTTGTTACTTGGGATATAAATAAGTTTCAGATGTGAATGATAGGTAGACCATGTAGTATATTGTATTGATATAGTAACGCCTGGCCTTCTATCCATTTACGAGGGCGCTGTGCGCCCCTTATATAATAGATAGACCCCTATAGATACCCCTACCCACTTATACCCTGACAGAATGCCATCTTGGCTCTCTATAATATATGTAGTGAATGTTGTGTCACGAGGTGGACCAAGAAACTAGAAAGCAACTTCGTTGTTCCGCGAGGAACTCTAACCTAACTACGGGAGCCTATGGCAGCGAATCTAGGTGTAATAGCACCCTACCTAGGCCAAGTGCCGGAAAAATTGTGTCCTCTCATAGGGGGTTCACTCCTAAGATTGTATAGACAAATGCCGTACGAAAAAAGGACGACCAAAGCCCAGAGAGATCCATATTAATTTCCGATTTTGTATCAGTAAACTCCGTCAATGACCCCTGCGATTGGACACGAATTGATCCAGATATTCAAACAATATCATGAATCCGGACGTTCTCTAGCGAGTTTGGTCCATTGGCCTTTACGGATAAACTTGTCGCTGATGTTTTTGGTTTAACTATGTGGCTGTTGATCAGAGCAATATCTAGCTCTAGAGCTCTGTCAGAAGGGTAGTTATTCACGGTGCCTTCCGACCTTGAACCTCGCAAACTAAAGACTCTCGTGGCACTTTTCATAATGGGTGCCCGTGACAAATGCCTAAACAAGAATTGAAGAGTGGGAAGACAAGCGGCAAAGCAGCCGACGCCATACTCCACAATTCCCCAATAGAGATATTCAGTGACGACAACCATATAGATACCTATCTTCCAACGTACACATAACCACATATGTAGAAGTAACAGCGGGGGTTATGCTGTATCTCCACAGCCTGCTTCATTAAAAGGTTCCTAATAAGACATGTTGGTAAAGACGGCATCCCCCCACTTCCTCATGAAGCTGAAGGTAGCTGATCATCACATCCAACAGCATAACATTTAGGTTGTTGGTTAATATGTTTTGATCGAGTAACATGATTGGTACGGCGGTATATGTTCGTGCATGAGCTATCCAATTTATGGCAGATTCACTTAGCTCGTATCTCCCTGAACTTGTATAACGCATCCATCTTATGCGTGTCTAAGTCCAACCCAACAATAAAATCCCATCTGTGCGCCAAGACTTCGCGTAGCTTCTCAGGATCAAGGCCAGCATACGTATCCTGTCCGCAAAGAATCATCCCAGTTCCCCGACTAGAATCAATGATTCTTTGACAGCGTGGTCTTCTGATCACGTCGTAAGCCTTGAATGCCGTAGCTACTTCTGTGGAAGATGTGACGTTTTTAAAAAGCGCCTGGAGAACCATGACATCCTCAAAAGACATGGCCACACCCGAGCCTTGCCATGACGTTGTGGCATGGGCGGCGTCGCCGATCACACATACATTACCATTCGCATAGGTCGGTGTAGCTTTGTGTTCCCATTGAGAGTAACCATATGGCTCTTCTTGATCAAGTGAAAGCTATCAACAGAATAGATTGAGTAAATGCCACTGACTTAGGTACCCTACATACCTCTATTATTCCGTTCGCAATCGGGCCATCAAGCCAATTCTTCAGTGTTTGTGTCAAGGTCTCTCGGGTCAACTTGCGTTTTCTGTCCTTTGTTGGCGTATGATCAATATGTTCAATAGCTGATATAATGCATTGCACCATAGTTCCGTTTTCAAGGACATCGTGCATTATAAAACTGCCATCTCCAACCCATCCATATTGCCGATAGGATGTAAATAACTCGGGGCCGAGCACAGCTTTTGCTTTCTCGATTGGCACCAAACATCTACAATCCCAAAAGCCTGCTTGTGATGCCGCGAATTTGTCGGCTTCGCCTTGAAGAACGTACGAGCGTACCGTGCTGAAGATACCATCTGCGCCAATCACTACATCAAATTCTTCCGTGTCTCCGTCTTGAAACTCGACTTTGACAGTGCCTGTGGTAAGTGAGGGTTTGATCGTATCAAGTTTCTTATTAGTAAACAGGGATTTTTCGGGCAATGGTACAATAAGTTCACGAAGCAATGAAGCCCGGTGGACAATCACACCGGAATCATCACCGGAGGAGTCTATAACGATTTGGCCTGCATTTGGTCCTGATCCCTATAACAGGGTCAATCTTAATGGTAACAGGGTGACTTACGAGAACCTTAGGTACTTACCACAATACTACGAACAGAATTCAAAGGAACTGCTCCTGCTCTTTTCAAGAGCTCCTGGCATCCCGATGGAAGTATGTGTTCTAGTGCTTGCTGCGCATTTGTATCTAGTCCGATAGCTGCGCCGCGCTCCGAGAAACTTGGGGCAGACTCGTATACATGAATATCAAAACGTGGAATTTGTATGAGGGCATTCGCGGGCGTTGCTCCGGCAAGACCTCCGCCAATTATGGCAACACGGATTTTAGAAACGCTTTCATCTGCCATTGTGTAGGGTACCTAAGTTATATATGATAAGTAAGAGTTAAACAACAGACAAGACGTCCCGATGCGGTGATATTTATGTACATGTACCTGGGTACTTAAGTATTTGTTATGTACATTAGGTAGGTAATTACATAAATCATGTTACACCCGTATTATGCCGTGGTATGTATAATAGGTCGGCTGCTATTTTTATTCGGTAGGGACTCGTTAAAAGCCGGGAGATTATAGTCTGTAAATGCTTGCTTCATATATGCTGCAACAACACCGCCAAGGTACCTTGTCTATCCTGGTTAAGGATCACGTAAGCGAATCTGAATGGATCTCGGACTCTTTACGACAACTTAATTGGACTGAAAGGACGATAATTGTATATAACCATATATACCTAATCATACTCGTTCACCTGTAATCTAGATAGTTGCCAGTTTGAATCAAATACTGTGGGACAGTCTCTTTCTTCACTAAGCTACAGCGCCGAGGTAAGTCTATAGGTATCCGAACCTCGTCGACAACACAGTCGTAGCTGCTTACAATATCGCTACTTACATCACCGGGGTAGAAGTATGTTATATTAAAAGGTAGGTGAGTACGAGTGTCAATTAATAGGTACTGTACTGATTCTTTTCTTTATTATAGTTAGACTCGCTATTCCCTCCAAACGGCCAACCCTCGTCTCTTCTAGGCCTGATGCTTTAGAACCCCCCTAGTATATCTAGTCCCCTTCCTGTGAATTTTATGCTGTGGTTTTGTTTGAGTACAAGAATGCATGTATGTAGTAACCCCCCCCTGAGCTCTCGAGTGCAATATAGTACATCCCAAACTGGAATAAAAAAGAAAAGAAAACGCAGCTCCATTTTTTTCTTCTTCTTTTACCATGTGCCTCCCGGGGAAATAGTTCGTAATTGAGGAAGGTTCGTGCCAAGCCTCTCCGGCATCTGAACTCGGACCCGGTAAAAGACGGGATTTCGAGCCTCGAGGCGCGATGACCTATGCCGTGACTTCCGACCGTTTCTGTGTTGCCGGTCCTTCCTTGAGCTTCTCCGCCTTTTGCTTGACGTAACGCTTGCCGTAACGCTTGCCGTATGCTAATCCCAGCGGCGCCCCTCTCGCTCTGCTTCTAGACGTCTCATGCGGCCTTCCTCATCCTCCGTATTTACCGCCTCGCTGCGACGACTTTTCCGACGACTACTACGATCGTCCCCACCATCGCGGCTACGCTTGACACCTGTAGTGCGACCTATGGTTGCCATTCGCTGCGCCTCTTTGAGAAGTCTCTCACGGTCTCTAGCCTCACGCTCTAGAGTATGTGGGTCTTTTGATGTCGCTCCGGATGAAGGCTTCTGAACTGCAGCTGAAGAATGAGAGGCACGACGAGATGATCCGGTTTCGCGTCTGCTTGAGTTAGAAGGCTTGCTACTGCTGCCCTTGATATCAGGCACAGAAACTTGTTTATTACTAGCCCCTTTGATGGAGAAGTTACCCCGAGGACCTGTTGGGGGATTGAATGATTTATCCGAAGGCTCTATTGGTGTGGGTAGGGCAGTTGAATTTTTATTGCTGCGATGACCGCGATCTTCTTCATGATTGCGGCCACGATCCTTACCACGGTCTTTGTCTCGTTCCTTCTCTCGTTCTCTATCCCGTTCGCGATCTTGGTCGCGATCTCGGTGAGACCTGTGGTTGGATTTTCGGTTTCGGTCATAGTCGCTATCTTTTTCGACATCGTGGTCTCGACGTTTCTCATCTCTATCGCGACGACTCCTGTGGCTTGGTCGCCTATGTTCGCGATCCACGGGAGAGGCTGATCTGGATCGTTCATCATGCTTTCCATCTCTTGACCGACCTCTATAATCATCGTCGCCTCTGGTAGATTGCTTTCTGCTCTTATGTTTGCGACGACGATGGCCACCGTCACGATCATCTTCGGAAATTGACGGGGAACGATGTCGTCTATGTTTACGGGAATCCTTACGATCCCTGCTGCGACTGCGACTTCGACTCTTAGACCCGGTATACGTTCTAGAACGGTCACGGTCTCTATCACGACGATGCTCCCTACTCTTCTCCTCTTCATCATGTTCTCGATCACGTTCACGATGGCGGCGTTCCTTATCCTTAGAAGACTGCAGAGAACTACTCCGTGATTTATGTTTGTCTTCCACTGGGCTTGCCACAATGGGAGGATGATTAGTACGTGAGCTGGGACTCTTCTCATCAGTGATTAAGCCACGAGCTCTTAGGTTGAGAAGACTAGTGTTAGGGAGGCCCTGTCGCATGGCTTTCGGCCCAGTAGGTGCATTCAACGGTATATCCGGAACCGACGTTTGAAGACGCAATGGGCCAGCATTCCCACGAGGACCTTGAGGTGCTGAATGCTGATCTTTAGAGGATACAGATACATCACCCTGCGCAGATTGCGACCCATCCTCCTTGGTTACTTCAAAGTTCGCCAGTGTTAGCTTGTCGGTTCCATTAGTAGCAACATTATCATGGCTATTCCCTGTCTCGGCATCCCCATTCTCGCCGGCTGTCTGTGTATCTTGACATGGCTCTGCTCGTAGTGCTCGGCCAAACTCGTCAACACTGCCAGGAGTCTGCTCTGTTACCTGAGAAACGTCCTGTACGGTTGAGTCATCTCTATCGCCCGGATATTGAGGAGCCTGTCCGGCCCAGCCTTGGTTTCCGTTATTATAACCCTGATGGTATCCACGACCGTAGCCACCGTAGAAGCCCCGGCCCCGGCCCCGTCCTCGATATCCGTAATTGCCTCGGCGGTAATCATTGAACTGGTTGTGGTGGCCAAAATTACCTGAATTGAAGCCTGTACGGAAGCCAGCATTAAAGTTGCCAAAATCACCATTTCCCATTCCAGGAGCATTTGGATTGAAATTATCTTGGCCGACGTTCCATGATTGTTGTCCGTTCCAGTCATTGCCGCCTCCATTGAATCCATTCATGCCCATGTTCATGTTCATGCCGTTCATACCTATGCCCTGTGCACCAAAACCACTATTCATCATCATATTCTGCATCGCCATGGGATCCATCATTCCTTAGTTTTCAAAGTTAGTTATCATATCTCAATACTTGGTAGAACCGTTTCTTACCCATCATAGGAAAAGAGCCAAAAGCGGACGGATTCATTCCATTTTGCATGGCCATCATCATCTGCATCTGGTTTAAATCTCCATTGCCGAAGTTCATATTAAAATTGCCATTCATAGATTCAAAGCTAGAACCCATACCGGACTGCGCTAACTGGTCCTTGCCATCGCCACCCTGATCTGCTTCTTGGATATCTTCCACAGCTGCTCCATCTTGGCCTCCCTGGTCGTGAGGGACGACGGCTTCGGACTCGTCGTCTCCGGTAGGCTGCTCTTGGGTTAGCCCACTTGAAGGCTCATCCTAGACTTCTGTTAGACATAACTTCTAATGACGGGATTTTTTTTAAGACCTACCTCTTTAGGCTGAGCATCAACGTCCGGTTTCAGCTCGGCAGCCGAGGGTCCCTCGGAATCAGCCGCACCAGAGGGTGGTACGGAATCCGTAGCTTTCGGTTCTAAACCAGCTTGCCCATCGGCAACGTTATTTGCAGGAGGTTGTTCGGTAGGGGTGCGCGTCTGAGTTGGCGTCGGTGTATCTTGCGCAGGCGTAGTTGGGGTAGATCCGTTAGCTTTTGGTCGGGCAGCTTCTCGCTTCTTTTCCTCAGTCTTTAAGAAGACCCTAATGGTGGTTCTAAGAGATTTATAGAAGGTGCAATCGGAGGCAGAAACCGGCGAGTGCTCGCAGACCGGGCAAACCGAGGGCAGAGTGGATTGGCCTAGTTGTCATTAGGAACTGTGCTTAAACCCTAAAACAAAGGGAACAAATAGAGCTTACATTTCTCGCATATAGCAGTCTCGCAACAGGGTAATTTAAATGCGTTGACGGCCAACTTGCTGCAGACGGCGCATCGTAGCTTCGTAGGCAACTCGGCCGGAGTAAGAGAGCTATGAAAGTTGTCAGCTTTCTGAATCCCAACATGTTAATAAGTTTATCTGGTAGCTGTCATACTTGGCTAGCTCAATCTGAGCTGGTGTCAGCGCCGCCATCTTGAACACGGCAAGTGCGCAGTTTGGTGTACATATGGTAAAGATATAGGAAGATGTAAAAAGCGCCAGGTAAACAGTATTCAAGGTTAGAAATTAATGGGCTTGGTAGGACGCAGAGACCACTCAAGAATAAAACCCGACCGGCGTCGCGCTTCGCATCAGACCAAATGACGACTAGTGGTAATACAAGTTGAGTAGATATTGGCGACGAAATGGGCGGAAGTTTGAAAATGTTAAGTCGATAGCAAAATTGCACACCTACGCGCAAACGCCTGATATGACTTTAGACTTTAGGTGAGTGGGTCCAAGACATACATACGCTTATTGGGGTTACGCTTATTCGGGTCTACTATGGGGCTATCTTTTACGCTAATGTACATTACTCTAGGTTATGCATGTACAGGATATTTCTAATAAAGCAAGTACCTACATATACGATGGTAGGAATGTAGGAATAACTTCCAATATGCACTCAAGCTTAGGATAATGATGTAAGTACTAAAGAATGTCTAAAAGGCCAACTTTAAGGAAAGAAAACACCCAAGGAAAACCCTCAAAAACTTATAAACCGACACTTTATGTTAGGTATTATAGAGCATTTGTATTATGATAGTTATTTGTTTTTTTTAATAGTTTTGTTGTGCTCAAAACACACGACAAAGTCGACATACTTTGGTGAGACTTCTGCATTAGCAATCCATTGAGGTATGTACGAGGCATCTTAGTACCTACACGTATGTAGCCATCTCATTTTACCTGAGACAAAGCTGTACAATTATATCTTATATTGTAATGTGTTACACGCGACAATAAATTCTACCAACGCATATATGGAAAAACATACATAGTCTGATGCTACGATAATGCGTAGGGGGTCGCACCCGACTCGTGTGCTACTCTAAAGTCTGCACTTATTATTCGTCACGGGGAGTCTGTCTACTTCAGGGCTTGCGCTGTATGTTGCTCGCAAATAACAAAAAAAAGAAAGACAAAAAAATACTCATCGAACAAAGTTCAGATACCGAGTCCCAATGAACCATCGCTCCATATTACAAGGTGAAATGTAGTCATGACCGTAATGAAACTACCATCGACACTCCCTACCATCCCTTCGGAGAAATGAACAAATCAACATGCACACCCTTCCTTTGCTGCTTCTCGAGGTCCATTCAAGTTTACCCTCTGCTCCTCGCCACCCCTGTTGGCCGCGCTAGAAGCTCCCGGACCTCTCGTGCTCTTTAATGACGTTTCGGGGATGGCGTTCGCAATCGCAGTGAAGACTTCCGAAACATTGTGGCCTGTCTTCGCACTTGTTTCGAAGAATAACAGGCTTTCCTCCTCGGCATACGTCTTTGCTTCTTCTGTGGAAATCTTTCGGGCGTCCCCGGATTCTTCTCCATCAGCTACTTCGCCATCGGCCTGTCCGGATTCGCTGTCATTGGTAAGATCCAGCTTATTACCGACAAGGGCGATGACTATCCCTGGCGACGCTTGTCTTTGCAGTTCCGCTACCCAGTGCTTGGCTTTGATGAGTGACGTTGGCTTCGTGAGATCGTAGACGACGAGCGCAGCTTGGGCGTTTCGGTAATACATAGGCGCTAACGAAGCAAAACGCTCCTGGCCTGCTGTATCCCAAATCTCGAACTTGATCGTTCTCGTAGGTAGATTACATTTTTGCGTTAAGAAGGCCGCTATGCAGCATTAGCTGAGAGCTGCTGGAAGTAGAGGCTCCAAGGGCTACTTACCACCAATAGTAGGCTCTTTGTTCTCTTGGAAATCATTGTTGACAAATCGCAGGACAAGCGAAGACTATAAGTTGCTTAGTATAGTATTTATAAGTTAACTATGGGGGATCCAGAAGAAGAAATACCTTTCCTACGGCGGCCTCACCAAGCAGCACCAGCTTGACACTACTGCTCGGCTTCGGAGCATTTGAGTCGGCCATGTTGTGAGAATGTCTATGGGGAATTGAATAATGTCTTGGAAGACCGGTATTCTTTTATGATGATTCTGTAAACGATAGGAGAAAAGCCGGTTGTAAATTACCTTACAATCTGAAGGGAAACGGTCGCATGCAAATGGGGCGTTGTAGTGGGCTAGGTTAGTTGCTTGAAGTAAAGTAAGAGGTAGGCAGATGGATTTAATGTATCGAATCAGGAATGACGACGCATTAGAGGCCCCGTCTAGCCGTAGGCGTTAGTTAGAAACCGCCGCTAATACAATATCGGTTAGTGTAAAACAATGCACGGAACATTAGCGGGCCGACACCGCCAAAAAGTTAAGACCCCTCCAACTCGTAAAACCGGCAGAAAAAAAAAAGTTAGTTGGTTAGTTTTCAGTTTCGCAGCTGTCTAAAGCTCATTGGTGTTCCAACTACAGCAAACTCGTGCCATCTTGGAGTTGTGAATTAACAACCACCTTTAATACATCGCTGTTAGTCAAATAAAAAATCTCCCCAAATCTGTTTCTGGTTGCAATTTCAAGATGGCGGCTTCCGACGCCCGCAAAAAAACCTTGTTTGATGATAGCGACGACGAATCAGACGGAGGTGTTAAGCTACAAATCAATTCCGAGTACGCGAAAAGATTTGAGCATAATAAGAAACGGGAGGAATTACAAAGACGTAAGCTATGCCCTCCTACAATTTACTTTGTTCTCTTAATAAATCTAACTAAACAACTTTAGTGGAGGAGAAGTACAAGTCCAAGCAGGCCAACGGGAACAAATCGAAAGATGATGATGGATCGGATTCCTCTTCAGATGAGGAAGAAGATGAGAATGGCTTCTTAGCGACAGAAGACCTTGATGCCGAGATCTCTGCCACGCTTCAAGCAATCAAGAATAGAGATCCTCGTGTATACGACGGCAAGACCAAGTTCTACAGGCCGATCGACGAAAGTGCTACCACGGAAGACGTGGCAGTAAAGCAGAAAAAAGAGAAACCTGTTTTCCTACAAGATTACCACCGAGAAAAAATTCTACGTGGAGATACCGGAGCCGATTTTGACGACGAGCAAAAGCCCCCGCAAACCTACGCACAAGAACAGGATAACTTGAAGCAGTCTATCAAAGATGAAATTAAAGCGCAACTAGGCGCTGAAGATGGCACCGAGGATAGCGACAGCGACGAGGACTTCATCAAGGCTAAAGAAGGGACTAGATCTGTTCCTGAGCAGGGTATCCATCCGTCCAGGGCTAGCAAGATCAAAGCTCCAAAGCCTGAGCTTGAAGATGCGGACAAGAACCCGGAGCTTTTCCTATCAAATTTCATGGCCGCTCGCGCTTGGGTTGAAGAAGATGAGAATAATTGGAAGGCATTCGAGTCAGACGACGGCGAAGACGACAAAGCAGATGAGTGGGAAACCGCGTATAATCTGCGCTTCGAGGACCCTAATAAGAGCAATGAAGTCTTGAAGTCATATGCTCGTGATGTTGTTGCAGCGCGCTCAGTCCGACGAGAAGACAAGAGCATGCGCAAGCGTCAACGAGAAATAGAGCGCGAGAAGAAGGAAGAAGAGAAGCAAAAAAGGAAAGAAGAAAGAGCACGATTACGCCGCCTTAAACTTGACGAAGCCGAGGAAAAATTAAAGAAGATCAAGAAGGCTGCGGGCTTATCCGGTAAGACATTAAAGGATGAGGAATGGCAGAAGCTACTTGAAGATGCCTGGGAAGACGATAAATGGGAAGAACAACTGAAGAAGACGTTCGACGACCAGTATTATGCCGCAGCCGAGGAGAATGCGTCTACTGATGAGGACGATGGCGAAACCGACAGCAAGAAGTCAAAGAAGATAAAAAAGCCCAAATGGGACGATGATATCGACATCAAGGATCTCATTCCAGATTTCGATGACGAGGAACGCCCCAATGTTACTCTTACTGATAATGAACACGACGAGGAAGCAGAAGATGAAGATGCACCTTCAGCTAAGCGACAGAAGACTACCAAACAACGCAAGCGAGAAAAGCTCGAAAGCCAAAAAGAATTACGACAAGAGCGAGCTAAGCTCGAGGCGTTCGTCGATGCGAAGATGGAAATTGATGATCCGGAGATTCTCGCCGGCAGCTCGTCAAGGAGTAGCGGGCCGGCGCGTTTCTCTTATCGCGAGACGCGGCCTGAATCATTCGGTCTCACTACGCGCGACATCCTCATGGCGTCCGACGCCGATCTCAACGAATTCGCCGGCCTGAAGAAGCTAGCACACTTCCGACCGCAGGACAAGCAGAGTAAAGACCGCAAGCGGCTCGGCAAGAAAGCTCGTCTAAGGCAATGGCGCAAGGAGACTTTCGGCCCCGAGTTCGAGAGGGAGCCCCCAGCCTTCAATCCCGGCGGTTTCGTGGAAGGTGATGGGAAGCCGAAATTTGAGGCGGAACCCGGAACTGGTAATGTAGTTGAGGGCGGCTCCAAGAAAAAGCGTAAACGGTCTAGGGCTAAGAAGAGCGCGAAGCATGGAGAGGAAGACGAGGCGGAGGCGGTGGCTGCGGCGTAGATGCACCAACCCCGATCAGCCAATTTCTTATTTTCTTTGGTCGCTCTCTTCGGCAGAGCATCTCGGTAGATAGATTGATGATACCCTAAATCTTAATTTGTCGCGCGAAGCAAAGTACATAAAACCCCCAAAGCCCATCTCGATCTCGCATGCTGCTAGGGGTGTCAGGATCCTCTCATGCAAGTCCCGTTTCCGCATTCCGAGCTAAGCAGGATCTACTGGTGCTTTTGCTCCGCTGGGTTTAGCTGCCGTGTCCAATGTGGCTCGATGGGGTTCTAGACATCGTACCACTTGCATGGCGCAGGACCCCGACCCGGCAAGGATAGGTTTTGTACGTTACAGTTACAGGTGTATAAAGCTACGAGGACCTCTCACGTCTCCCCCTTTTGAGCGTGGGGAAGAGAGAAAATATTTTAGTTATGTTTGAATATATTGTAAGGTAGTTGTCATTACCTAGGAAACAACAATTTTCTCTTCTTGATTTTCGATTTCTCTGTCTCCTCCCCCGTTCGCGCCAAAAATGCCGTCCCAAGATCTCTTCCGTCATGCTATATCAGGTGGTATCATATCCATCTCGAACAACAACAGCGCATGGGCATTTCAAAATTCCCAGGCTTGCCCTATCTTTCCCTCCGGATATCCTTCTCGTAACATATAAGTATAAACATATATAAACAACAGCGAGCGCAAAGCTAGCAAGCCACGCAAAAAAAAAAACCCGATGTAGGCTGGCGCTTCTTAGATTTTAGGAGGCCCCTTTCCAACCAACCCTCCGGAGAAAATCTTCATGTTCAACTCCGTTACACCGTTTGGACCCAATCCTTTACAAGATCCCATTCGCTCAAAAGGACATATCCTAGTCCTTCAGGTGTATTCTAAAATGTACAAAAAAGATACGTATGCGTCATCCGTTAAAGGGGTACCCCCCCTATCACTTCTTCTCTCCAAACGTAAGGGTATATACTACAACGATGTAGGTGAGTAGGCAGGCATACCTCAACCAAATAACCAAAACAGGTACTTCGTATAGTGACACATCATGACACGGCGTCAAATCTCACAAAGATAGGTTATCCGGCACAGGACAAAGCCAAATGAGCGACATCGAAACAACTCGATCGTCTTTATCGGCCCCCTCTCCGGAGGCCTAGTCCAGCGCCAGGAGTATGCAAGCCAGGGCTGAAGAGCCCAAACCCATCAACACCACCCATACCGCCTAGATCTTGGCCCAGTTCTGGTGGCTCCATGTTGAATGGCATAAACCACGCAGAAGATGGTTCAGCAACAAACCCGCCAGACATGCCATCATGATGATTACTTGGCCCGTCACCAGAGCCAGCATTGGATCCGTTCGCGTTATGTCCTCTACTTGAGTTACTTCCGTTACCAGCCAACGCGTCCCAGTCCATAATAGCCTCGGGCCCACTAATCGTTGAAGGATCTAACTGGCCATATGCATTGAATACGAGCTGGCGATCTAGCTGCGGCAGTATTCCCGCAGCATTGTTTGAGAGGGACAGCGAAAGTATGTCCTGGTTATAGAAGGCGGGGTGTTGGTGTCCGTGGCCGTGGCCGTGGCCGTGCTGGAACCCGCCAACGGCGACAGGGCTAATCGGCGACAGGGCGTGGTAGTTCGCTGCTGCATTTTGTAAGCGTGCGTGTGCGAGGTTGGAGTTGAAAGAGGTCGGCCCACTAGTTTGCCCGCCTAGACGAGAATAGTTGCGTTGTGCCTGCGCTCTCTGCTGTTGCGCATGCTGAATGCGCTGGATTTGTTCGGGTATACTAGCGCCGTTGAGATCGGTAAGAAGGGGTTCCAGTTGTTGCTGTTCACCACGCGAAGATATGCTGCCCTTCTTTGCTATCGACTTTCGTTTCATTAAGGATGGTCTGCTGGATCCAGCATTCTCACGTCCCTCGCCCGTGCTTTGCGGCGGCGAGAGCTGCGTGAAGAATTCTTCAACTGTGTGGAGTTCTGGTTTTTGCTCGAGCACTGCATCCTCACCAGTTTCCTTCTTTTTGAAAGAAGCTGGTTCAACGAATTCTGGCTGCGACACGCCGTGCGGGTATCGATCGAACCAGTCTCCATACTGGAATATAGGCGAGGCTGCTGAGTTATCGCCCGCCGGAGTACCTTGGCGCGCAGCATCAGCGCATGTCTTATACTGCTCGCGTAGATTCTCTGCCATAAAGTGGAACATGCCCCAATAGCGCTTCATCCTCGAGAGGAACTTAACGTTTATAGCCAGGTTCTTCTTTGCGGCTGTCTCTACGGTAGAGTTGCCGGAGAAAATTCCGAATATATGAACGGTACTCGACAGGAATGCGCAGTAGCCGACAAAAGGCGCCGCGATCATGTAGTGCTCCGCATCTTTCAAAAGCTCGGATATTCTATTAGCAGCAGCAAATGCTTTTGATCCCGCCTGTGTAATGAAGGTATTAGGGACGTCTGCTTTCGATAAACCGGCTGGCGAAGACACCGCGAATCGGTTCATAAATAGGACATTTTGCTGGATCGAGATATGTAAAAACAAAAACTGATTGGCCATCCCTTCTGTTTGGTGCAGATGGAGGTTCTCAGCACTATATCTCAATCCATCTGGTAGGTTCTCAGCAAAATCTTCTGCTTGTTTAAGCAGCACGGCATATTCGGAGTCACGCTCCCACATCGAATGTTCGTCCGAGTCCATTCCCCCTTGGTTTAAGAAATTTATTATTCTCCCCCATAGTGCAATGGCGCGAACCATGTATGCTGCCACGCCCATGTTATCTTTCGCATCGGAGAGCTGTCCCTCATTCATCGGTACCGGATGAGGAACTTGTCCTTGCAGATCTTCAGTAGGTCCTGGCATATCAAGTTGGAAGAGTTTTTCTTTAATTGGTAATTGGATCTTGACCGTTTCTTCCTTTATGAA